AAAGCAGCAACCCTTAGACCGGGTAGTTGTTGGGTATAAGGGGCCGTGACTCTAACTACAACCCTCTATCTACTTAACGCATCTAAGTAGTAGGTGCTACACTGTACATTGAGTATTCAATATACCTACTTCGGGATCATTGGACTCATAGCTATGGCATGACTACACTAGACCTACCTACCTATGCTATACATGGTGGGGCCCGGGGGTCGATGTATTTCAACTCCCCCCTCGCCCGTTCCACACACACTGCGCATTGGCAGCCGCCACTGTCGCGCGAACGGGCGTCCGCAGCGACTTAGGCTTTGGCACTAAGGTCTAAGGGAAGGCCTGTACGTATTCCTAATATAGGATTAGTGCTGCTGCCCATTTGTGTGGAGGCAATGCCTTTGTGAATATGTCTGCGGCCTGCTCATCCGTATTGATGTACTTGGGGAGTGCTGTACATGCTCCCTCATGGCTAATTTAAAACCCGGTAGCTTTTGCTACCGGAGGTGGCAGCCAACCCGTCAAAGAATCCCTAACCTTTAGTGGAAGCAAGATTCTTGATGGTGAAGAGGTCTATGTTCTTGAGGAATGCCCCCCCGCTCAAAGTATAGGTAAAGCAGTCATAGATAAAGGTTACATGTTTATCTGGGATCCACGGGAGAACGTCCCATATCTAGTAGCTCCCGAAAACTTCAATAGATGCAGGCTAAAGGTTCCCAAGAACGCTAAAATCTGCGCATCCAGGGTGGTAGAATATGTTCCACAATATGATGAAGGGTTGACTCCATGTTCATTTGAACCAAGTGAGCGCCTCGCTCCCGTACCAAGTGCCATGCCAGCTCCATCCGTAGGACCCAAGACACTTGTAGAAATAGATGATCCCACTAATCCTGGTAATTCGTCAAACTCTACACCTAGGGTTCTTCCATCCGCAAAAGATGTAGAAACAGATCTAGCACCTGAATCTGTTGTGGACGCTGTTGGTTTCGCTAACGCGTCGGGATGCCAAGAAGTCGCTGTAAAATCCCAGCGCACCCAAATTCCCAGTTCACCTCGGAGCTGGTTGTCCATTGTGTAATGGTGAGCCGCCAAAAGATAAAATCTTGAAGCAGCAAGCCACCAATCCAAAACACATGCGATTTAACTTTTCCAATAGCCCGTTAAACCCCATTAGCCATATAACTAAGGATAGCGCCATGAGGGTTTCACATTCCAAGAATGGCAAGGCCAATGGTATTGTTGATCCTTCAGAGCAGCAATATAGGCAGCTCTCACCAACTAGCGTTTTCCTAGATAAAGGCTCACAAAAGTTGGATGTACTAACAGGCGAAGTTAAGTCGCATAGAAGTGGAAGCGTAGCAGCCAATGTGCACAAAGCAGAGCGTTCGGTGCCTGAAGGTGATCTCGTCTTTCCGGTAGGTATGTCATGTAGTCATGCCCTTATCAGGGGGGGTAACCCACATGACTTGAAATCCCCTAATAATACTGAGGAAGACGTTCCCTGTCATTAATTCCCCTCCAACACCTGATCTTAAGAGTTGTCCCATGAACACCCCTTTCTTTAGATCACGTCCTCACTACTGAGGAAACGCCTGGAGGCACCACCTGTAATAGACATATACGGCATCATGCCAACCAATGCCGCGCCCGCTTCACAAAACCGGTTGAAGAAAAGAAACGACCTAGAAAAGAAAAGAAAGCATCACTTAGCGCAAGCAGACAGAAAGTTAAAAGTGACGCGGATGCTGAGCTCTATGCTCGCATCAGGGTAGGTGAAGAACTCTTCAACCCAATTCCACCTCACTTCTCCTTCGACAGCGATGAACCTCTTAGAGTTGCGTATAAAAGTTAAAGCTTCCCAATCCTGAAATCCCGTCACCCCCAAACGCTAGCCTAGCGTTCCAAGTGTCGCAATCCAATCCCAAGTTGTTTCATCAACCTTAATCCCTTGTCAGGAGTCGCTTCCAGGGTCTAACCAACCAACTGGTCGCACTAACCGTAGACATCGGAAAGTTGCCAAGAACGCCTTCAACGCGAATGCTAAGCCGATCATGCCCAAGTTTGCCTGTTCCCCTGACACCCAGAAGTTGTCGGCAAGTGAACATTACGGCATTCAACATGTTAGACTTAGTAGGGATAATATAGAGTTAGGTAATGAGTAGCAGTGCGGACAGCTGGGCAATCACACAGCTGAACCCGCTGAAGCCGCTCCCCCACTTTCGTGGACCTCATCTTCCTGCTCACACACATTCCCTTGGCAGCATACCAACCACAACGTAGGTCTTAGGTCCACTTAAGAAGCCTTCCCGGCACACAACTGCCGCCACCGGTATCGCTGAGGCGTTCCGGAATCCATCCACCTCCATCACCAATGATGGATCGCAATGGATGTGTCCCAAACACATCGCTAAACCATAACCAACGCATGGATCGCTGCGGGTGCCCGCTCGCGCAATAGTAGCGCGTAGGTGCCTGCCAAAAGCGCAGAGCGTGGATCAGGCGAGGGGGGAGTTGAAATATATCGACCCCTGAGCCCCCACTACATGTAGCATAGCAGGTAGGTATAGTGTAGTGTGTGTAGCTTAGCTATGAGTCCCAATTCATTCCAAGTAGATACTCCTAATACTCAATGTATAGAGAAGCACCTCATACCTAGAAGCGTTAGGTACGTAGTGTAGCCATAGTTTATTCCAGGGTTTAGTTTCCATATCCAACAACCCCCGGGTATGGGTCATAAACTTACCGCTGGTTGACGCTTGGCTCAAGTGCCCAAAAAGAGTGGGCGCTTGGTTGTATGACAGGGTTGTTGGTGGACTGGGTTTACCTTGTTCTTTTGGGGTTTCCGGTTCGTCCTCCTGTTTTCACTTGCTTACTATCAAACACATGGGAAAATAGCCTGTCAGTGATGATTGCTCGATGATTTGTTCGTCATTTAATGGGAATTTTAACCATCAAACTATGGGAATATAAGTGAATACAACTGATGAATGATGGTTAGTTGGTGATCAGCAAAAATATAATATCGTCACGCCCAAAAAAAAGATGTCGAAAAGTATTTCTAGGAAAGTAGTTCAATTTTGTGTTCGTCATCATTTCCAGGTTTCCAATTTCTCAGATTTTTGTTTGGGTTGCTTGAGGCAACAATAATATAATAATAATAATATAATAATCGTTGCTTCGGTGACCAAACTTCACATTACGTTGAACACTTCTGTTGTACTTCGGTGAACACACTTCATGTTGCGTTGCCCACTTCTGTTGTACTTCGGTGAACACACTTCATGTTACGTTGCACAATTCTGTTGTACTTCGGTGAACACACTTCATGTTACGTTGCCCACTTCTGTTGTACTTCGGTGAACACACTTCATGTTACGTTGCACAATTCTGTTGTACTTCGGTGAACACACTTCATGTTACGTTGCACACTTCTGTTAATTGTATTTCGGTGAACACACTTCATGTTACATTGCACACTTCTGTTGTACTTCGGTGAACACACTTCATGTTACGTTGCACAATTCTGTTGTACTTTGGTGAACACACTTCATGTTACGTTGCACAATTCTGTTGTACTTCGGTGAACACACTTCATGTTACGTTGCACACTTCTGTTGTACTTCGGTGAAAACACTTCATGTTACCTTGCCCACTTCTGTTGTACTTCGGTGAACACACTTCATGTTACGTTGCCCACTTCTGTTGTACTTCGGTGAACACACTTCATGTTACGTTGCCCACTTCTGTTGTACTTCGGTGAACACACTTCATGTTACATTGCACACTTCTGTTGTACTTCGATGAACACACTTCATGTTACATTGCTAGATGTTGCTCTGGGATATCGGCGTGGCCACTTCAAAAAAGGGTGGAAAGCCACCACCGGAAAGCAAGCGCAAAATTGACAGTTGTCACCTGTCCCAGCATATTCTTCCCAAAGCTCACTTCAAGAACACCATCCTGTTTCCTGACGGAGCACCTGCCTACCCGGCTGTGGCAGAGAAGTTGAATGTTCAGCATGAGTTTGTGAACCATTCGGAAGTATGTGCGTGTAATTGTATGGATGACACCTATCCCAATGGATCAACAAGTTGTGATAAATGGGTATTCTTCTTGTTTTTTAGTAACCGAAAGGTTATCGGGACAAACCACAAGAGTTGACTAAAATTACAGCGTAAACCCAATTCTTGTTTGGTCATTTAACAATTTTTAACAAGACTCAAAAAATGTTATCTATGTTTGCAGCAAAGATATTTCGGGAATGATCTGGGTTTGTCATCCAGAAGTACGATCCTGCAATCCCACCCTAGGAGTTCATTATCTTCCCCGCTAAAATCGTCAAACATTTGGATGTTCCTCATTCCTAGACAGTCTGCACATACCCGCATTATTCGCTATTTTTATCATTTTATTCTATCCATGAATCATATCCCACTAAGTCACCATAAACTGCTTGGTTATTCTGGGTTCACGGAATCCTTGTTTGCTTTCAGAAAAAACTATATGTTTAGCGACTGTAATTGTAACCCACATGCATACGGAATCATTTATCTAACAACATCAAGTGAGCAGTGGCCAAAATACCAATAGTTCAAGTATGATAGGATTATTGTACCTAAACTAGTTGTGCAAAGACTATTGACCCATTGTGGAAACTTTTATAAGCGGGCCAGCTAGTATCATGGATGATACCCGTAAAAATGGCACAGATGGTTCTGTTTGCCAACATTTTACTGTATATCTAGCTATATGGGTAGGTCTGAAAATGGTGTAGCCCTAAATCTGTTGATAAATCCTCACTTTCCCTGCGAAAAAGGAGCATTTGGGGCGGTACCATGTTCAGACACAGCCATACTACCCACTGGTAAACGTTTACATAGCTATGGAACATCACCATCTTCAATAGGTAAATCAACGAACTAAATGCCATTTTCTAAAAGCAAACTGCTAGTCATTACCAGAGGGTAACTATGACCCAGATTTCTGCCAACATTTCTACTCAGTTGCTGCAGGATCTGGGTAACATCGATGAAGCTTTGACAGCCACCTGGCACCAGTTGAATCGGGATGACAAAGATAACCTGGGGTTTTCCACTGGTGGCCGATGATGATTTATTAATAAAGTTGGTAGATATGGAAATATTGAATATTATCAGCTGAATAAATTATCATTTATCAACAAAAATGTGACAATATTGAATGGATGGTGGATTTCCATTGGTGGAAACCATGGTTTTTCACTATTTATCTTCATGTCAACCCGAGATTGAGGGGTTACCCCATAACAGTGATCACGTACTATGAAGATTGGTGCCCCCCTATTAGTAAACCCGGGGTTTTAAATCCAGGAAATATATATATGTATATTTGTATGTATGTAGGTAGGTAGGTAGGTAGGTATGTACGTATGTACGTATGTACGTATGTACGTATGTACGTATGTACGTATGTACGTATGTATGTATGTATGTATGTATGTATGTATGTATGTATGCATGTATGTATGTATGTTTGTATATGTATGAGTCTGTCCGTATAGTCTGTCTCTCTTTTGTGTCTGTCTGTCTGTCCTGTCTTTTGTCTCTGTGTCTGTCTGTCTGTATGTGTATGTATGTGTATGTATGTATATGTGTCCTGTGTGTCCTGTCTGTCCTGTATGTATTGTCTTCTATGTCTGTCTGTCTGTATTGTGTGTATCTGTGTGTATCTGTTGTGTATCTGTATCTGTATGTATCTGTATGTATGTGTATATATGTGTATGTATGTGTCTGTATTTGTTATGTATGTATATGTATGTATATGTATGTATATGTATGTATATGTATGTATATGTATGTATATGTATGTATATGTATGTATATGTATATGTATGTCTATGTATGTATATGTCTGTATATGTCTCTATCTGTCTCTATCTGTATGTATATGTATGTATATGTATGTATATGTATGTATATGTATGTATATGTATGTATATGTATGTATATGTATGTATATGTATGTATATGTATGTATGTATGTATGTATGTATGTATATGTATATGTATGTACATGTATGTATGTATATATACATTATATAATGATATCTTTTTAGAGCCATTAAAAGTGCGGTATTGATCATTAGAAATGGAAAACCAGCCCGCAAAGGATGATTGTGGTTGAACGTGGGATGTATCGACCAGCGAAATAATTATGGTGAATTGTCATGGATTAATCAATTTTCTGACTAGGAACCATAGTTCGGCATGAGTAAACATCTGCAAAATATTTGCTTAATATAGTACGATTCAAAAAGATATATGTAAACCAACTTGTGAGTTGAGTAGCTTCATAGAATTTCATTAGCCATTCTCATGGGAACATATCCTAACCAGCAAAAAATTGATGCTGTCCCGCAAAAAAAAACGATTGGCCTTGAAACAGTTGTGTATGAACCAGCTTCAAGGCATTGAAGGCATTGAGGTGATGGAGAACGAGTCCGCCACAGGTGTTGGAGAGGTTCGTTGGGGGTTTCCTAAAGGGGTACACCAATAGCTGGATGGTTTATAAATGTTTATTTCATGGAAAATCCTATAATGGATGAGAACTGGGGGTACCCCATTTATGGAACCTCCAGTTGTTTGTTTTTTTTCTTCAAATGTCACTATACTTCGTAGTTTCATTTGTTTTTTTCATTTTGTGATGGTATTGTCAACCAACTGAAACCAGCAACCAAACGCTATTAGCCAAGCGGCCGCTGGATTGTTGGTATTGTTCTGAAGCGAAAATGGGTTGCTAAGAAAGGCTATGGGTTTCAAAGCAACAAATGAAGGTTTTCAATGGTTACTTAGATGTTATTTGGTTGGTGGTTTGGAACATTTTTTATTTTTCCATATATTGGGAATAATCACCCCAACTGACTTTCATATTTTGCAGAGGGGTTGAAACCACCAACCAGTTATTTATCCCAGATCTTACCCATTTTTTGGTCCCGGTGAATCTTTTCCCAGTGTGGATCAGGGTATCCAACATTGGCCATGCACAGGAATCATGACTGGAAATCTGGTTGGTGGTTTCAAACATGGACTTTATTTTTCCACAATATATGGGATAACCCTTCCCATTGACGAACTCAGATTTTTCAAGGTGGTTAAAACCACCAACCAGAAATATGTTCATAAAATCATGACAGGTAGTTTCTTTGTGTGGGTCAAGATTGGATACCGCATCAAGATTGGATTGTGGAACCATCGTTGATTCGGAAGCTTGTTGTTGAAATCCGAACCCCATTTTCCCAGCTTAAATCCCTTGGTGCTGATGACGGTTTAAGTCATTTATGTCCTAAGTGAGATTAGGCCCTTGCATCTTCAACATGTCCAGGAAGTGTCCATAAATGCTTGATATTTTCCATTTCCCATTTATATCCCATAAAGTCTCCCGCTTGTTATAACTATCAATCGGTCTCCAGGTTAAATTCCCTAATTTTTGACGGTTTGCTGTTTATATACCAGAAATCCAGCGCAGATTTTCCTAAGGCGATGAAGCAGCTCTTATCGGCCAAATCGGATGATTTGGAGGCACACAATTCCGTGGATGAGGCTTGGGAGGTGCGAAATCTCCAAGATTTATGAACCATTGATGGATCATGAATCAGTGGCTTACTGGTGCTAAACGTAGGGAATGGATGGGAATGGGGGAATGGGATTATGATTGATAGTTATTATAGATCATTCCCCCATTCCCTACTATATAAGCACCAGTAAGGTGGATCATTGATGGAAAACAATGGACAATGGACAACTCAATGGATCAATCATAGGTTAGTGAATTCTGAGCCGTGGTCCGAACTGAGATTTCGGATTTGCGGAGTTTTTCCACCCCGGCTAGTCCAGCTGGCAAGTCTTTGAGCGGAAAACGAAGATGAAGCATTTCAATCGCGAGGTTTGAGCATAAAACATGCGTGAAAAAACATCAAGAATTGTAGATAAACTGGTTGGTGGTTTGGAACATTTTTCCCATATATTGGGAATAATACTCCCAACTAGTTTCATATTTTTCAGAGGGATTGAAAACACCAACCAGATAAACATGAAAAATAGGGGATTCTCCAAGATATTGAGCTTTCACTGACGAATGTGAATTTGAATGAGCAAAAGACGTTCCTTTTATCAACTAAACATCATCTAGCCATGGCACGACTTGGTAATTTGCGCAAACCTTGGTTTGATTAATGGATAAAGTTTGATCATGAAAGAGTTTTAACAGCCAGTTCCAAATCATCCCACATATTTGGTTGGTTGGTTGTTGGAACATTTTTTATTTTCCATAATATATGGGATAATCCTTCCCATTGACTAATATTTTCAGAGGGGTTGAAACCACCAACCAGTTGGTGAATTCATTGCAATCCCACTTAAGTCACTACTCAGATATCCAGTTTTCCACCTGCTCGCTTGATGCCCACACAGAGGTGAACTAACAGTTTGCTATGGAAAATTGCCCATAGAAATAGATGGCTTACCTTTTTCAAAATGCTGATTTTCTAAAGCTATGTAACAAATTACCAGAGGGTACATGTTCATTCAAGTTTCCATGGTTTTTGCAACCGTCCTCTACCCTCTGGTAGACTAACATCACTATGGAAAATCACCATTTTTAATGGGAAAACTCACTATTTCTATGGCAATTTTCAATAGCTATGTTAAATTACCAGGGGGTAACAATCGTTGGGTTTTCTCTTACTTTCCATGCCGCTCCTTAGTGGGATCACCCTGGTTACCACCGTGTTGGGGACACTGGAGCAAGGCGAACTTGCGCGTGGCCGAGCTGTTGCTGGAACAGAACAAAGAAAGCGAGGCAGCGAGGGCTGGCCACCTATAGGGCAACATTGGTTATGTTATAACTATGGGATTATTATCACTTATGTTGCCCCATAGTATAACTATTGGTTATATAATATCACTTTTGATAGGCCCCGTTGATCCACTATACTTATAATCACATAATCACAATTAAAATTACAATGTTCACAATCAAAATATATTGAAATAATAACATAATCACAATCAACATGTATTAACATCACCATGTTCACCCAACAGATCACATACTTGTGACTACAAGCTGAGGCCACCATTTATGATAGCAAAGTTGACGCACATAACTTGGTCAACAAGGGTTTGTGGGGGATAAAACATGATATAACTATAGTTAATGGGTGCACACAGATCATAAACTAACTTATAACTGGGGTTTCTGGTCGATTATGGGGGTTATATTTTAATGGGTGTTTTTCCAAGTCACCATAAGCTTCAATACTGAAATGGTCATTTTTGACTTGGATGACTTGGGGGCACCCCCGCAGTTTTTGAAAACTAATGAAAACTCTGTATCTATAGTTGATGAGAAACAGGGTTGATGGTATCCCCAATCAAATGTTGGGGGGTTAACTCGCTGCACCCCATGAAGGCAAGTTCGAAATAACTATCATAAACTCAACAGTGAAATGTGAAAGTTTTATTAAATTAAATTATATTATGTTATATTTTTATATTATATTATATGCCTGGAAAAAGGATGAAAAAGAAAAAGGTAGATAAGTTGATGCACTTACGTAGCTATACAGCTATACTTCTCATTTATGTAGTAGATTATGACAGTATATACTTGACCCGGAAAATCAGACCTGATAGTTGTTGGCTTTGATGCTGGACTTATCATTGCTACCCGTATCATCAATACTTGAAGATGGGGGGTTCTAGATGACTACCAAAGATCGAAACCAACTGGTGGTGTAGGGAGCAATCAAGAGCCATGATTCTATCTGTATTCCGCTGGTAAATGATTGAGCACGGCTGACTTATAGAGGTATATGAAGACAATTACTTCACTTCGAGTTATCCCACCATGCCATTTATACCTTTTCTTACTGGCAAATCTTCTGGCATTCTATCTGACATATCTTCTGGCATTTTATCTAGCATATCTTCTGGCATTCTATCTGGCATATCTTCTGGCATATCTTTTGGCATATCTTCTGACATTCTATCTGGCATTCTATCTGGCAAATCTTCTGGCATTCTATCTGGCAAACATTCTGGCACTTTATCTGGTATATCTTCTGGCATTCTATCTGGCATATCTTGTGGCATTCTATCTGGCATATCTTCTGGCATTTTATCTGGCATATCTTCTGGCATTCTATCTGACATTCTATCTGGCGTTCTATCTGACATATCTTCTGGCATTCTATCTGGCATATCTTCTTGCATTCTACCTGGCATATGTTCTGGCATATCTTCTGGCATTCTATCTGGCATATCATCTGGCAAATCTTCTGGCATTCTATCTGGCAAACATTCTGGCACTTTATCTGGCATATCTTCTGGCATTCCATCTGGCATATCATCTGGCAAATCTTCTGACATTCTATCTGGCAAACATTTTGGCACTTTATCTGGCATATCTTGTGGCATTCTATCTGGCATATCTTCTGGCATTTTATCTGGCATATCTTCTGGCATTCTATCTGACATTCTATTTGGCATATCTTCTGGCATTCTATCTGGCTGTTGAGGTCCAGCGGTGCACACTGAGCTGGGCAGGTCCCCGGTTGAGGTCCAGCGGTACACACTGAGCTGGGCAGGTCCCCGGTTGAGGTCCAGCGGTGCACACTGAGCTGGGCAGCTCGCAGGTTGAGGTCCAGCGGTGCACACTGAGCTGGGAAAGTCCCCGGTTGAGGTCCAGCAGTGCGCACTGAGCTGGGAAGTTGGCGAAGAGCGTGGCGACGAGTTGGCAAGGTTGGCAAGGCGGAAGTGGAGGTGGAAGAGGCGGAGGCGAGGAGGAGGGCGAGGAGGACAGCTAGTCGAGGAGGAGGAGGAGGAACAGGAGGAGGAAGAGGCGGCGGGCATGCGCTCTGATAAAATCTAACAACCCTCACCTGGCAGGTGGGGAAAAATGGGCATTTCTAGGCATTCAGGAGAATCTGATGGTGTCTTTAATGTTTTATTTTCTGGTTCAGGATAAACCATGGAGATTTTTCCAGCCTCGGCAATCCTTAGGATTGGATGACTTTATCCCAAAACTTTCGCTACGTTGGCAGCTGAAGCTTGGGGTCGCCACCCTACTTCAGAGTCATCAACTGCTTGAGCACGCGCGGAAGCTCTTTGAAGGACGCCACAACGAAGAGCTCAAGGGATTTCTTGGATTTTCTTGGTGGCTTCACTGGAATTCACTGGAAAGTAGTTTTAATATGAGTAACTACTGGAATAATTATATTGTAGTTATACTCCAGTAATAACCAGTTATACTATATTTATCGTAGTTATATAGTTAATAATAATTGTATGCCAGTAGTGGAGTATTATTGAGTAATACTGGAATCCACTACTGGAATTATGAGTTTAAATATTAGCTGTTAGTTATAATAATATGTTAGTAAATAATTAGTGGATTTTGAGTGGATTATTATAAAAATCCACTACCAGTGGTGATAGTTATTTTATAAATAATCCATTGGAAAATAATAAAACAAAAATATGAGTATTATAACTATTTGTAGATTATAAAATGTTCATTTATATAAATGCACGTACTGATTTAACTGATCATTCTTTCCAATATGTAGTAAAGTTGGAATTTTACCCTGGGTAATTAGTTTTCAAAAAATAGGATGGATTCGCAAGCCAACAAGCAAACTAGATACTGTACTCTATTTTTATCCGTTTGAATATTGATCATTGCCTTTCATAATTGGTCAGCTATAATGATTGATATATTTTATCCGTTTGATAATTTAGTCAATAATCATAAATTGGGTGATGATCAATCATATTACCCCCTGGTAAATTAACATGACCCTGAAAATCACCATTTTTAATGGAAACTAGTCTTCCAACCCCTATCTGCCAGGGTCTATGTTAATTTACCAGAGGGTAGCGTTTTCGCAAACCATTGATCATGGGCGATCATCACAATTCCCCTGACCAGCTCAACCCGCCATTCCATGGATTGCGGTGAAACTTCCCATTTGGGTCAACATTAGAGACCTGGTGGATTTTAGATGTTTTTTCTCTGAAATACATAGGACATACTATTCAGATGTATTAAGCATCCAAGTGGGGTACTCTCTGGTAAACGTTTACATAGCCATTGAAAATGGCCCAGTCGAAATAGTTGATTGACCCGTTAAAAATGACGATTTTCCATCGCTATGTAAACCTGTACCAGGGGGTAGCCAATTTTGACCCCCATAGATCTTGGTGAAGGAAATGGATGAAATCTCAACGTCCCCAAAAAAAAGGTGGAACCATACCTGCGCTACGGCCGACTCGGGAGGTGCGAGTGGTGAGATTCTGTGCAAGTTTGGGTCGAAGTTTCGAAATGGAGATGTCCTAAGATACCCCCCAATCATCCACTGGCTGGTGGTTTGGAACATTTTTCCATATATTAGGAATAATCATCCCAACTGACTTTCATATTTTTCAGAAGGGTTCAAACCACCAACCAGCCCCAATCATCCGTGTTAGTAGGATTTTCCGTTATAAACCACCCAGCTATTGGGGTACCAGTCCAGGAAACCCTCAAAAGTGGCAATGTGGGCAGCCATAAACCTGTAGGCTTCCACCCTCACCAGCAGATTGTACCCAACAAACATCGCAACCAACCCGTTGGTTTTTATACCCAGGGGGATCCGCAGCTGGGCGTCAATGTCCTTGTAGGGGGAAGAAATGGTAAAGCACCATTCTGATCCCGGGAGGAGGAAAAGCCAAGCCGACAGTCACCTTTAATGTGAGGGTTTGGGGCCAAAAGCGCGGCCTTTTGGAATCCTGACTCAGGAAATATGACGGCCTCAGTGTCTTCCAGTGACATGAACCTCGTGGGGGACGAGGACAGCCTTCAGGACATCTATAACAAGAAATTGGCCATGTGTCAGTTCCTGCCCCAGAGGAAGGTTTTGCTCCTCGTCTATGCGACGTGCACACACGATCCTGCGGATGTCCTTTGGCTGTGAGGTCAGTGTCACGGGTGAAGTTGCACGGCACGCTTCTTGCACCCAGCACAGACCGTTCTCTGCATGGATGGGAGCCATCGTCACTATCATCTGGACAACCTGCTTCCTTCCCGGTCTTTTAGCTTTTGTGCCAACATGTTTTTGGTTTATTTTGTCACGAAAGCTAGCGTCAGCTAGCTGGAGTCTTCTTGCTTTAGCAAGTATTGGGGGGGCTGCTCAAGGACATCACGTGATTTTTCACGCGAAAGGGCCCCCTCCCCCCCCCTCCACCACCACCACCACCACCATCACCATCATCATCATCATCATCGTCATCATCATCGTCATCATCATCGTCATCGTCCTCTCCATCGTCCTCGTCCTCGTCCTCGTCCTCGTCATCATCATAATCGTCATCATCATCGTCATCGTCATCGTCATCGTCCTCTCCATCGTCCTCGTCCTCGTCCTCGTCCTCGTCATCATCATCATCATCATCATCATCATCATCATCGTCATCATCATCGTCATCGTCCTCTCCATCGTCCTCGTCCTCGTCCTCGTCATCGTCATCATCATCGTCATCATCATCATCATCATCATCATCATCATCATCATCATCATCATCATCATCATCATCATCATCATCACCATCATCATTCATCATTCATCATTCATCATTCATCATTCATCATTCATCATTCATCATTCATCATCATCGTCATCATCATCATCATCATCATCGTCATCGTCATCATCATCATCATCATCATCATCGTTATTCAATTACATTTTATCATTATTGGCAATTATTGTCATTATCACGAAAGCTAGCGTCAGCTCGCTAGAGTCTTCTTGCTTTAGCACGTATTCCGGGGCTCCCCAAGGACATCACGTGATTTTTCCCGCGAAAGGGCCCCCCCCTGCCCCCTCCCCCATATATATCATTGTTATATATCATATATCAATATATCATTGTTGCATCCTCGTTGGGACGAACAATGCCGCGACACGATGCTGACAGTCCCTCCGCAACTCACCTCTTCCCTTCCTTCTTTCTCCTGCCCCGCTAGCTTTCGTCATCCACCCCCGGCCTCAAGTTGTTTGTTGTTTCTCCGGACAGCAAAACTCAGAGGGACAATGAGACTAGACTAGCTTTGAGGCGGTTGCTCCTGCGGTGTTCAGGACGATGCATGGTGGCCTTGATCATTATGGCATTGGGTTTACCAGAGACATATTTGTGGCCAAACATGATAAGTCTAGAAATTACCATCAAATGAACCATATGGCTTGAGTTTGTGAAATTGTGTAAACCCAAGAATCAACCATCTCATCAAAGAACCATTTAGGGTCCATTTTACATCAAATAGCTACAAGGAAAGAGACGATATCACCTGCAGTAAGAGTGTTTTGCTGTGAAAGCTATCTAAGACTACTCATGGGTATTGAGGCACGGTCACCGCAGGACTTCACTCTTCATCAAGTAGCATCTAGTTGATGAACATCAGATGGTTTCATCCACCAGGTTTGTAGAACCATTCTGGATATCTAATATTTGATGGCTGTACTCCATTATTCATGGTTGTACCCCCATGTCTGTTGAGTGCATCAAAGACTCCTTTTTTGGCCCAAGAAACCTTTGTTGAAGACCTCATCTGTGCAGGTTAAACCACCCTTTTTTTGGTTTTAATCTTATAATGTGTTTGGCGCTAACTCCCTACTTCTCCCTGTTTTTGGACTTAATTCCCTAGATGCTTACGTTACTCTGTTTTCTGTGTAAACCTTGGCAGCGTATCCATTTTTCAACCAGGATGGTCATAACTTTCGCATCCAGCTGCAATAAAAATTCGGAAAGACGGGAGTCTGAAATTTGCTGTGGAGTCGATATATCTATATATATATCTATATATATATATTCTTCCTATGTTGGGTTGATTGTATCTGTATTGTACCTATTTTGTGTTTCATGCACAATTTATCTAGCTATACGGATCCCATTCATGAACTTTTCAAGCTTATGTTCAGCTCAATTTCAACCCTGAACCCCTGATCATTCCTGTACCAATAAAACTTGACCATTGGCAAAAATTAGGATTTCCTGCGTTCCAAACGAGTTTACAACGTGCTCCCAAAACGGGCAACTCCGAAGTCTTGAAGAAACATGAGAAGATCAAGATATTAATCCCAAGAATCATTATCCATCATTATCCATCATTATCCATCATTATCCATCATTGTCCATCATTATCCATCATTATCCATCATTGTCCATCATTGCCCATCATTATCCATCATTATCCATCATTGTCCATCATTGTCCATCATTCTCCATCATTATCCATCATTATCCACCATTATCCATCGTTATCCATCATTATCCATCATTGTCCATCATTATCCATCATTATCCACCATTGCCCATCATTATCCATCATTATCCATCATTATCCATCATTGTCCATCATTATCCATCATTATCCATCAATATCCATCATTATCCACCATTATCCATCATTGTCCATCATTATCCACCATTGTCCATCATTATCCACCCTTATCCATCATTATCCATCATTATCCATGATTATCCATCATTGTCGATCATGATCCATCATTATCCATCATTATCCATCATTGCCCATCATTATCCATCATTATCCATCATTATCCATCATTGTCCATCATTATCCAAAATTGTCCATCATTATCCATCATTTTCCATCATTATCCATCATTGTCCACCATTATCCATCAGCATCCATCATCATCCATCATTAACCATCATTATCCATCATTACCCATCATTATCCATCATTGTCCATCATTATCCATCACTATCCACCATTATCCATCATTATCCATCACTATCCACCATTATCCATCATTATCCATCATTATCCACCATTGTCCATCATTATCCACCCTTATCCATCATTATCCATCATTGTCCATCATTATCCATCATTGTCCATGATTCTCCATCATTATCCATCATTATCCACCATTATCCATCGTTATCCATCATTATCCATCATTGTCCATCATTATCCATCATTATCCACCATTGCCCATCATTATCCATCATTATCCATCATTATCCATCATTGTCCATCATTATCCATCATTATCCATCAATATCCATCATTATCCACCATTATCCATCATTGTCCATCATTATCCACCATTGTCCATCATTATCCACCCTTATCCATCATTATCCATCATTATCCATCATTATCCAGCATTATCCAGCATTATCCATCATTATCCATCATTGTCCATCATTATCCATCATTATCCATCATTATCCATCATTGCCCATCATTATCCATCATCATCCATCATTATCCATCATTGTCCATCATTGTTCATCATTGTCCATCATTGTCCATCATTGTCCATCATTATCCATCATTATCGATCATTGTCCATCAGTAATTAATCACAACAGTTTGCTATTGAACATGGCCCATCTATAGACCACAAAGACCATGAATATCTTAGAAAATCACCCAAAAAAGTGGTGAATGACTAGATGTTTTTGTTGGTGTATGATTTGTACAGCTCCGATTCAATAATTCTATTTTGTTCTATCTACAGTATACTTTTATACATATAGATGTATATATATATATACATATACATATATGTATTTATAGATATACATATATATATATATACACATATAGATATTTATATATATATATATATACATATATATATATATATCACCCAAGTGATGTTGGTTTCCAACCCATATTAAGTAGTTCTATAATATTTTAATGTTCCATATACCATAAACCCAACAGTGCAAGTGGAGTTTCACATGAATCCAACAGCAACTATCTCACCATTATCTCACCCCAAAACGGATGGTTTACAATGGAACATCCTATCAAAATGGATGATTTGAGGGTACCCCCATTTTGAGTCCATTTTTTGTGAGTTGAGGATAGTTAACTGGTTGGTGGTTTCAAACATTTTTTATTTTCCAGTTCATATATGGGATGTCATCCTTCCCATTGGTTTTCATATTTTTCAGGATGGTTATTGCACCACCAACCAGCATCATAGCTATGGAAAACCCCCACGTTTCACAGATAAATCAACTTTAAATTGTATGAATGGTCAATTTTTTGTGGCTTGAGGATAGTCCACCAGGGATGCACCGCACAGGCGCACCGCCAGCGCGGCGTTGCAGCAGCGGCTGCTCTGTGCGGAGGCGCAGCTGGCCCTCAACAAGGCGCCCGACGGGTCTGACCATGGGGTAATGTGGGTACCCTCGGGTAATGACTAACAGTTCGCTATTGAAAATTGCCATAGAAACAGTGGATTTACCCATGAATAGCATGGTGATTTTCCATAGTTCTGTAAACGTTTACCAGAGGGTAAAACAATGCCATAAACCAGATGATTGGTATCTTGGTGTCCCATCAGATCCATGTATATCACTATCATATACCCAAATAATCCAATATCTCATAGCTAATGGGCCATATTCAATAGTAATAGGGAAAACATAATCTATAAATGGGCCATGTTCAATAGAGAACTGTTGTGATTTTCATGGGATTAATGATGGATAATGATGGATACTGATTATTGGGATTAATGGGATTAATGCGGGTAAAACAATGCCACAAACCACCCATGACTGGGAATTGTACTCATACCACCTATTTATGCTATTTATGGTGATGACTGCGGGATGGTTTATGTAATTGGTTTACCCACATTATACCCAGAAATTGATAGAAAAAATAGCAGTATCCTAGAGTCCACCTGCATAAAATTCTTGGGGTTTGATGGAGATGACCCATCAATAATCGAGGTATTAAACTATTTAAACACAATGGATATATATATATATAATGGTGGTACAAAATGCGGATATATATATATATATATATAATACGGATATGATATATATATATATATGGATATGTGTATATATATATATACATACAGTTGTTTGGAGATTACCCACCGATAATAGGAGTATTGAATTAAGCATCATGAGGATTCAATAGAGGGTAGCAACCATCGATTTTTTCAGGAGGGTAGTATATAAGATGATGGTTTCCCCACAATTTAACATTTCTATCTTTTTGGGAAGGGGAAGGGGCATGTTTTTTATGTTTGCCCATGGCGGATATATGGATGTGTTGAAAAATGGGACCTGAACAGCCACATGCAGCGTCAAAACTTAGCCAACAGGAGGTGCTTAGGGCATACAGCGATGGTCATCTTCCCATATGGGGCGATGGTCATGCCACCATTCACAGGGAAATGTAATGACCACGACAAGGATTCCCAGTATGGCATGGATTGCCAAAACCCATACATCGTATTATTGGTTTTACGTTCATTATTTTCCTGCTATATACCCATGATTGTTGCTTAAATCACCCACCATACCATGTTTTGACCATGACACCTTGTAGCAAATTGCTGGCTCGTAATCCACCTGGGTTAGTATTGGATAATACTCGGATACTCCTATGAAAATATTATATTGCTTTTTAATCCATCATAACTAGAACTAACCCAAACCCATACATCCATTATTTTCCATCACCTTTCATCACCTTTCACCATGGCACGCCGTACGCCTTCAACAGGAGGAGTACAGCAAAGCCTTGTCGACTGCCTCGGAGGTTCCGCCTTATGGCCATGGTTCTCAGTGAACGTGAAAAAATCCATGGATTTTGCTATTTGAATTACCCATTAAGAATGGTGATTTTCCATAGCTATGTTAGTTTACCAGAGGGTACCCAGATAATTTGATAGAAATATCTGATCATAACTTTGAAAATCATCATTGTTTGGGTGGTAAATCAACTATTTCTATGGGCATTATCAATAGCAAACTGTCAATGACTACCAGAGGGTAATGGCTTACAATGATATAAAGAATGATGGGGATAGAACATAATATCTAATTGTGACAATAGGGATTATAATACCAGTAAAAATGTCTAGTCTAGTTTTACAATGTCCCTAGTATTGATATTATTAGTATGGCCATCATTTCCCCTTTTATATCAACAATAGGGATTATAAACAGGAAAATGGAACCAACCATCAAGAATGTGTGTTCCCCAAAAATATGTTAATGTGGTAAACCCAATGCCATAAACCATCCCCAAGATCATGTTTTCTTAGTTGATATGTTTACCATCCCCGAATGGTAGCTTTGGAGCATTGGGTTCCCAACATTACATGGAATCGATCCGAATCTCCGAAAATATGGAGGTTTTGACCCAAAGATTGGGCACATCTAAGTCTGATGGATTCTCATGATTGGCAGGGCATCTCCCAACCTTTGGGCAAACCTCTGTGATAAAGTGTGTTTTGATGACTAAGGAAACCGACTAGTGAAGGGTAATCGATTGCACAACGGATTCTTTTGCGATGAATGGAGATGTAGTCATCCAAGCAACTTTCTTTTTGCAGGGTATGGAAGATTGACTGTGGATGTGTGATGATAAAGCAGTTCCTAGCCAATATCCAGGTGGTCACTTTAGAAAATCCATGGGATATTTCGTTGGTATGGGTGGACTAAGCTGGGTGATTAACCCAAAGTTCTTGACAAGATCCACAATGACTGGCGATTGAAGCAACGAGTCTATGGTGATTGATAGAATGGAATACAATCAGAGCAGATACGGCCAAAATCGACGTATGGGTCTATCCAACAGCGGGATGTGGGATCAACAATCAAAAACGACAGGGGGCTATGACATGAAGAATCCAAAATGTGTCTATACACCATGTTACAACGTACAAATTGGGGATGATTTACTATACACTTTTGCTGGATAGATCATATGATGATAAAAGGTACTGTAAGGTATGCACTCATATGGCATTGATGAAATCCCTATTGTTGCTGCTAAGAGCGCGATTCATGGAGCAACAATTACTCAGAACTCCCTTATGATTTTTCATGGTTTAACCAATAAATCACTACAAACAATAGGTGGGTATAGGTCAAAATTGGGCAAGACTTGGATGGCTAAGATGAGACACGGCTAACTATCCAGCGGTTAGGAAGGAGCTAAGGAGCTATGGGTATCCATATTCCAAAGATATTCCCTATTCAATGGGGAGCTGTTTGGAGCTACGAATCGAGTTTCCTAACCAAATGATAGCTAAAGTCAGTTTCCTATTTTCATCCCATTATTCACCATTGTGAACCATTAAATCACCATAAAAATAGTGGTTATATAAATCACCATAGCTATTTTTCAAATGGCCATTTCCAAAATCGGTAAAGCATTATACCTCCAGAGGGTAATTTTGATCCTCCCCGGTTTCAGTTTAAACCTTCCGCAGGCGGTGCGCGTGGACCCTTCCACCGGTCGTGCCCTATTACTCCTGGCCACTGCCAGGCAGGGGGCGGGAAGGGGTTTCTTAAGCTATAACTAGGGGTCATGGTTCTGTGGTAGCTATAACTATAAAGGGTAGCTATAATGATGTTCGTATGGTAACTGTAACTATAGTTATAATGGGGTTTATGGGTCATTGTAACTATAGTGAGGGGCTTAACAAAGGTTTATGATGATTTTAACTATAAATAGCTAGACGGGTAGTAAGCCAATTTCAAACTAGATGAATCATTTGAGGGATGATTTGCATTTGCGACTTTGCAACATCGATCAGCAGTCCTTGACCTGTTGTTCCTCTTTGATTGGTTCAATAGCATGGTTTATCAACAATTGATCTTCATTCATGTTGCTAATTTATCCCATTGTTTGGACAAGAATGTGTTATTGTCTTCTTGCCAGTGAAAACCAAGTCATGTCAATTGAAGTGGGCTACCAAGTAATACCATGTCCAAGTTATGTCAATTACATGGTCGCCACGGAATTTCACCTTGCAGGTTTTTTGCGAATCCGATGGTTGGGATTCTTGTGCTCAACGGCTCAGAATCCGATGGTTGGGATGATATTTCCTGAGAACAAAATACCCAAAGAAATATTCCTGTAGAAAAGGTATAAGATACCCAAAGAAATATATAAAAGTCTACAGAAATAGTCATATGGGATCATATACCTTTTATATTCCTGACTTTCTTTTGTGGACATATCCTCAAGTATTGGCTTTTGTGGAGCTGTTCCTTTCAATTTGGGCATTCCCTTACCCACTATGAGCGGATAGTGACGGTTAACAGGAGCCGATACTAGACAAGTTTCCTGATCGAGGCGTTGACTGGCAATGTGGATTGGGGCATAAACCAATCTGTAAATCATCCCATGTTGTCCCTACTTTACCAGAGGTTTAGACTTTAGACATCCCCATGATATATCTCCTATACAACTATCTATTGTGTTTCATCTCCTGTAGATGTTCCCTTCAAATGCTTGATACTTACAACCAGTCAATCTATAATCCACATGTATATCCTCACGTTAACCTTTACCCCAAAGATTTGCGCCCACACAATTCTAATGCTTCCCCACCAGATTTATCTCCATCAAATCTCACTACAATAATCTATAATCTCCTGTATCATAAGTTGGTGGTTTCAAATAGTTCCATGTTTCCATTCTCTCACATCATATATTCCAGCTACATCCCCAAATCTATGATTTCCAATAGTTTTTCCCCCAAGTATGGAGGTTTGTAAGGTGTCCTAAGTCATGGGGATACCCCAAATCATCCAAGTCATGGATGACCATGACTTTTCCCATACAGTTGATTGGCTATAACGATGGCTTAATCCGCTAAACAGTAAACTGGAGGTTTGTAGCTGGCATAGGGATATTTACTCCAGATACATACATATACACGCTATTTATTCCAACTATATACATGAATAATCTATGATTTTGTGATATTTTCTGTAGACTTGTCTCCCAAGTATCTTCCCAAGTATCATTTTTTCAACTACCATTGTTGATAAATATACCGTTGTTGATTGGTTGTTAGAGAGATTTAACCATCAATCATCTATGATTTCCTGGATATCTGTAGACTTTTCCCCAGGTAAGATGTTTAGCATCATCCCAAGTCAATAGGAAAAAATCAGGACCCTAAAATGGAGGTACGTCAGTACCATATTTTGGGCCATATGAATTGTGGGGATATTTAGCCCTGAAAAATAGGCCGAAAATATATGGTAGGTAGCTCACCTCCAGTTTAGGTTCCTGAAATGGCCATTGAATATAGAGATAAAGCCATATTTTGCGGGTATATCCCTGAAATTTAGCTCTTGACCATCAATTTCTGATAGTTCTCATAGTTTGTAGATTTCTTAACCATCAATTGTACTGGCTGGTGGTTTCAATTTTTTTTTATTTTCCATAATATATTTGGGATAATCCTTCCCATTGACTTTCATATTTTTCAAGATGGTTATTGCACCGCCAACCAGCATCATAGCTATGGAAAATGGCCATTTATAGTGAGTTTTCCCGTTAAAAATTGTGATTTTCCATAGTTGTGTTAGTTGACCAGAGGGTATTTCCTATATCAAGATGGTTAAAACCACCAACCAGTCATAGTTTGTAGATTTCTTAACCATCAAGGAGAGTTATTTCCCATATCATCCCAAGCTTTCCCAATGATCAAAAACGTAACGTCCCCCCCGGCAGGCACCGCGTGGCGGACTACTCGGCCGCCTTACGTGCCGTGGCGGCGGCACTGGAGCCAGCTGGGGATGAGGTGCCCAGCTCTAGGTGGGCACCCAAGAATATCAATGGTTCATAGTGGATGGTTAATATTGATTGGTTGTTACTAGTGGTTAATAGTTGTTACTAACGTTAACATATGGTTAATATGGTTAACATAGGGGTTACTGGAAATTTCCAACGTCTACAGTTTGCGAACTGGAAAATCACCTGGTTGTTTGGTTGGTAAACCAACTAGAAAAACCATTACTGGTTGGTGGTTTGGAACATGAGTTTTTTCCATATTTTGGGAATAATCATCCCAACTGACTTTCATAGTTTTCAGAGGGGTAGGTCAACCACCAACCAGCTAACGTTAACTATGGACAATATTGGCTACAAACATAGTGGTAAATAGTTGTTACTAGTGGTTAATAGTTGTTACTAACGTTAACTTATGGTTAATATGATTAACATAGTGGTTACTAACATTAATAGTCATTGTTCTTGGTTTAATAGTGGTTAAGCACTATTAAACAACAATGGTTAATATATTGTTATTATCAATATAAACAACCATGAACCACTATGAACTATTAATATTGCTCATGGTTGATAGTGGTTCATAGTTGTTAATAGTTGATGGTTGTTGATAGTGGTTAATCTATGGTTGGTTATGGTGGTTAATGGTTAATGGTCAATATTAACCACTATCGGCCACTAGTATTGGGTGGATCCATGAATAGTAGTTATGGTTCATATTAGTAATTATATAACCACTATGATTGGGCGGATTAGTAATAGTAATTCATTAAAAGACGCCCAGTAATTTAATATATATATATAATTGTTAAAAGTGGTTAATTACATTCATATTGTTCATAGTGGTTAGTAGTTGTGAATATATGATTAGTACGATGGTTAATGCCCGCCCATCCGCAAGAATTCACATGGAGCTGCTTCTTTGGGTAACCCCATTGATAAATAGTTTCGAAGGTTGATGTTTTTTATTTGGCCATAGATGGTGGATCTAAGAGTTTAATTCTGGCCGTGCTTATTCTCTCAGCCAGGAGTTCTGATCATTGCTGTTTTTCTACAAACAGATGCCCAGTTTGTTAGCTAAATTTGGAAGCATCTCTGTATATGGTGATCTCTGCGGGATGGGTGAACCTAAGCCAACTCAGAAATGTTGCACCATAACTGTTTCGGGGCACCACTGCAGGCATTGCCACAAAGTGACGTGGATGTCGATCCCTTGGCTTTCTCAGCAGTTCATGGTGAAAAATTGCTGGCCATCTTAAGATAGCACTATTGATTGCTTATCATATGCGCACATAAACTACCTTATTTCATGGGGGATTATGAGCATCCGTAATAGATATACAGTATCTATTAATCGACCAGTATAGTGGGAGAGGAGAATGGTTTGATTGATTTTGATTGTCTGCATGTCAAGTGTCAGAGGACCATCATATGTTGCAACTATCTTCCAACATCCATCACATGTGCCAACTATCTTCTAATTTTCAGTTTTGATCATGACCCCAATTAGGGAGATTATTGTGGACCCAGAAGTAGCTCATAGAAATAAGGAACCCCGATGCCAAAACTCATTTGCGTAGTCTTCAAAATCCTGTTTTGGTTGATTACTATAGAGGGTAAAAAACTACCCTTTACATATATATACTGGTTGGTGGTTTGGAACCTGAATTTTATTTTCCATTTCATATATGGGATGTCATCCTTCCCATTGACGAACTCCATCATTTTTCAGAGGGGTTATTGCGCCACCAACCAGTATATATTGGGGGTTGTCATCATCCGTGGGAATCCGTGTTCTTAACCAAACATTATAGATTGGGCATGTTCCACCATCTCCTCAATGGCCATGACTTAGGAACCGATTGAGGACGGAGGTACCGATTCCATATATTTTTGGCCTATTTAAAAAAGGCCTATGTAAGGGGATATACCCCCAAAATATGGCCTGGAATATGGTACAGTACCTCCATTTTAGGATCCTGAAATTCCCATTGATCTCCCTTTTTTTTATTGCCAGGGCATCTCTTCCCGACGCTTCCAAGCGGCGTGTCACGCCTTGGCTGCACAGGTGAGTAGCGGCCCCATCAAAATGGCTGGTTTTTAAATGGGGGAGTCGCCAGCAAAGGTCTTCTGGTTTAAGCACAAGTCAAAGAAGTGCTGGCTTTCTTCAGCATCTACCCTCTGGTAATTTAACATAGCTATTGAAAATGACCATTAATAGTGGATTTCCCCATTAAAAATGGTGATTTTCAATAGTTATGTTAGTTTACCAGAGGGTAATGATTCAAATGGCAAACCATTCAGCAAGCCATTGAATTGGGGATTTTGAACCCGACCATTATAACCAATCATCTCCCATCTCCCTATTGAATCGTCCATCAATTGGAATTGGTAAATGAAATATGATGGGGATTTTTCACCGACCATCGTGGGGTTGTTTTGTGATTGCCTGGGGGCTTGGTGAGATATTTTTGTATCAGCTGACATCAATTATGGGTAACCTTGAGGGCATTCATATTGAGATACAATCGCTACCCTCTGGTAATGACTAACAGTTCGCTATTGAAAATGCCATTTATAGTGAGTTGTCCCATTAAAAATTGTGATTTTCCATAGTTATTTTAGTTTACCAGAGGCTACATGACCATATAACCATATACCCAGTGGACAAGGTAGCATTACATACTTAATGTACATCCTGTACATCCATATGCACACACACAGGATTAGCTTGAATTCTCCTATGGTTGATGCTTCGACCCGCTTTCCAGTTCGCAGGCCCACGAGCGGCTCAGGGAATACCCGGAAGCCATCGCCCGGGATGCCCAGAATGCAGACGATGTCCACCAGAAATCAGAAGACAAATACCAGGATTTGCTCAAGATCAATGTTGATTTTCCCAATGGGAAATCCACTCCGAGGGGAAACAATAGGAAAAATTGATGATTTTGGGGTCCTTAAGCAAATCTAAATAGCCCATGAACATTGGTATTTGTTATCCTCATTTGATGATTTCATACTACCTATCCATAATAATCGATATGTTTTTTGCTTGGCAAGAACAACAGTAGCCAATTCATACTGCTGATTCATTTACGAAAAAAGGATCTTAATCCCATATAAAATCATCATGTTTTACGTTTATTTACTCAATGATCCCCATGTTTTTATCTCAGATTCACCCACGTGTCATTCCCATGGTCCCTTTGCGAGGCGCGCGCCGAGCGCGCGCTGCAGTTGCAGCCGAAGCTGCTAGCAGCGCGCCTGGCGAAAGCCTTGGCGAAGCAGCAGAGTGGACATATCTTGGAAGCTGAAGAGGTTGGGATGGGATGATATCATGAGATTGAGATGATGGATGTTTACACACTTAACTTCACTTATCTTGGGATGATGATTTCTGGGGAATCAAGCATCAGCGTTGGAGGCGAGTTATGGGCTGGATGAGGGGATTCTCACCAAGTACCCTCTGGTTATGACTAACATAGCCATGGTATAGACGGCCCATTTATAGATGGTTTACCTATTAAAAATGGTGATTGTCCATGGCTATGTTACAAAATCAGATGGTAAATGGGAAATTCATCATCAAACTGGTGACTTAAGTGAGTAACTTGGGCTGAGCTGGGTGATGATAAAAAGATTCCAGACATGGATATGAGTGAGGTATTGATCATCTAAAGTGGGTCATTTTTACCAAGTGCATGTGACCATCAACTGCACAAGATGTTGGGTGATGGGATGGGTATACAATATGATTCACCATAGTGAATGGGGTTTACAGGGTTTACATGGCGACTATATTCCAGTTGTACGGGGATGTGACCTAGCAATCACGCTATCTGACGTCCACAGATTAGCCATGGGTTTGGCAAAACCCATCCCATCAGCCCTCAAATTACTATCAAATCACTACTGATACTAACAATGTGGTTAAAACAATGCCATGTTTACCATCCACCAGTCATCACCGCATCACCATTTTCAAAAAGTATTATAGGTGCTATGTTTACCATTCCCAAATGGGTGGTAAATATGGCATTGTTTTAACCACATTAGTCCCATTACTGCTCACTATTAGAATCAATCAGGACCTTCAGATCATTTACTGCTTCACCCACTTCGGACCCATCAGGGGTTGGCCTCTTGCCTCGCAATGTACCGCGCAAGCTTGGGCGCGACTTTGGCCTTCATTTAGTTCATCCTGGATTACAATTTGCAGCAAGGCGCCTGGAACAAGCGGGTGCGATCAATCAGCGGTGCTTGTCGGTGGCTCCGCCAAGATGTGGCTGTGCCCTATGTCATCAAGGATACAGACAACTGCGTCCTCTCATCCAAGCCTCGTGCGGTTCATGTCCCTGATCGATTGCCTTCGAGGTGTCGCTCAAACCATCGATGGTCACTCGCGTTAGATTATGGCTGGTGGTTTGACCACGGAAGCACATTCTTCTCCCATTCCCACCTATTGTAGCTGTTGCAATCAAGCTGTTGTTCCTGGCACTGATCACATACTTTGGAGCTGTCCCACTTTTGATTCTTATCGAAGGCATTCCAGACCACCTGACGAGCTCGAAGCTCGACTAGGATGGGGCCAGAATGGCCCGAAACAACATTTGATCATTCAGATGGGTCAGATTCGTGCCGTTTACGCTGAGGAAAGCGTTCGCCTGGGCTTGTGGCGGGCGGGGGGGGGGGGGGGGGGGGGCCTCCTTTGCCTGAGGTTCAACTCTCTGCAGTAAGCGGCACTGCCGCTTCGGCCGCTTGCGCGAGCTACGCAGCGGCTGCAATCATCATCATCTTATCTACGTAGCATGCCGGAACTCGTTGCTACCAGCAGCTATGCTGCCCACAACACGGCCACCATCGGGTCAGCATCGCCACCGACGACAATGTGTGTATTGGTAGTCAAAACAACCTAATTATAGAGTGGTACATTTATCACCAGTAACTCAATGACCAACACCAACTTATGATAAAACTAGCCAAAAATGTGATTAGAACCAGCAAAACATTGGGAAAGAACTGGGTAAACCGAGGAGCCGAAGGGTGATAGCACCAAATTGGAAGGGGGCTTATCACCAAATAGGTGGACCAGTCTCCATGCAAATGTGGATGAAGTTAAGTCAGGCTGGGGTGCCCTGAGATGCCACAGAATTTGTTCACACCCAAGAAGACAAAACAAGTCAGTTATCCAGGTGTACCATTTGGGGGTTTCCATACATGGGATCCCCAAAATAGTTGGTTTATAATGGAAAAATCCTATTAAAAATGGATGATTAAATTGGGAGGGCTAATTATTTTAGGAATTTTTTTTGATCAGGTTTAGGAATTATTTTTGGATTCCTGCTTCTCTGCTTTTCCTGCTTTTCCTGCTTCTCTGCTTTCCTGCTTTTCCTGCTTTTCCTGCTTCTCTGCTTTTCTGCTTTTTTGCTTTTCTGCTTCTCCTGCTTCTCGCCTTTTCTGTTTTTTTGCTTTTCTGCTTCTCCTGCTTCTCTGCTTCTCTGCTTTTCTGCTTTTTTGCTTTTCTGCTTCTCCTGCTTCTCTGCTTTTCTGCTTTTTTGCTTTCTGTTTTTCCTGTTTCTTTGCTTCTCTGCTTTTCCTGCTTTTCCTGCTTCTCTGCTTTTCTGCTTTTCCTGCTTCTTTTCCTTTCTGCTGTTTTGCTTTTGTGCGTTTCCTGTTTCTTTGCTTCTCTGCTTTTTTGCTTCTCTGCTTTTTTTTTTGCTTTGCCTGCTTTAAATACTTGATTTTCATGTAAGATGCATTTTGCACAGTATTTACATCCCTGAGTATCACATGACCAACCTTCTCTTGAAAACTAGCAACGTAACATGTGAGAAGAGGTGCTTGCATTCTGCTTTGGGGGGAGGCGCTGCGCCCTCCCCCCAATCCCCCCCTCCCCGCTTTTTTTATTTAAACTTAAACCCAAGTTACATTAGTTGGTTTTTGCGAACTAACCTTCTCTGGAAAGCTGACAGGTTTACATGTGATATAGATAGATAGATAGCTGATAGATAGCTTGGTAGATAGATAGCTAGATAGATAGATAGCCAGCTAGATGGATAGATAGCTAGAGAGATAGATAGCTAGATACCTCGATAGATAGATGGCTAGATAGATAGCTAGATAGATAGATGGCTAGATAGATAGCTAGATAGATAGATAGCTAGCTAGATAGATAAAGAGGTAGCTAGATAGATAGCTAGATAGATAGATAGATAGATAGCTATAGATAGGTAGATAGTTAGCTAGATAGATAGATAGCTAGATAGATAGCTCGATAGCTAGATAGCTGGATAGACAGCTGGATGGCTAGATAGATAGATAGCTAGATAGATAGAAAGCTAGATAGCTAGATAGCTAGATAGATAGTTAGCTAGATAGCTCGATAGCTAGATAGCTGGATAGACAGCTGGATGGCTAGATAGATAGATAGCTAGATAGATAGAAAGCTAGATAGCTAGATAGCTAGATAGATAGTTAGCTAGATAGCTAGATAGGTAGATAGATAGCTAGCAAGATAGCTAGCTAGATAGGTAGATAGATAGCTAGATAGATAGATAGCTTGCTAGCTAGATAGATAGCTAGCTTGCTAGATAGATAGCTAGCTAGAGATAGCTAGATAGCTAGCTAGCTGGATAGATAGCTAGCGCCCTCCCTCAATCCCCCCCACCCGCTTTTTATCTAATCCCAAGCTTCCGCATCTGTAAATATTTGGGTGAACATGCTCACATGTAGAACATCCCATGCAAAATGGAAGGTGAACATGCCAAAATGTGGCAAATTGTATGGAAGGTGAACATGCCCACATGTAGGAAATCCCATGCAAAATGGAAGGTGAACATGCCAAAATGTGGCAAATACCATACAAAATGGAAGGTGAACATGCCCACATGTAGTAAATCCCATGCAAAATGGAAGGTGAACATGCCCAAATGTGGCAAATACCATGCAAAATGACAAATTCAAGTTCCAAACCGTTGCAAACACTAGGCAAATGGTACCAGCCAAGAAATCCAAAAAAAAATCCCAAACCTGTTTTAAAAAAAAATCCTAAAACTATTTCACACCCTATTGGGTACCCCCATTTCAGGAAACCTCCATTTGGAGGGGCTTCAAAACACTTAAAAACCAACACGCCAAACAAGATAAACCAGAGGTTTTATGGCAGTTGGTTTGCCACATAAGGCCTCATGGATTTTGCTGTTTCCCTCATGGTTTGATGGGTAAATTTCATCACGACCGAACCCTGTTCTCCCGAAGCCTGGAATCATGGTTTTCAAAGGGAAATCATCCCCAAATTGCCAAACTATTCAGGTTAGTGAATTATTATATGTTACCCAGATATATGCAAAAGATATCAAAATATGTAAGAATCATGTAAGATCTACCACTTGTAAATCATGTTTGAAGGGAAACCCTGTTGATTGTCCATATTGTTTGCTATATGTTGTTTGTTCCGTGGGGGGGCAATAACCCAAGTGCATCCCCTCAATTTGTTGTAAAATGATGTTTTTTGAGTGGACCCCTAACAGATATCATATACTGGTTGGTGGTTTGGAACATGAATTTTATTTTTCCATTCAGTTGGGAATGTCATCATCCCAACTGACGAACTCATATGTGTCAGTGGGGTGGGTATACCACCAACCAGATATTATTCACCATCATTAACCATATAATAACCATTAATATCAACCAACCAGGATGGTAGGTTGAAACCACCAACCAGATATCAATCCCCATGATTCGCCATGATTCAACCACCATGGATTCTGTCACCATTGTGGCCCCCATCCCACCTTTCTGCAGGAGCTGATGTCAATCTTGCAGTCGAACCCGCAGCATGGCCAAGCCACTTCGCCGCAGGTTTTGGCTTCGATGGGAGGTTGGAGCTGGTTGACCCTCACCGTGAAAAAATAGCGGAAAACCCCCACTTTTCACAGAGAAATCAACTTTAAATTGTGTAAACGGCCATGTTCAATAGTTATTTTGACATAACCAGAGGGTACCCTGAAACTAGCCGCATGTTTTGCTAGTTCCTATTTCAAATTTCATCCACCAAAACGACAATGTTTGATCCGGATCAGGTCTTCAGAAGGGTCACTAGTCCCTGTCACACCTCCAAACATCGGCATGCTGTTCTTGTGTTATTCAACATCAAAACCCCCCCAAGATGGATGATTTTTCTACATTAACCACATCAAACCCAAGATGCTTGGACGAACCTACATGAACCAGATGGTTGGAAGGATTTTTCTACATTAACCCATCTCAAAACCCAAGATAGTTGGAGGATTCACCCACCTTTGTTCAGGTCCCCATCCCATTAAAACCCAGAAACCTCAAAGGTTCATGGTTTTCCCGGTCCGCCCTGCAATGTGAGGCCCCCAAGATAGCGTTCAATTGGTTTATAACTCCAATAACTATGGTTTATGGTACTTATAACGAACTAGTTGCTGGGGCGAATCTAAACCAACTTATAACTGGGGGGGCCCACTTTGTATGTGTGGATATATGGATGTACATTAACTGGTTGGTGGTTTTTCGCCCTACTCCTGGGGGGCCTCACATTGTGGGTCGAATATGCATCGATCGGTCCTCGAGGCCCGACTACAGCTGGCCTACTGCAAGATGGTCTCCTCCAATTTGCCGCGCGCTGCGGCCATCCTGGAGGGTTTGTTGGCCTCAAAGGCACCCTTGCCGCGCAGCCAGCGGCACGGCAGCATCGGAGATTCCAACAATATAACCGACCAAAATGGGATTTCATTGGTAATTTGATGGGATTTAATGGTGATTTAATACCAATTTAATAATGGTAATTTGATGGCAATTTAATTGTAATTTGATGGGATTTAATACATTTACTGCACATGGCCTTTCAGCATTAAAGGTAGGACTAAAGCCCAAAATGGAAGACCTGTTCAGTTGATGAGTTGTCATATGTTTTCATCATTTACGCAGGGTGGGTAACTTTACCGGATGTCATCAGCTGTCAGTGACCGGAGATCGCCAACCCACAGGGAGAATCCAAGCGACATAGGATACCATCACCAAGAACGGGGCGCCATCAGCCATCAGCCGAAACGTGTGACAAACAATCAACAACAGTGGGTTTTTAATCATCAAAGTATGGGCAAAGAATCTGTGAAAGGTAGTTTCATGGTGGAGTGTTGTAAAAAAAACAAGTAATATGTTGACGAACTACCCTTTCAAATGGAAAATTCAGCTGAATTAAATTCGTCAGAAGGCAATAAGAAAAACTTGTTGGTCGGGTGTTTTTCCTCAATGAAGAATACAACATGACTGGGGAGTTAAATTATCAAACAAAGGGAATAAACATGATTTCATCATCAAAAGAAAAGAGTGAAGCAAGCAAACCTGCGGATGATTGAATCATGAAATACTGGTCGGCGGTTTGGAACATGAATTTTATTTTTCCATTCAGTTGGGAATAATCCCAACTGACGAACTCATATTTTTCAGATGGGTAGGTATACCACCAACCAGGCAAGATAAAGTTGAAGAAACGCATCCCTTAGACTGAAACTCAGCGTTGCATGAACGAGCCCGAGTTGATGAGTTCACTCACAGACAACTGAAACGGCCACCTCGAATGGTGTTTCTCAAGTAAGGCAATATGCAAATCTCACGTGCTCATTCAAGAAAGCTAAAGAATCCCATAGAAAACTAAGACTATGAACCTTTCAAATCCAAGGAATCCTCTGACCGAACGTCGGGATTCCTGTTGCAGCCGCATCTGGAAGGCCTGCCATGGGAACAGCAATTGTAGTAGCATCTTCAAATGAGCGGTCCAGCAGCACCGATTACAGGAAGACATGGTGGAGCTCGCCAAAGGCCGACACCAGGCGTAGCAAAGGAAGCGCTTGTATTGATATCCCGACGGCTTGCCTGCGGCAAGCTGGCAACACTGAGAGCCGAAGAAACTATGAAAAGACATGGTTGGTGGTTTGGAACATGTTTTTCCATGTATTGGGAATAGTAACCCCAACTGACTAACATTTTTTCAGAGGAATTGAAACCACCAACCAGACTATGTTCATGTGAGTTGTTTCGACTGGTTACTTATCATCTTCCCTATTAAAATGGCAACGAATTGGGGGATCAATTCCCATTTTCAGATATACCGTTGGCCTCAATGGGACATGCCGATGGTGGTAGTTTACCCGTGATCAAACATGGCAATGGTTTACATGTTAAATGGAGGTCCAAAAAATTGTAAACTCCTCTACAGGATGGGCCCCCCAGTTATAAGTTGGTTTATAAACCATGATAATCCCCATTAACTAGTTCGTGATATCTACCATAAACCATAGAATTCAACCACTTATAAACCAACTTAGCTATCTTGGGGGCCCCATCTTGTAGGGGATTTGTTCCATTGCCCTGTTTGATTTCCTCTGAGAGTTCTTTGTTCTTTGCCGGAAATGGCGGTGTTTTTCAGCAAAGAACAATTGCGCCATCAACGGCAATTCTGTGTGAGGCTGCTGGATTCCGCCAAAGGATCCCCATGTTGGATAGAGCCCGATCAATAGGAACAGAATGGATTGATATTCCACGAACATTGAAGTGGTGTAATTAAGGGAAAGTTGTCAGGGAACCATAGATTGTTCCAGTAAAAAAAATTGGGGCGTTCCTGATTTGTTTCCCTTAAACCAATCCATTGAAACTAACATTGGCTTCTATTGTTGATATTATCAATCATATTTGCCCATTGTAGCGGTTGTCTTGGGAATACTCATCTTATGTGTGGTTTTTTAAATGTGTGTATAAAACATACCCTCTGGTTATTTAACATAGCCATGGAAAATCACGGTAAACCATTTATGAATAGGCCATTTTCCATGGCTATGTTAAATAACCAGATGGTAGATGTAAATCATCTAAGGGTGTCGGTTTGTCTCCAAACTGGGGAATATCATGGGATTTTGGGGCCTGTTTGGACCATGGACCATCTCAAAATGGTGATTCCCTGCAAATCGAGGGATCATATCCAAATCATATGTTCCTGCTTTTTTTGTTCCTTCAGATCCATGATTCCCCATTATGCTAAATATAACCCATATACAATTCTGGTACCTACATATTTCATGCTTGACCCATGTATAATCAATATTTAACTTACCATCTGGTTATGACTAACATAGCCATGGAAAATCACCATGCTATAAATAGGTAAACCATCTATTTCTATGGGCCATCTATACCAGGGCTATGCCAGTCATAACCAGATGGTAGATATAAATCATCTATGGGTGTAGGGTTGTCCCCAAACTGGGGAATACCATGGGATTTTGGGGCCCATATATAATCAATATTAACCATTAACCATAGATTAACCATAGATTAACCATTTATAGATGGTTTATCTCCCATTATCCCCATATTTTCCAATAACCAGATGGTAATGCATTTTCACCCACTAGAAATGTCCTGATCCCACATCCTGGACCAAGGTTGGGCTGCGCCAAGGCATACTTGGCCCTGGCCCTTGCGCAGCAGAGGACGGCTGGTGTCAGAACACGGCCTGGGATATGAAGATGGGAAAACAATAGGTATATCTATGGGATATTCATGGGATAGTCATGGGATAGAACCAATGGGTTCCCGGATTTTTTTCCATGAATATCCCATTGTTAAATATTGCTCTAGGTTCCAATTGACCATGAATATGGGGATAAATGCGTATAATGGGACAATAAGTATATCTGAGCATCTCTTACTGAATTTCTGCGCCACTCAACCATGTTTCTGGATTTTTGAGTGTTGTTTTCACTGTTAATATTCCGAATTAGTTTCGTAATTTACCCGCTAGATCCTCGTAGCACTGCGCTAGCAAAGTTGCGGAAAGTGGTTTCAGCATGACCCAGTCGCCCCTGGAGATGGTGGAAAGTCCTTCCATTTCCACGACTAGCAGCGGCACCGACTCCAAATAGTGGTGCGCTAGCAGTAGATCAGGATTCAAACATGAAAGAGAAAATACAGGTTTTCAGATTGTTTAGATAAGTCATAGATAAGTCATAGTTCATAAGATACAACAAGAAGCGGTACGCATGAAATTACCATTTATGAACCAAACCAGAGGAAGACATGTTGATGAACCTTTTAAAAAGGATATTTTTCGGATCATTTGGATAAATCAGGACTTGTGGCTAGTGGGAAAGTAGCCAGAGATTGATGGATTCAAGATGGTTTCCCCACCAATACATGGGGATATAGTTAAGATTGACTCGGGAAACCTGGCATGGGTACTTCATTTGGTGATGGTATGGATATTGGTATTTAACCGCTGACTATGGAATTTTTACCACTTGAAATGGAGTAAAACCAAGATATCATTGGGTGAATTAATTATATACCAAAAAGTAAAGGATGGGTTATTAATTCTATGCCAAAAAGTAAAGGATGGCTATGCGTGCATATATATATACATATATATGTTGCGGATATGGGTTTAACTTGCGCCCCAAGAAATTGGTCTATTAATACCGTAATACCAAGAAAGGACAAGTTCTTTCTAAGTCCATTGGTACACTACTCCTCGGCACATACAGTCTCATTGGCTATGGATGCATGATCAACGCGTCTGGGCAATTGGTGATTGATGGAAGCATTCCGTTCTCTGAAGTGGCCGGAGCATGGTGCCAGACCAACAGGTACACTTGGGAACGCTTGCTGATCGACTCTACGGCGAGTCTCTGGCCCTCCAGTCTGCTATCTCGGCTCCTCAGTCCCTTCTAACTGGGGCCGAGACGGCGGCGCTTGAGCTCTTCAGCTCGACACGCCAGCGTGGCGTGGTGAGGTCCAACCTCCAGACGCTCAAGTCGGCTCAGGTGCTGCTTGGCAAGCAAGAGGACCTGGCATCCATGGTGGTGGACGTTTACCTCCGCCATCTGACGGCCGAGGCTAAGCCAGTTGCGGCTCGAGCCTCGAATGACATTTGCACCCTACTCCCGGAGGTGGCGCAGCGCCCAACTCGTGCGTCCATCCATGTATGTGAGACATCCCAAAGGAATCTGGCAGGATTATCTGTCCAGCTTGTCTCACTGAGACTCCAAACAACTTGTCCATCTGCGTCAGGTGCACGGGATCGCTTGTAAGTTGGGGAGAACGTACATCCATGAAATGCCAGTCTTTGTCTACTACTTTGGCAAATGAATTGCCTCGTGAAACAGGACACCTCCCACAAAAGTGGCCCTGTTCCAGCCATGCTTCTCTCCGTATTCACGGGGCTCTGGGTGTACCAACAAAAATGGGAGTGAAGGGATAGGGTATATACATACTGGTTGGTGGTTTGGAGCATTTTTTCATATATTTGAAATGTCATATTCCCAACTGACTAATCAATCATGGTTATGCATGTAGTGTATATAGTTGTTTTCAAATATACTACAGTGTTCCTGGTTTTTGAATGATCCCCAATGACTGAACATTACCAAAGAAGCAGCTTATCCCTATCAGATGTTTGATTACTTGGTAATGTCACAAGATATCCCTATGATTTGCAAAGCCACGAATCAGATGATTTGTCTTGGTGCACGGTGAGGAGAGAGCGGGCCGTCAACCTCGCAAAGGAAGCAGTTCTGGTGCATCGCAACCTTCAAACCGTCGCTCGTCGGGGAAGAACATGCCATGGGGATTCGGCTCCAAACTTGTCAAAGGTGACCTCCCTCTGAAAAATGATCGAAGCAAGTCTTGACTTCTTCAGGCTTTGTTTTTTTTGTTTCCTCATGATTTTGTGGCTTCGTGCGGGTCGTTTTTTCACAGGAGACATCATTACTGGGGTTCTCTTTTCTGTGGCTGCAATCGACTACAATAGCAGCTTGTGTAATCATCAATTGTCTTCCCAGAGGTTTCCTGAAATGGGGGGTACCCCCCAAAATCCCCCCAAAATCATCGATTTTAAATCAGATGCTTCATTGTACTACAAACCATCCAGCTATTGGGGTACCATTGATTGATTTCTATGGATGTTCTCTGGATTTTCTATGGATTTCTATGGATGTTTATGGATTTCTATGGATTTCTATGGAAACCTGATGGCATCGCCTCCCGGCCCCGGCGAGGTCTGGCACGGCATCCAGTCCTCCCGTCTGGGCGGTCGGGAAGCGGTGCAACGCCTGCGGGGGATCTGCGATTTGGACCTCAACGTGAACCAGGCGAGCCGCGGAGATTTCCGCGCCGGAGATTTCCGTGGGATTTCTGGGTGGGTTTATGGGGAAGAGGAATAAACACCGCCAAAAATGGGGATTAAAGCTGTGTCAAACCATAATATGGATGATTTATGGATAAGTTGAATGATAACAATGAGATGATAATGGGATAACAGTGGGATAGTAATGGGATTATTTCTATTTAAACTATGCAATAGTTTGGATAAATTATAATGGCCTCACGTCATGACATCACTGGTATCATGGTTTAGCTATTTTCAAGTTAGTGAATTATTTCAAACTGGCCAGATGCATCCTAAATTGCAATGTGGATATAGGAAATGTTGGGGGGTAATGCCCTAATCATTATATCAATATCCACAAGTCAGGGCAAGAAGACATGGGCTAAATCTATGGGCCCAATCTTAGGTTGATGGGCCATGCTGATCCCAGCTTTGAGGTTAGCGCACTGATCGGGTTACCTGCCATAGATTTTGGGATTTATTGAGGATTGTTCAACCCCCCCCTTAGCTTGATGTCTGCTGTTTTTGGGGAGGCTATACTATTCAACATGGGGATTATCAAAAGCTATGGGGATATTTTGGTGGATCTGATAATCATGGCTGGTTGATGATTAGAGGCTTACCCTCTGGTGATGACTAACAGTTCGCTATTGAACATGGCCCAGCTAGTTCGTGGATTTACCTATTAAAGATGGCGAATTTCCGCTATGTAAACGTTTACCAGAGGGTATACTACCCAATATATATTTGGGAGAGCCTCACTCCCTGAACTTGGAATCGCGAAATCCTACTCTTGACCAACCTGCTCGAATGGCAGTTTTTTTATCACACTGATATTGATTTAGGGTGATGTAATCATGACGTAACTAATGGTGAAATGGTGATATGGCAATATATCATGGTGATATTGAATGAGAGATTTCACATCAACTAGTGTGAAGATTGGTCATGTTTGATCGCTTTAAAAGGGAAACAGACATGGGTGTTTAACTAATAGGTGCTAGTTCAAATGGGGTTCAATTCCCACAAATGGAATAAGATTGGGATAGACAAATGATAGTTGCTGAACGCAGCGGTGGATACTTCATGCATTAGGAAACCCCAACCATTGAGAGAGTGAACCAACCGGGGATGGCTTGGTCTACTGTGGTGAAATGGGTTTTCCATTGAAATTCGGCATTTTTCGTGGGGAAAACGAGCTAAACTAACCATGGGAATTTGGAACTGCCTTTTGTTAACAGTTAATTTATCATCCCATGGCCAGTGCTGAGTTGCGTTGAAAAACCTGACGTCCCGGAGTGAAGCATGTAACGTTTACCACAACAAGCACCAGGTATTTTCATGGGGTTAGGTGGATATCATGTGTGTCTTCCCGTGGAACTAGGAGTTATATGTAGGTTGTTTGTGCGATGGTAGCAGCTGAACGCCCTCGTGAGTGTGGATACCACGGAATTAGTCCAGCTAAGCTACCGTAAATGGCTGCCCAAAACAAAGGAGATGAAATTCCAATTTAAAAGTCAACTCTGTTATTGGTGATTTGTTTACCCTGTACCAATTACATTTTGGGTTGACATACCCATTCAACTCCTATCCAACGAAATAGAAGCGTGGGAAATGCCTCTTCAAAGCCGTTCAAATACACTGGGACGGAGCGTTCAGCTCATTTTTTCCTGGAAGCAGTGCATGTGCCAGTCGTGGATACGACTCATGTCGAAGTCATACCCCAATGCCATTGCACTTGCCAATAATGTGTTGGATAGACTTTGCGAAGTTGGTATACTGAGAATGTTGCAGCGTCGGTAAAGAACGTAATGCACCCATGCCTCCATTTATCATATTATAAACTCAGCATGGTTGCTACGTGCCAGAACATGTCTACGTTGTGTTTGTTTGGCCATTGCCACCAGATTGTGTCGATACATGTTCCATTACCTAGGTGCCTTCCCTAGGCTTTATACAAGTGAGACACCTCTGGACTCACTGGCACACAGAGCCCCTGATGTAGTCAAATGTAGTTGGATGTTTGCTAGATGGCTATGTTCAAGAAAATAATCGCCAGACCGCTTTCCTAGTTGGATCAATCAGTAGCTACAAGGTAAAATGATTGGAAAAGGTAATTCTCAGCCACATGTGAGGGAACATTCAACTGCAACAGGTTCACGGAGAAAATCCTCTGCCCCGTTACCGCTCCCGTTAGGCGAATGAGCTTCTGCAGCTGTTCCTGGGTAGCAGAACTGGCTTCAGAGAATTCTGGAGATGGGAATTGACAAAAACTTCACGCTGCTGGTGAAATGGTGATTATCATAGAGATGAACGAATCTATTTTTTTTCGATTCTCCTATTTTGGTGTGTGAACAAGAGGGTACTAAAGTTTTTTAACCCATACCCAACTATGGGGGGATAAGTCCATGTTGGCTGTAGAAAGCCACCCACAAATAGCTTTGGATTTAAGGATCAACTCGTATCTGGACGCGGAGTGGCTTGCGCTGCTTCACCTCGAAAAAAACAAACGGCGGGCACTTGATGAAGCATGGAGCTCGAACACCTGCTGCGCATTGGTTTGCCAATTTCGTGTTTGCCTCCACGGGTGTTGGAAGGTCGAAAAGGGACGCCACAGATCCCCGAGAATCCTGACCGCCAGCATCCTCGCTTTTCACGAACAAATCTCAATGTGGGAGAAGCACTGCCCGGGCCGTGATTGGTCGATCCACCATCAATTCCCGGCATTCTTTGGTCCAGAGTCGGTCACGTTCCAATCTGTTGATGGTAAAATTCCCATTGGTAAAGTCCCAACCTTCGATCGTTGCATGTGAGTAACCGACAAAAATATGCAAATTTAGTTTTGCTTCGCCTTGGCCTTTCTTTGGTTGCACAAAGCCTTCATAACCAATGACGACCGATACAAGATTTGTGATACCTCCGGGAGTTTTGGAATCCTCACAACCGACAGCCGATAGGGGACGACCCTAATTTGTGCATTGCATTAAATTGAACAAATAATGTTGCCTGCGTTTTTTGTTTTGTGTATTTTTGATGGTGAGGTTCCCTTTGTTGGTGGTCAGATTCCCACGCAGTCATTTTTAAATACTATCGAATTCCCACGTGTTGATGGTGAAATGTGCAAGTGTTTATCGTTACATGTCAACTTTTGATGATAATGTTCCGCATGATGATTAAAAGTTGGACATTTCATGACATGCCCATCTGTTGATTCTCAAGTGTTTCCATGTTTTTCGTGTCAGCCTCCAGTTTTTCGGCCTAACACGGTCCGGTCTCCGAGTTTTGCTCACCAGGCTGTCAGCGGAGAACCAGGCGCTGCGCGGAAGGCCCGAGCAATTTTGGAGATCATCCCATTGAGACCATCCCAGGTTGGTGGTTTGGAACATGTTTATTTTCCATATTAACATATATATATATATATTAATGTAAAGGTGCATTATCTTATGTATATATATATATAATTTTGTATATATATATATATATACATAAGATATTATACTGTCGTATTTTAATAGTGACACCAAACTGGTTAGTGGTTTGGAACATGAATTTTATTTTCCATTTCATATATGGGATGTCATCCTTCCCATTGATTTTCATATTTTTCAGAGGGGTTGAAACCACCAACCAGTATTTTATTTTGCGTATATATATATAATAAGGTATTATATTATTGTTTTTTGTTTTTTAATCCATATGATAATGATTAATCGTGAGTAATCATGGTTAATAGTGATTAATTATTTTTTCTTTTATGCACATGTATACAGTACTTGTCTCAATGGTTAATAGTTAATATTGATTAAGAGTGATTAATAGTGATTAATAGTGGTTAAATGTTGTTAATTAAAAATGACTAATAGTGCTTAATAATGATTCATGGTGATTAATTATGAGTTATAATGATTGGCTAGGATTTACCCCAGGACGTCGAAAGACATAGTTAAACCACTTTCGGTACACGAAAGTCACGGCAAGACCACGACGTGCATACATCGCCAAAACAGGGGCATAGATTTTGTCATCATCATTCTCATGTTCATGGTTTAAAACGCATGTTGATCAAGTAAAATGTATGTTTCACCATCATCATGCTCATGTCTATGTCACCAGACACACACACAGGGTAGTCGTGAGTCACTGTTGGCTCACGGTTGGCTCACGGTAAAACCATGACGCCAATACGTAAAACCACGAAGTTTGGAAGAGGTCTCACGGTGTGCCACATGGTTTGCTCACGGCGGCTAAAATCACCCGCTTCCACACATTTGTGTGCTAAAATCAGCTAAAGGTGATCCCTTTAAGAGTGTCAGATAGTTTTGGAATAGCAGCCGGCATCATGAAACGATGAATTATTCTTTAAATCATCATATAAGCATGGATTCTGGTAAAACCGCGAAGTTGTGCTGGATCATGGTTCAACCACGACCAGTAAGGCTATAGTATATATACATATATATCTAGGTATACCATATGATAATGATTAATAGTGATCAATATTGCCTAATAATGATTAATCATGATTTATAATGACTGACTAGGATTTACCCCAGCGTAATCTAACATAGATGTGGAAAAACCATGGTTTCGGCAGGAAAATTGTCGATCCCTACCCTCTCTTAGACTGAGATCCATGAGCGCGTCCAACAGCTTCAGAAGCGCACCCTGGAGAAGAATTTCTGAGAAGATCACTCCCCTCAAAGCGAATCGTTTCTCCATGAACAAGGAAGAAAGCCTGGTCCTAAGAGCTGATGTTCCCGGACCTTCGCAGCTAGTGCAATCATTGCCATCCAATAGTGCACACCTACATTTTGACCATTCACGGTCGTTTGCAAAGCTGCATTTTTAAAGTTTTAGAATGCTCAATGACTAGCATCTTGGGAAATCAGAAGATAACCGATAACCCATCCCAAAAGGTCCAAACACAAACTGGTTGGTGGTTTGGAACATTTTTATTTTTCCATTCAGTTGGGAATGATGATCCCAACTGACCTTCATATTTTTCAGAGGGGTTGGCTCAACCACCAAGCAGCAAAATATATACAGTCTTAATTACTTGCCAGAAGATGGGATTTGGAATCATCTTAGGGCGAACAAAAGATCGGGAGATGGCCAAAATTCTTGGGTGATGGATATCATTGGCGCCAAAACCGGCCAACCAACTCGCGCCTTGGAGGCCAGTCACCAATCCCCGATGAAATGGAATGATCCACAGAGGGGAGACTTACTAAGCAGAGTCATTGACCATTTAGTGGGTAAACAATCTCCAACATGATTTTTAACAAGAATCACCAGTGATCAAAGGATAATTTTCCATTACATCATCTCTATATATAACATCTATGGACAATCACAACTCACTAAATTTACAAAGACTAAACCCATATAAAAACAACTGGTTGAACCAATGGCCCAGTGGTACAGCTGCTATCTGGGTTCAGGATCAAAACCCTGAAGCTGTAACTAGATCCCAGGGAGACCCCGAAGGGGGAGAGGGATGTTTATCATCTAACAATCTTTCTATATACAGTGTGTATATATATATATAAAAGATGATTTTATAGTATCATCTAACAATATCTAAGAATCTGTAAATGATGACTTGATGACTTCCCTGCATAACTTCCTAGTGTTCGTAGTCAAATCATCACGTGTGCTGGCCAAATCACCATGTTTGGTTGGTCGAAAATTCAATGTGTTGATGGTGAATCACATCCTGAACTCATATCCGGCTGGTGGTTTCAAACAAGTTTTATTTTCCATATTATATGGGTATCCTTCCCATTGATTAATATGTTTCAGAGGGGCTGAAACCACCAACCAGTATTGTTTGATACTTAAAAAGCCCTTGTTTTGAGTCGCATGTCTTAATTTTGAGATCACCATGTTTGATGCCAGGGAAACGCCCGTGCAGAGCATGCCGGGTACACCCACGGCTAGAGGCTGTCATTGGAACAAGGGTTGGAAAATGTGGGTTCCATTGGAAAAATCGTCCTTTATTGAGGATTACGATCGGGAAACCTACCCTCTGGCAATTTAACATAACTATTGAAAATCACAATTTTTAATTGGTAAATAAACTATAAGTGGCCATTTTCAATAGTTATGTTAGCTTACCAGAGGGTATCAACCAACCAGTATAATGAGATGGGAAAACATGCTATTTTCCCGAATGCGTAGCAAGGGTTCCCGTTTCACTCTGGGGGTCTGGGGGTTGAGGGTGTGTTCGCTCGACGTTGCGTTCGCGAGCGCAACCGTCCGCAACCGTCCGTGCGAGGACCATATGGCCGTGCCTATGGGAAGTTCTGCAGAGGTGGTCATTTTTGGAGGTTTCAGACGTGTCGTTGCTTCGTTTCGCGTGGCAGGCGTGGCACTTCGTGACATTCAGATATGTTTTGCAACGTGTTGAAAATCGTTTTGCGTGGCAGGCGCAATACTTTTGTGTCGTTTTCAGAAGATGTGTTGCAGTTTTCGTGGCAGGCGCAGCACTTTGGACGTGTCCAGCGTCATTTTTCGTGGCAGGCGCAGCACTTTAGACGTGTCGTGTTGCGTGTTTTTTGTAAATCGCATTGGCAGGGCTGCGTCAAGTGGCGACAAGGTGCAAATTCCGTGGCAGGTGTGGCATTTTGTGCGATGTGGTGAAAATTGACGGAAGCCTCGCACAAAACATCGATTTTGAGGTTGCAAATTTTCAGGTTCTAAGGAAAACTCGTAGGAAAACGTCGATTTTGAAGCTACAAAGTGTGAAAATTGGAGGAAGTCTCGCACGAAATGCTCGTTTTGGTGCTCCCACCTGTCTCTTCTCGCGTCTCTGGTTTTCCCGTGGCCTCGCCGTGTCTATTGGGGCAGCTGCAAAACTTGTCTTTTTGTTATGTTGCCAACTGTGAAAATTGGAGGAAGTCTCGTACGAAATGCTGTTTTTTCTGCATCCACGTGTTCTGTCGCGAGTCTCTCGTTTTCCAGTGGCATCGCCGTGTCTATGGGGGAAGCCGCAAAACCTCTCCTTTTCGAATGTTTCCACGCAGGTTGTCCTGTCGTTTTGCGTGGCAGACGTGGCAGTTTCTGACATTCCAACTTGTTTGATAATGTGTCGCAAATGTCACAATTGGAGGAAGTCTCGCACGAAATGCTCGTTTTTCTGCATCCACGTGTCTTGTCTCGAGTCTCTCGTTTTCCTGTGGCGTCGCCGTGTCTATGGGGGAAGCCGCAAAACATCTCCTTTTCGAATGTTTCCACGCAGGTTGTCGTGTCGTTTTGCATGGCAGGCGTGGCACTTTGTGACATTCCAACCTTTCTGATGATGTTCACAAAATGTCAAAATTGGAGGAAGTCAAGCATGAAACACTCTACACTTTACACCCTACACTCCACACTCTACACTTTCCACTCCACACTCCACACACTACACACCACACTCTACACTTTCCACTCCACATTTCGCACTCCACACTACACTTTACACTCCACACTCCACACTTTAAACTCCTCACTCCACATTCTACACCTTACACTCCACACTTTACACTTTACACTCCACACTCTACACTTTCCACTCCACACTCCGCACACCACACTCCACACTTTACTGTACACCCCACACTCCACACTCCACACTTTATACTTTACACTCCTCACTCCACACTTTACACTCCTCACTTTACACACCACACTCCACACTCTACACACCACACTCTACACTTTCCACTCCAGACTCCACACTCTACACTTTACGCTCCACACTCCACACTTTACACTCCACACTCTACACTCCACACTCTACACTTTACACTCTACACTTTACACTCTACACTTTACACCCTACACTCCACACTCTACACTTTCCACTCCACACTCCACACTCTACACACCACACTCTACACTTTCCACTCCACATTTCGCACTCCACACTACACTTTACACTCCACACTCCACACTTTAAACTCCTCACTCCACATTCTACACCTTACACTCCACACTTTACACTTTACACTCCACACTCTACACTTTCCACTCCACACTCCGCACTCCACACTCCACACTTTACTGTACACTCCACACTCCACACTTTATACTTTACACTCCTCACTCCACACTCCACACTTTACACTCCTCACTTTGCACACCACACTCCACACTCTACACAGCACACTCTACACTTTCCACTCCACACTTCACACTCCACACTTTACACTCCACACTTTACACTCCACACTCTACACTCTACACTCTACACTTTACACTCTACACTTTACACTTTACACTCCTCACTTTACACACCACACTCCACACTCTACACTTTACACTCTAAACTTTACACACCACACTCCACACTCCACACCTTACACTCCACACTTTACACTTTACACTCCACACTACACTTTACACTCTACACTTTACACTCTACACTCTACACTTTACATTCTACACTCCACACTCCACACTTTACACCACACTTTACACTCCACACTCCACACTCTACACTCCACACTTTACACTCCACACTCCACACTCTACACTTTACACTCTACACTATGCACTCTACACTCCACACTTTACACTTTACACTCCACGCTTTCCACTTTACACTCCTCACTCCACACTTTGCACTCCACACTTTACACTCCACACTCCACACTCTACACTTTACGCTCCACACTGCAGACTGGCAACAAGGGAAACATGCACAAGACTGTTCAAATAAACTATTGCAGAAAGGTATTGTGCGTGACTGCATAACCATGTGTTTTGACATCTGTACCATTAACATACGTGTGAGCATTCGGGTTCGTGGGCTTCATCTTGTTTCATGGTTTATATGGCTTTCTCTGAAACTGGGCTACACCCTCACTGGCTATTAAACAACAGGGAACATGATGACTAACAACTGGATTAAGGGCTACACGATGTTCAGAACCCATGTGCTAATTGAAAATCACCCAACTACAGGGCATATTGATATTATGATATTGAAAACTAGCATTGATACTTATATATATATACTGTATCATATAATATACCAGTAGTACCGCACAAGGCGGTGGCGGAAGTTTCAAAAATAGGAAACCAATAGGAGAGATTGGTTATTGTGATTCCGGGATGGCAGAGCGAAGCCGCTGATGGACTGAAAGGTGCTTGATCTCTCTCTCTCTCTTTTTCTCTTTCTCTCTTTTTCTTTCTGTTTCTCTATCTTTCTCTGATTATCTAAACAGACAGTTCAAACGCTGTATGGGGGCCGGAAAGCAAGGGTTGCTGGGAAAAACTTTGGTGCAGATCATGGAAGAGATTGAAAAGACAGTCATTCTCTGGCAAAGCCTTGCACGTGACCAAGAACAGAAAGCTTACACGCTGCAATCGGACACGTACAGCTCAACTCCTGGCTACCCTGATGTCGCCATGTGGCAGGAAGCCCAGACTCTGCATCAGCCGGGCCATGGCACAGTGACTCTGCCATCCATTCAGCAGATCCTGGGCGCGCAGCTCTATATCAAAAAGAAATGTGACAGGGGTTGTTTCTACCATACATGACCTTTGGAACTCCAGCGGTCATTTCCGACGCGACTACCTACTGATCTATCTGTCTATCTATCTATTTATCTATCTATCTATCTATCTATCTATCTGTCTATCTATCTATCTGTCTATCTATCTATCTATTTATCTATCTATCTATCTGTCTATCTATCTATCTGTCTATCTATCTATCTATCTGTCTATCTATCTGTCTATCTATCTGTCTATCTATCTATCTATCTGTCCATCTATCCATCTTTCCATCTATCCATCAATCCATCACTCACTCACTCACTCACTCACTCTCTCACTCTCTCTCTCTCACACTCACTCACTCACTCACTCACTCACTCACTCACACTCACTCACTCTCACTCACTCACTCTCACTCACTCACACTCACACTCACACACCCACACACTCACTCTCACTCTCACTCTCACTCACACTCACTCACTCTCACTCACTCTCACTCTCACTCTCACACTCACACTCACACTCACACTCACACTCACACTCACACTCACACCCACACCCACACTCACATTCACACTCACTCACACTCACACTCACACTCACACTCACTCTCACTCTCACTCCCACTCCCACTCTCACTCTCACTCTCACTCTCACTCTCACTCTCACTCTCACTCTCACACTCACACTCACACTCACACTCACACTCACACTCACACTCTCACTCTCACTCTCACTCTCACTCACACTCTCACTCTCACTCTCACTCTCACTCACACTCACTCACTCACACTCACTCACTCACTCACTCACACTCACTCACTCACACTCACTCACTCACTCACTCACTCACACACCACCGGCCACCACAGAAGATCAGAAGTAGTGGGGATTAGCTATCCACACATTGGGATCAAACTGACCTTGACTATTGAGAATATGCTGGACAGTGTTTGCTGGGAGGCTGCTGACTTGTTTTTAGTTCTTACCGGGTGGTGCCCCATAGTTACCCTCTGGTAAAACTAACATAACTATGGAAAATCACCATGCTATTGGTGGGTAAATCAACCATGAATGGCCATTTTCAATAGCTTTTTGTTAACGTTTACCAGAGGGTATCAAGTTGGTTTGCCGCTTATCTAACTGCTGGGTCTATGGTGAGTATGACTCGATTGCACGGATGATCCCCGGTCCAACCAGATGCAGGTCATTTCCCAAAAGTAGCCCTTAGGCCTTATACATGGTAGGTACCTCCAGAAGCCAATTGTCATGGTTTCTGCTAAGCCATCAGCAGTTCCAAGAGCCTGGTGCTGGTTGATTTGTGAATTCTATCCTCCGACAATGAGACATAGGTCGCAGGGAATGTTTTGGGGCATCTGAATATGAACACCGAACTAGATGGAGGGTTGTCCATTGCCATGTTTAATGTGCAAGAGGGTAACTTTTGACATGCGCGGATCATCACAAGCCATGAAGAAATCCCCAAACCTACCATTGTGCGGGTGGTTTTCCAAGAAGTTTCTGACACAGTTCACGAATTTTTTCATGATCTATGGAAAAGAACAGGGATGCTTAAACCGGCAATCAGCCCGTGTTTGAGGAGAACATCGAGAATCTCATGAATGAAGCTGGAAACCCATGGAAAACCCCACATGCCAGCCATGCGAATTATGTTTATTTTGCTAAGTCTGGGTGTTTCCCGGGGTATGAAAGGTATCCAAAAAGTGAACCATCCAACTTTGGAGCAGGTTAGCCATGAATTTGCAAACATCTGCAGTTTTTTTTGAAATTGAGTGCATCATTGCCCGAATAAGGTTCATAGCTCTTCATTGCGCCACTTTCGATACCTTTGTTTAAAAATTGCAAAAAAAACAGTTCCACAGGATTATGATCACTTTTCGTGTCCCATCATTGCGCAAACCCCGAAAAGATGTCTTTGAAAGTTTGCAAACCAGTCTTCAGAAAGTTTTTTTGATGATATCTGGTTGGTGGTTTGGAACAGGATTTTTTTGACTTCCATTCAGTTGGGAATGTCATCATCCCAACTGACTTTCATATTTTTCAGAGGGGCAGGTCAACCACCAACCAGATATAGTTCCCCATGGCCCATAGCTTTGCAACTCTTCAACATCTGTTGTTGTTTCGGTACCCATATGTGACCATCAACAGGATGAAGCCTGGGTCAGGACTGAGGCTTCTGGTAATCAAACATGGGAAATCCCCTGCATATGGAGGTCAAAATGGGAAAATCATCGAACTAAACAGATCTAAATGGGGAAATGTCCATTGCCACGTTTGACTACCGGAGGGTACTCATCAAACTCATCAAATTCTGATGTTCAAATTTCAACCGAAATTGTATAGTGACCCCATCATTCAGGCCATTCCACCAAAACTGGTGGAAATAGTATGATATAGTAAGTAAAGGCCAAATTCTACAAGCGTTGGGTCTGTTTGAATTGGCCAGATGATCAAACAAAATTGGGTTCTAGATATCTCTACCCATGGAGATATAATTCTATAATCCAATAATACTGTGGATGAAAAAAAACCTGCACCAGTTGACTGCCGTTTTTCCCATTATTTATAGGGTTTCAACCATCCTTTTGGTGGTGCAGGAAGTCGCAACCATCCAGCCAGGCCTGGGAACCCCCACGGGACGTTCGCGGGAGACCTCGCAGGTGGGGCCCAGCTGGGACGGTTTAAACCATGGGTGTAGGATTATACCCTACAAGAGAATGGGGATTTAACAGCCCAAAAAACTACTCTGGTTGGTGGTTTGGAACCATGGAATTTTATGTTTTTCCATTCGGTTGGGAATTTAATAATCCCAACTGACTCATATTTTTCAAGATGGTCAAAACCACCAACCAGCTACTGATTCAACCAAATGACTCATGGCTTTAGTTGGAATACCCCCAAACCCCCACGGGTTTATCATCATTTTCACCATGAAAATGGCCAAATGACTCATGGGTTCATGGATTTCTTTGAGAATGGGACATACCTCAATGGCTTTTGTTCAGAAGGAACATGACTACTATACTATTGTGTTTACGGGGACAGTTTCGGACAAAGCCGACTGATGAGTGGATCACTGGTTGGTGGTTTGGAACATTTCTTATTTTCCATAATATATGGGATAATCCTTCCCATTGATTAATTTTTTTCAAGATGGTTAAAACCATCAACTTCTCCTTCATAAAATCTCTTACAGCTAGTAGTTCATTGGTTCCTGGAGGTTCCGCGTGCGGAATACGCAAACAATCACAATTCCTGTGTTTTCATGTGTTTTCCAATTTTTTCAGAGGATACTTCAAGATAAATCCATGTTCAAGCACCATAAACAAGGTAACGCCGCCCGTAAAGACGCGGGCTGTTTTGCAATCAGGCATTTCTGATGTGCTTCAGGACATGTGGCACAGCTGTCCAAAGGTCTTTGCCATTGTTGTATCTGTACTGCCATTTGTAGGTCCATTGCCAAAGGCTTTGATTGACATGGCCTGCCTTTGACTTTGTTGCTAAAGTTTTAGGCAGGTAATCTTTCAAAGATCGCCATTGCCTATTCAGCACCTGTGTGCCAGCTTTCACAACGTCCCCTGCACGTGTGCGAACTGTACGAGAGAATTCAAGCAAAGCATGTTTCACATCATGAAATTCATGTCTTTGTGCAGCCCTATGCATGTGAGTTAGAACTATTTCATGTCTTTGTGCAGCCCTATGCATGTCTAAAAAAATGACATTAATTACCGCCGCCCTAGACACCCACCACCCCTCACCCCAACCCCAGCGTATGTCACGTAACGCTTCCAAGGAACGTTAACATCACCCCCCCCCCCCCAACCCCAGCGTATGTCACGTAAACGCTTCCAAGGAACGTTAACATCACCCCACCCCCCCCCACCCCCAACACCCAAGCGTTAACCACCCCACCCCCCCACCCCACCCCAGCGTATGTCACGTACGCTTCCAAGGAACGTTAACATCACCCCACCCCCCACCCAACCCCAGCGTATGTCACCGCTTCAAGGAACGTTAACATCACCCCACCCCCCCACCCCAACCCCAGCGTATGTCACGTAAAGGAACAACATCACGCGTATGTCACGTAACGCTTCCAAGGAACGTTAACATCACCCCACCCCCCCACCCAGACAACCCACAAAAAGTATGAACGCAGTAAAAAAACGTTAAAAAAGCCCGCGTCTCTACGGGCGGCGTTAGCATAAACAACTAATATAAAATGTTTTGTTTGACCATCTACCATCCTGTTTTTTGATCAACAGTTGATTGCACTTTGTCTTTGATCACGTCGGATAATATCCTAAAATATGTATCTTCGATTATGGTTTATAAGTTGACCAAATGATATTAAACAATGATAAACATCATAATATCCATCTACCATCTACCATTTGATCATAATATCAGTTGAAAAAAGTTGACCAAACGGTTTTTGACACCACATGGGTAAACCTTGGATGGGTGGTTGACCTTACTTGAACAATATATATATATATAATAAATAGTCTTCAATTGCAACAATGGGGACAAAATCTATTTCACGGGAGAGAACCAACCACCTTTGCGAACATGTGGCTATGTGTCATTGTTGGAGTAGTATCCTCACAAGTACGGGAATTCTCAAAAAGAAACACAACCCCACATCAATCGACGGGAACTGGACCGACTATGGCCAGGTGAACTATGGCCTTGAAATGTGTCATTTTGAAAAATTTGACTAACCAAACTCGACAAAAAATCAAGTTGACCGATATCTGGCCAGAGATTGATGAACGAGTGGAAACCATGATTTGACCACCACCAGGACCACGGGTCCCAGGAATTTGATCCACAGTGGTTGAAATGCCATGGTGTTGGGCTTTTGGGGGAGGAAATGTTCCCACAGCAGATACTCAGTTGGAAACTGCGCCTGAAAATGGGTACCTCCAATTTAGGTTCCTGAAATGGCCATCGATGGAATGTGTTTTGTCAGAAATTCTTGAAACTTAAGGGGAATGTTTGTTGTTGAAGGCAGCCATTGATATCCACCATTTTTCTTTCCATGTGTCTTTCTGCAGGAGCGAGGTTTCACCATTGGTCAGTGCCCCCAGATCAGATCTGGGGTGATTTTTGGAAAAGTAATGACATGGGGGTGATTGGTTTGGCTTCAAGATCTTTAAAATGTGATTTGGATGTTTCATCTAATCTATAGTCTTTTTATTTATAGTCTACTATATCATGTGTTTGTCCCAAACATCCATACGAAACAAATGTTATGTCGAGTTGAAACCACCCTTTTCGCGGCAGTTTATTCAACGTCAATGAGATGGCCACCATTTCGCCAGAGCGACTTCAGGGTTGCTCCAACATGCTCCAACCCATGAAAATTGTGGGTACATGATAGCCACAAGGCAGAGTAAATGTGGTATTTTGATCTGATTGGTGGTGACTGGAACCATGGAATTTGATGACTTTCCATCAAAAAGTTGGGAATTTCATCATCCCAACCGACGATTCGTCATATTTTTCAGAGGGGTAGGCTCAACCACCAAGCAGCGATGTTGAAACCCTGGAGCTGTGAGGATTACGATGATTTTCCCCCGAATGTGGGGTCCATGGACATGCCCGAAATCACACACTGTAGCTTCAAAGCTGTGGTTTAACCAGCAGCAACATCAATTGTGTTTTCTGTCAGTTTGAACCCGATGTTTTTCGTACCTTTTGACCTGGTCCTAAGCGAATCGCCCACATTTCTCGGCTGCAGCTGCTGATTGTCATTGCCCAGAGGGTTTTGATGCTGGAATGGTTCCTGAAAACGAGAATGTTGCCTCTGATCATGAAATGCCAAAACGAGACTATCGATGCCCAAGATGAAGGTGATTTGTTAGTCCACTTGGATCTCTACTGGCTATGCGTGTTTTTTTAATAGAGGGCCCGTTCAGTAAATCATCAAGGCATCATAGCCACCAGCTGGCTGACTGAAGCCTGTTGGACAATGTGATTTTCCCATGGGGATGACACCAAGCCACGATTATGAGCGATGGAGCAGCTGGTCGCCATTTTGAATAGGTAAATCAAGGAACTAAATGGTGGTATTTTCAATAGCTACATTAAATCACCAGAGGGTAAGTGGTTTTCAAGTTGTTCTTCTAAGATGATGATCGCAATTGACTTTCGGATGTCCCAATGTTTCCATGGGATTGTCCAATATTCATCACATTTTCCTAGGTCTTTGTGCTTGGCAAATCCCAAAAGCACCACAAAACCGCCACGGTGGTGTGGCAAGCTCCGTGCCATGGCGCGGCTGCTGTTGTTGATCCTCACGGCTGCTTCAGCACAGGTGGCATGTCCCCTCGGCACTCAGGCGCTGGTGGGAAGATTAGCCATTTTCAAATGGGAAGATGCTGGGTGAACCAGCAAGAAAGGGTGATAAAATTGATGATCTGGGTACATATCATGTGTGAATTGTCATGAAGGTTCAAGTGTTAAGCTGGGGAAACTTGGATCAGTTGATTGGACTGTGCTGGGTTTCGTGGCTATTGGTCACCAATATGGATCCAGCTATTGTGGTGGTGAAAATCAGGGGTCAGAATCAGGGAGTAACCCCAAGCATTTTTGATGGTTACCCTCCAGTAAACCAACATCGCTACAGAAATGGCCAACCTAGCTGAAAGATCTATGAAACATGTTGATTTCCATATCAAAATGTGAGCGTACCAGAGGGTAAACCATCCAATTTATGAATAAAATCTGCAAGAATCCATTCAAGTCAGATTGGTAAAAACCCCCCATGTTCAATGTTTAAACCATGTCAAAACCACCGTTTTTCCATCCCGAAACCCGCCAAAGCAGCGGCACCACGTCAGATTTCCGCCGGCGGTGACCATGCCCTGATTTTGATGCCCGGAAGCGGCTCCCTCAGCGAAGCGTACGCGCTGGGGGATAACAGCTATGGACAGCTGGGAGCAGGACATAACCAGGCGGGAAGCTGGGGACTTGAAAGCGCCGAAAAAGGTGGTAAATGGGTTATTGAATCAGCAAAAATCATGGATTTGGGACAACTGGGGAATTGTAAATTAGAATAGTTAGATCTAAGAACATATCTACTTAACGGGGTTTGTAAACCAACGCATTTAACTAGGAGAGGGCACCTGGGCGTTCAGATGTACTTCACAGATGAGGTTGAACTAAATCGAATCCGATAGATACCTTCTGGTAAAGTCACAGTTTGCCATGGAAAATCACCATCTTTATTAGGTAAATCAACTTTAAATAGGCAATTTGCAATAGCTATGTTAAATGACCAGAGGATAAACAAATAAAGTCAACAAATCCTTCAGCCTTGTTACAAGTTCCCGCATCAACACATGCAGCCCCCCTTGGCGGTGCGGGGCACAGCGGATCACGCTGGCAACAGGGGATCACCGCTTGAAGACTTAGCCAACTCTGGTCGGTCGGTGGTTTGGAACATTTTTCCCCAATAGATGGGATGATGATCCAATCTGACTTTCATATTTTTCAGAGGGGTAGGTCAACCGGCTCTTTTAACATTTTTCAACCCAGAAAAATCATCCCAAATGCTTGTTCATAATGTCAGCCCAGAATAAACAAACCCCCAGATTCCTACCATTGAGGAAGTCCCAATGGAAGTGCACGATCTCAGGCCATGTCAACGCGAGTCAAGATCCAGCTCGGGCAACGCCCCATTGAGGCGAAAACGGGTGGAAAAAGGGGTAACGCAACGAATGCGTGGGATGAATGAAACAACAAGGGGGGCTATTAAGAATCCCAGCCAAACATTAGATGAGGTACTCGGGTATTTGATTGGACTTGAATTGACCCATTTCGCTTGTGTTTTTTCCCGAATGCGTAGCAAGGGTTCCCGTTTCACTCTGGGGGTCTGGGGGTTGAGGGTGTGTTCGCTCGACGTTGCGTCCGCGTCCGCAACCGTTCGCAACCGTTCGCAACCGTCCGCGCGATCCCCGTATGGCCGTGCCTATGGGAAGTTCTGCAGGAGGGGTCCTTTTTGGAGGTTTCAGACGTGTCGTTGCTTCGTTTCGTGTGGCAGGCGTGGCACTCCGTGACATTCAGACGTGTTCTGGAACGTGTCGAAAGTCGTTTTGCGTGGCAGGCGCAATACTTTTGCGACGTTTTCAGAAGATGTGTTGCAGTTTTCGTGGCAGGCGCAGCACTTTGGACGTGTCCATTGTCATTTTTCGTGGCAGGCGCAGCACTTTAGACGTGTCGTGTTGCGTGTTTTTTGCAAATCGCATTGGCAGGGCTGCGTCAAGTGGCGACAAGGTGCAAATTCCGTGGCAGTCGTGGCATTTTGTGCGATGTGCTGAAAATTGACGGAAGCCTCGCACGAAACATCGATTTTGAGGTTGCCAATTTTCAGGTTCTAAGGAAAACTCGTAGGAAAACGTCGATTTTGAAGCTACAAAGTGTGAAAATTGGAGGAAGTCTCGCACGAAATGCTCGTTTTGGCGCTCCCACGTGTCTCGTCTCGCGTCTCTGGTTTTCTCGTGGCCTCGCCGTGTCTATGGTGGAAGCTGCAAAACTTCTCCTTTTGTCATGTTGCCAACTGTGAAAATTGGAGGAAGTCTCGTGCGAAATGCTGGTTTTTCTGCATCCACGTGTCTTGTCTCGAGTCGCTGGTTTTCCTGTGGCGTCGCCGTGTCTATGGTGGAAGCTGGAAAACCTGACCTTTTCGAATGTTTCCAAGCAGGTTGTCATGTGGTTTTGCGTGGCAGACGTGACATTTTCTGACATTCCAACCTGTTTGATGATGTTCACAAAATGTCAAAATTGGAGGAAGTCTCGTACGAAATGCTGGTTTTTCTGCATCCACGTGTCTTGTCGCGAGTCTCTCGTTTTCCTGTGGCGTCGCCGTGTCTATGGGGGAAGCCGCAAAACCTCTCCTTTTCGAATGTTTCCACACAGGTTGTCATGTTGTTTTGCGTGGCCGACGTGGCAGTTTCTGACATTCCAACCTGTCTGATAACGTGTCGAAAATGTCAAAATTGGAGGAAGTCTCGTACGAAATGCTGGTTTTTCTGCATCCACGTGTCTTGTCTCGAGTCGCTGGTTTTCCTGTGGCGTCGCCGTGTCTATGGGGGAAGCTGGAAAACATCTCCTATTCGAATGTGTCCAAGCAGGTTGTCATGTCGTTTTGCGTGGCAGGCGTGGCACTTTCTGACATTCCGACCTGTTTGATGATGTTCACAAAATGTCAAAATTGGAGGAAGTCTCGTACGAAATGCTTGTTTTTCTGCATCCACGTGTCTTGTCTCGAGTCGCTGGTTTTCCTGCGGCGTCGCCGTGTCTATGGGGGAAGCTGGAAAACATGTCCTATTCGAATGTGTCCAAGCAGGTTGTCATGTCGTTTTGCGTGGCAGGCGTGGCACTTTGTGACATTCCAAACTTGTTTGATGATGTGTTGAAAATGTCAAAATTGGAGGAAGTCTCGTACGAAATGCTGTTTTTTCTGCATCCACGTGTCTTATCTCGAGTCGCTGGTTTTCCTGTGGCGTCGCCGTGTCCATGTGGGAAGCTCCGCACTCCACACTCTACACTTTACACTCCGCACTCCACAATTTACACTTTAGACTCCACACTGTAAACTTTACACTCCACACTTTACACTTTGCACTTAACACTCCTCACACCTTACCTGAGACTTTACACTCCACACTCACACTTTACTCTCCACACTTTACACTTTACACTCCTCACTCCACGCTCCACACTTTACACTCCACACTCCACACTTTGCACTCTTCACTCCACACTCCACACTTTACACTACACACTCCTTACTTTACACTCCACACTTCACACTCCACACTTTCCACTCCACACTCCACACTTTACACTCCACACTCCACACTTTACACTCCTCACCCTACACTTTACACTCGTCACTTTACACTCTACACTCCACACTCTACACTTTACACTCTACACTTTACACTCTACACTCCACACTCTACACTTTACACTCTACACTCCACACTTTACATTTTACACTCCACACTCTACACACCACACTCTACACTTTCCACTCCACATTTCACACTCCACACTTTACACTCCACACTCCACACTTTACGCTTTACACTTTACACTCCTCACTCCACACTGTACACTCCACACTCCCCACTTTACACACCACACTCCACACTCTACACTTTCCACTCCACACTCCACACTCCACACTTTACTGTACACTCCACACTTTATACTTTACACTCCTCACTCCACACTCCACGCTTTGCACTCCTCACTTTACACTCCACACTCCACACTCTACACACCACACTCTACACTTTCCACTCCAGACTCCACACTCTACACTTTACGCTCCACACTTTACACTTCACACTTTACACTCCACACTCCACACTTTACACTCCACACTTCACACTCCACACTTTACACTCCACACTCCACACTTTACACTCCACACTCCACACTTTACACTCCACACTCCACACTCCACACTTCCCACTTTACACACCACACTCTACACTTTCCACTCCAGACTCCACACTCTACACTTTACGCTCCACACTTTACACTTCACACTTTACACTCCACACTCCACACTTTACACTCCTCACTCCACACTTCACACTCCACACTTTACACTCCACACTTCACACTCCACACTTTACACTCCACACTCCACACTTTACACTCCACACTCCACACTTTACACTCCACACTCCACACTTCCCACTTTACACTCCATACTCTACACTTTACACTCTACGCTTTACACTCTACACTCCACACTCCACACTCTACACTTTACACTGTACACTCCTCACTCCACACTGTACATTCCACACTCCACACTTTACACTCCGCACTTTACACTCCACACTCTACACTTTACACTCTACACTTTCCACTCTACACTCCACACTTTACACTCCGCACTCCACACTCTACACTTTACACTCCATACTCCACACTCTACACTTTATACTCCGCATTCTACACTTTACACACTCTACACTCCCCACTCCACACTTTACACTCCACACTCCACACTTTACACTTTACACTTTACACTCCTCACTCCACACTCTACACTCCACACTCCCCACTTCACACTCCACACTCCACACTCTACACTTTCCACCCGACACTGCAGACTGGTAACAAGGGAAACATGTACAAGACTGTTCAAATATAAACTATTGCAGAAAGGTATTGTGCGTGACTGCATAACCATGTGTTTTGACATCTGTACCATTAACATACGTGTGAGCATTCGGGTTCGTGGGTTTCATCTTGTTTCAATTCGTGAAGTTTCAACATTTTAAAGCCGAGTTCCCTGCCAAAACAGTCCGGCGGGCTCGGATTTTGTGCCCGCACTTTGAGCGTGCGAGAAATCGGGAATAGATGCACTACATGACCAGCTATAAAACTGTTTGGCAGGGTCTCTTAAAGATTTGCCTTGGGGATATCAGCCTGCAAAAAAATCAGATATAAAATGAGGGCTATTGTTGATGGTTGATGCTTAGAGTGATGTTTTACTAACTCGTGTCTAATGGAGGTTAAAGGAAACAGAAAAGCTCCATGGACCCAGGTAAAACAATGGCCTTGGACCCGGGAACCAATGGAATGGCCCCCTACAGTCTGAACAGTTCCTATTCAAAAGCAAAACTAGAGGAAGAAATACCCAACGCATGAGATTCTGATCCTGTTTCATTGGGACACGTGGAACACGTGAACGCAAGCGGGAATGAGTTGCCATTTGCTGTTGTGATATGAACCTTTGACAATAGGATACTAGGGCAGCCATGGGTTTTGTAACTAGTTGGTTTCATTTTTGGGGGGACAGATGTTTGAAAACACTTGCCTTCATGGTTCCCATAGAAAATATGTGTGGTTTGCGTCAATTCCTGTTTCTGTTTCCAAAAAATATGGTTCACATCCGTTTCGCTGGTCAAATTACCACCTTTGCTGGGGTTTCACCAGCATCTTCCAGCCATTTCATCCACCAATTTTTGGGCGCCGCACAGGCAGTGGCTGCGGGCAGCACCCATTCGTTGCTGATTTCAGAGGGCAAGGTCTATGGGATGGGCGACAACTGCCATGGACAACTGGGCCTCGGAAGCAGCGTGGCGCCAACGAGGTGAGGATCAGAAGGTGGTGGTGAACCAAGACGTGGCGAGAAAATAGCGAGAGAACCATGGGAGAAGAATCCATTGAAAGGGGATTTCATGGAAGTGTCATGGGATTTCATAGTAATTTGATGGGATTTAATGGAATTTGAATGGGATTTAACGGGGGTTTTCATGGGATTTTACTGAGATTTACCCAAATTTCCCACAATGGGATCAATGGGATGAATGGTGCCCAGTGAAATGTTTGCTGGTTTATAAGCCCATGACATTAAATTAGTTCGATATATCTACGTCCATCTACCAGAAACCCATTTCTTGGAGTTATATACCAGCTTAATTATACAAGGTGGTGCCCCCCCAGTGATGTTTGTTGGTTTATAATCCCCATTAACTATAGATATAACCACCACAAACCCTAGTGAAATTGGACTTATGTTCACCTACTTAGCTAACGAACTGGGGCACCACCTTGTATACTATGCGCGACTATGCGGCACCGCCTTGTAGAGTCCCCTCACAATACTTCCCCGCCAAAAGAAATGGTTGATGTTGGGGGTGAGTAACCTTCAATCCGCCGCAAAGATTACCACCCAACAAAATGGAAATCATAGTTTATTGGGTGTCTAGGACCTATATCTTTAAGGTTAAAGGTTTGATTTTATCAATGCTGTTCACCATTCAGTTGGAAATGTCATCATCCCAACTGACGAACTCCATCATTTTTCAGAGGGGTAGGACTCAACCACCAAGCAGTAAATTATCCCATATCATCCCCAAAATCAGCCGTTTTTTATAGCTTTGTCTATGGCCAGGGTGAATCCTAGACTATTTCGCCATCGACCCAGCCCTGCCCAAGGTACCGAGAGTCATTTCTCCCCAATGCAGATGTCGCTGCCGGAAGATTTAAAGGCTTGCGACTTGCTGGTTGCTGGGGGTTGTGGCTCCAAGTGATGTGGCTTTGAGAATCGGATTCACCATACATAGCTGGTTGGTGGTTTCAAACATGTATTTTCCATTTCATATATGGGATAATCCTTCCCATTGACTTTCATATTTTTCAGAGGGTTGAAACCACCAACCAGATAGTATCAGTCATTACCATTGGTAAGTTACAAATAATGCATACTTCTTTAATCATGTTTACATGTGGTTTCCATTGGTTAATTTGATTGGGATTAGATACACACGATTACCCCACAATCACTAAGTACATCGATGGAGGGTATACCCCAATTTTTCAAACCAATTTTTCGCAGCAGGGTGTTCTTCAAAACTCGGTCAGTTGAAATTGATTTTACAACTTAAAAAACCTGTTTGAACACAGTTAATAATAATGATGGTTTATTGAAGACTGGTTAATGATTAATGATTAATTAAACATACTTTTAAAAAAAACTGATGAAACATGAATATCTACGGTAAAACGTAAGAAACATAGATACGTCTGATAAACTGTCATCGTTCAGTACATCCCCAGTTTTGCCACAGGTCATATGCTGTCGCGCCGTCGCGCCGCTTCAGGCTGTCGCCGCGTCAGCTGGCTGTTGGTTCTCACTGATCCTGATGCAGTCGGGAGAGGTTCCGGACGCTGAGAGATGGTGACGAGAATTATCGTGATCATATCATGTAATACTTATTTGAATGGTTATGTAACCTATTTGACTATGGTTAGTTAATGTTAGTGATATAAATCGTACTTTTCTCCGAGATGGTATTGTACCGATGGTATTTAACATATTGAACTGTTACCATCTGGTTATTTAACATAGCCATGGACAATCACCATTTTTAATAGGTAAACCATCTATAAATGGGCCATCTATACCATGGCTATGTTAAATTACCAGAGGGTAATTTTAACCACGAGATGTAATTATACCGATGGTTTGCTTCTGGTAATCCAACGTGGCGACATTCCCTCGTCGGTGATTTTCCCAGAAACATCCGTCGACGGATGGGATGTTCCATTGCGATGTTTGATTATCTTTTGGGGTACATAACACAAAATTAAACCATAGGTCTTAACTAACATAATATATACAATTTAAACTTAGATATTCGAGAGAATATAATCTCTTATAACCACTATTGTTGGTTAACGATCAAAAAATGACAGGATCTTAATAGGTATAATAGGGATAGCCAACCACAAGCCAATAAAACATGATAATGTAGATATATATATATATATAACCAATAATAATTTGATAATCCAACAAAGTGGATGCAGGGATTAATGACATGTTTTGTTGTTTAATGTGCTTGGTGGATTGCAATCACTAAATGATTAATATGCTGGGATATTCACCATTTTGTGGAGTTTAAACGGGATGGACCGTCCTTTTTGTGACTATAATCCCACTATAATAAGCAATGCGGTGGGTTATTTTTTCCACCCCAACCATAGTTACCCTCTGGTAAACGTTTACATAGCTGTAGAAAATCACCATGCTATTAATAGGTAAATCAACTATAAATGGTCATTTTCAATAGCTATGTTTGTCATTACCAGAGGGTAATTAGTGATTTTTTTCCATAGATTGGGCATAATGACTTTCATATTTTTCCAGATGGTTAAAACCACCAACCATGGTGTACAGTGACAATGGTACCATATTTTACTGTTGACTGTGGTTGATACCCTCTGGTAATGACTAACATAGCTATTGAAAATGGCCATTGATAGTTGATTTACCCCTTAAAAATGGTGATTTTCCATAGTTATGTTAGTTTACCAGAGGGTAAACCATTTAAGGAGTGGCCTAAGGTTAAGATTTGAGACTAGGGATTTGAGAGCTCTTCAAGCTAGATTCGTTTCGGTTCAGTGTGGTCCAAAACAAAGTTTACATGGATTTCATAAGTTTGTAACGAGGATTGGTTACGCTTGGGAGAGAATTCAGATATTTTTTTCGATGGTGAAAGGTTGCAAAAAACATGTTTTGTTCATGTGCAATTCAATATGATGTTTCGTGAAAGGTGAAGGGATTGAATCACAATACCTTCACTCGACGATCATAGGATTATGATTATGGTAGACCCAAAATAAAAGGGCTTACCACACTTAATCACCGATCTCTCGAGGTTTTTGAGCCCTCATTGCGTGTGGCTTCGCCATAGGTTGATTTTTTGGATTGATGAGTCCTCATGGAGGGCTAAACCCACTGTTAAAGAGTTGGAGATTGTGCTTGATCTTGAAGTGCAGCAAAAACACATTGCTGTCAATAAATATATAGATACATACATGTAATGGCTGAAACGAAACCATCAACAAGCACAAAGTCACTAAGATCAAGACAGTCACCAAACAACAGCATATTTATTCTAACTGTTCATAAAAAAAAACACCACCAGACGTGGCGGCGCTCCAGGTCTACGGCGTGGGCTACAACTACAACGGCCAACTCAGTGGGGAAAGCTGGCGCCTGCTGACGCCGCAGAAGCTGGACCTGCCAGGCGGCGTTGCCACGCGGTTCGGTAGTGGGTTCGGTATGGGTTGATTCTCCCAAATTGGTGGCTTGAAAGACCCCTTGTTTGGTGTCTGAAACTGAAGATGCTGATTTGATGTCATGTCAGGTCACGTTTTTTGTGGTTTTGAAGCCTCGCCATTGTATGGACGACGTGCCCAGTTTCACCATGAAATGTTGGTTTCTACGGAAGATGGCCTTATCGTCGCTCGCTGACAAGCTGCAATCGATGCCATGGTTACCATGCCAGATGTTTTTGAAACTGTCTACAGCCCAAAAATCAATCTTGATCATGAGATTGGTTCATAAAATCAGATGGGTTTATGATACACACATATACACATCACTGGTTGGTGGTTTGGAACATTTTTCCCATTCAGTTGGGAAGAATCATCATCCCAACTGACGAAGTCCATCATTTTTCAGAGGGGTATGCTCAACCACCAACCAGTTCACCGTTATCAACCACTATCAACCACCTATAAACCACTATAAACCACTTATGATGTCGACATCATGACTCCCCAAAGACGCATAAGGCGCAGGCAAAGCCAAAGCTGTGGCGGCTGGATGCTCGCACTCTCTGGCACCTCAGCGGATCCACGAACTGAACGAAGTCCAAGGAAGGTTCAATGCCCAGGATATATACCATATGGCATTATTATGTGCATATGATTATATAATAGATACATATCCATATATATATATATGTATTCAAAGCCATATAGATGTATGTAATATGATATAATATTAATATTAATATGATATAATATAATATAATATGATATGATATGATATAATATAATGTTATATTATATATATATATATACTAGATGTGATATAGATATATATATATATATATATGGCATTCCATAGTCATGGGGATACCCAAAAAATAGCTGGATGGTTTTTAAGTTTTGGAAAATCCCATCATGGATGAGAAATGGGCTTAGGAAACCTCCAAGTACCCTCTCTTAAACTAAGAGTTTGCTATGGGAAACAGCCCCCTTTTAAGAGCAAAAACAATTATAAAGTAAAGCATTCTGAAATAATTTATTTGTTCTATCTTCTTGGGTGGTGGCAAAAACATGTTGGATAATGAGTCCATCTGCGGAGTTTCATCAAATGTCGTCATGAAATCATCTCTAGACTCTGGGAAGCTGGCGAATGGGAAGGTGAAGATGGGTGATGTTCGATCCACTTTTTTCATGGAGGAGTTATCGGGGTCTCCCCGTAAACCTTGACCCTTTGTGACGGAAGGTTGGAACGTTGGACCATGCGGAAAATCCTTAGGATACCCCCAAATGACAAGTTGAATGCAGAAAAACGACAATTGTCACTACGCTTGCTAAGGTTTTCCCACCATTTTCAAAGTGAACTGACTGGGTAGTTCAATGCTATCATTGTATGTCATTCATAGCTATCTAGTATTCCCAACCACATCATCAATCCATTTTCTTTGTTACATTTACCCTCTGGTAAACTAACAGAACTATGGAAAATCACCATGTTTAATAGGTAAATCCACTATAAATGGCCATTTTTCAATAGCTATTTTGACATAACCAGAGGGTAATCATATTCTTTGTGGCATTCCATGACATCCCCAGGGCTCGCCCTGAGGTTTTGATGGACTCCGGGGACGTTTATGGCCTTGGAGAGAACTGGTATGGACAGCTGGGCATTGGGAGCAAGGAGCGGTGCCCGAAGTCGGCTGGTGCTTACCAAATGCAATGGTAGTTTCATGGAGTTTCCCCAATAGCTGGAAGGTTTAACCAGCAAAAGATCAGAAAATTGGAGCAATGAAGGTGGTGTTTCAGTAAATATTGGGATATGTGGGGTTACATACTGAGGGATTCCCGAATAGCTGGATGGTTTTTGCTTGGGAAAATCCCATCTATAAATGGATGATGACTGGGGGTACCCCAATTTAGGAAACCCCCATATATTTGTGGATATATACATATCACATATGTGTATATGTATATATAATTGTATTCAGTGGCATATGATAGAGGATGATGGATGGGATACTAAATATTGCTAGAATGGGATAAAATGGATGGGATAAAAGGAAAGATATTGCGAGAACTGTGGTAGAAATCAGAAGGGGTACTCAGTTTACTCAACCAAAAAGAAATCTATTCCCAACACTGCTCACATGTGTTAACCATTTGTAATGTTCACTTAACCATTGGAAATGACATGAAGGCATGAGGAATCTGCAAATGGTTGGGTGAACCTTGGATCGGTGAACCCTGGAAGTTGCAGTGATACCAATCCCATAAGGTGCTGAAAGTTAACTCTTCGCAGCTTTTTGTTGAGGTAAGGCATGTTCTCATGTTGTATCATTATCGTTTTACAAAGATCGCATTGCATATCATTGCATGTTAGTTTAACTTCAGTGTCATACTCCTCTTGCAAATAAGGCAGCGTATGTCTTTCACGACCTACCCATATTTTGCAGCTCAAATCAAATCCATTAAAACCGATGTTTCTGACTAGTGAGGAATTTGATCATAGTCTAGTTATACAGACATTTGAAAATCATATCTGTTGGCAAAAAGAAACTCAACTCTTTGGGTGACATCGCCACTGTTTCCTGCTTTCTCCTTTGGCCAAAATCATGTGAATGTGTCGTCGAATTTTCGAAGCAGCCATCGTGTGAAAGATGGCGAGCTGGCATCCACTGGCTTTATCCTTCGGAGCCGAAAGACATGCATCCCATCTTTTGACGGCACAGTGTGTCTGAGACTGAAGTCTCCCAAACTGCTTGGTGGTTTGGAACATGAATTTTATTTTCCCGTATATGGGGAATGTTATCATCCCAACTGACTCATATTTTTCAGAGGGGTAGGTATACCAACCATTCAAACCACCAACCAGATATATTTACCCAACATTTTCTGTCCAGCAAACTCTTCCACCAGGAGGACCAGCATCAGCCCAAGAAGATGTTGCTGAACGGCACAGCCAAGGCTGTAGCCAGCGGCACCCAGCACTCCGTGGTGCTCATGGCGCCTTGGACGTGGAGAGTTTGGAATACCCTCTGGTTATGTCAACAGTTTGCTATTGAAAATGGCCCATTTATAGTTGATTTACCTATTAAAGATGGTGATTTTCAATAGCTATGTACACGTTTACCAGGCCGGGTATCCTCCATTTATCGTGGATTTTATGGGATTTTGTGGGATACAAATGGGAAAAAAATGGAAAATCACCCACTTATATAGTGGATTCCAGGATCTGGCGCACAACTTGCCATTCAATAACCCGCGAAGGAACGTTTATTGGTGGTATCAAAACCTATTATCTATTACTGGTTGGTGGTGACTGGAACATTGGTGAAATGTATGGGATAATGATGGTTAATGATAGTTAATCATGGTTAATAATCACTGGTTGGTGGTTTGGAACATGTTTTATTTTTCCATTCAGTTGGGAATGTCATCATCCCAACTGACTCATATTTTTCAGAGGGGTAGGTCAACCACCAACCAGATTATTACTCCTATGTCCATTTTTTGTAGCTGGAGTGCCGACCACTTCACTTCCCGGTGCACGATGGAGCTGATGGCGCTGCACCAGGGCCACCAGTGGACGGCAACTTGCCGTCCACATTTGCGTGCGGCGAAAACGTCCGAGATAGCTGGAAAAGGGCGCTGGAAAATAAGCCGTTTACATACCGAGTTGTTCATGGTTGTTTATAGTAGTCAATAGTTGTTAATAGTGGTTAATCTATGGTTAATGATGGTGGTTAATGGTTAATGGTTAGTGGTTGGTGGTTTGGAACCATGGAATTTTATGATTTTCCATTCAGTTGGGAATGTCATCATCCCAACTGACGAAGTCATATTTTTCAGAGGGGTAGGTATACCACCAACCAGTATATACCGAGTTTCCCTTTTGGAACCTCCATTTACAGTTGATTTTCCACGTTTGATAGGGGGTAATGCTGGCTGGTATAACCAGCAAAAGATCGGAGAATCGGGGGGGCAATGAAGGTGGTGTCTCCGTAAATATTGGGATATGTGGGTTTCCATAACTGGGGGATACCCAAATAACTGGATGGTTTTTGTTGGGGAAAATTCCCAACTATAAATGGATGATGACTGGGGTTACCCCCATTTGAGGAAACCTCCATATTAATTGGCGTTCCTCATGGAATTGTCGGGATATGGGGTTTTACCGTCAAACGACAGGCATCAAAGTAGCCATTTTCTGTTCTCCAAACAGTGTGTTTTTTGTCGGTCTGAAAAATGGTGATGTGGTTTTTCCTGTTGATGTGTGTGTGTGATTCTATTGAGGTGTGGGGAGTACCCTCTGGTAAACAAACATAGTTAATTATTGAAAATTGCCATTTACAATGGATTTACCCAATAAAAAAAGGTGATTTTCCAGTTCGTTATGTTAGTTTACCAGCAGGTAGTGATACTTATTCGTCTTCATGTACTCGTATACGGGGATAGTTCACAGTGGTTTTAACCAACAAGATATGTGACGATTGTGGGAATTGAACCGCCCGACATGGCGATACAAGCAAAAGAATTTGGGTAAAAAAGTGTAGCCACGAGGTCGCCCTCAATGCACCTGAGTAGGGCGAGGAACATCCCAATAAATTGACTTATTTTTAGTGTATAGATGTTATGTACAAGGTTGGGCCACCTAGTTACATAAACCCCATGTTCTGGAGTTAGAATTACCTTTGGTAAACGTTTACATAGCTATGGGAAATCACCATTTTTCATGGGTAAATCCACTATAAATGGCCACGTTCAATAGCAAACTGTTAGTTTACCAGAGGGTAAGCTGAATTTGCAAATCACAACCTGGAGGATGGGATGCATCATCTCAATGTTAATTCGATGATTATGGTTGTGACTTAGTTATAAGTGGAATCTTTACCCCAGTTATATGTGGATCAACGGATTCTTGGGATGCAAATCGTACGTAGAAGTACGGGTAAGCCCACCCCAAGTTGGTTCCAAATGCATTGGGTTGCCACACATCTGGATCTGTAGCATTTTTTGGGGTTTTCCTTGGGTTTATTCACAGATCCCATTGCAACTATTTAACTTTCTGCAGGGGATGAACAAACCAACATAGTTGGCTGTGGGGTCCAGATCCGCAATGTAGATGTGGGAAGTTGCTGGAGAGCATCCGGATATCACTTGAGATGCCGAAAATGCTAAGATCCTTCAAATCGAAAGGTGACTAGCTGATGTTTCACCCCCAACTTGGATAGAGGGTACCGTTGATCCCATCGTGGCCCAGATCTACAGGATTCAATGATGAAAGAAGGGTAAAGCCTAGTACTATTACCTTTGGAAAACCTGACCAGAAACATGCAAATACCGACTTTTGCTGGTTGGTGGTTTCAAACATTTTTTATTTGCCATAATATATGGGATAATCCTTCCCATTGACTTTCATATTTTCAAGATGGTTGAAACCACCAACCAGCTACCATATCCCGATTAAGCTTCATATCATCCCCATCAGTGCGAAATCCCATAATATGAACCCTTAATATATGCCATTTACACATGGATGTTTCCCTTATGTTTTTCAAACAAAAGCTATTAACCAAATAAATGATCCCATTTAACCCAAAAAACTATAACCATGTTGTCCTTTTTTGCCATTACACATGGGATGTTTTTCCCACCAGAAACCACCATCCACTGGAAAAAGGTCCCATCCCCCCATTAGATCAGCGCTCGCAGCAAGGACAGCGGAGAGGTCTACAGCACCGGAGACAACGTCCATGGCCAGCTGGGTCTGGGGGATAACCAGGCTACGCTGCAGCCAAGGCCGGTAAACCTTAAGGGGTGCCCTGGGCTTAGAGATATAACGTCCATGGTCACCGGTAAACCAGAAACGAAGATAACTCTAGGTTTCCTAAAATGGGGTTACCCCCAGTCATCCATTTCAATCGGAGTTTCTCTACTACTGCCTATTATAGCACTTTGCTGTCTTGTGCCGAGCTGCAAGAGTTCGCATCCAAACGCACTTTCCATGTGGCGTTGCATGAGATCGCAGAAACGTTTGATGCGTTCGGAGGTGACCGACTTGGAATTTTGCGTCTTCAAGTTCGCACACTGGAAAGAGCTTGAAGGCAGTCCAGTTATCAAGATGATACAGCAGTCCTGGTCCTGGCACAAGGATTTGCATCCTGTACCTGTCGTCTTCCCCTTATGGACCCGGAGAGGATGGGAAGGCTTCTTGTGTACCCTCGCAGTGAGTTGGAGAGCACCGAACTGACGGAGCGCACTTATAAAGCAGTGCATTTGCTGAAGCTCTTGCTCTTCAGGGCCTTCATGGATGCTGATGTGAGGTTTGCTTTTGAGGAAATCAAAAACAACACTGCAACACCCAGCTTTGATATGTTGATGGCTGCCGAATTAGATGAGCTCTTTGTCGTCACAGGTTCGGCTGCTGCAGCGAGGCGTCCAATATCCATGTTCATCATGTTCATGCAGCGGCCCGACATTCTCAACTATTTGGGAAGGACTTTCTTTACAGGTTTCTTTCAAAGTCCTGCAGCATCTATTAAAGCATTCTGTTACAAAGCAATGTTACATGTTCTCAAAGAAATACCCCACCATTCCCCCCAAAGCATTCAAAAGTGTCAGTTTCCAGGTACTTGTATACTTTGTTTAAATATGTCAAACCTAGACAGGAATGTGTATGTGCGATTCCAAGATTCCAAGACCCGCACAGAAGTTGCTAGAGATAGAGCAGGAAAGCGTTGCAACAGCTAATTTTCAAGTGCATAAACATTGCTTGGCACATCCTATGCCAAGCTTAGTCTCACATAGTGCGCAAGCTCTTGAGTGAGAAACGTTGGTCAAAGTTTGACTTCCCAGGAACGGTAAGGTAAGCAAGCATACGGACACAGATGGCAACCATGTGAATCAAAAGACAAACCCAAAAAAAAGAACTCGAGCAAAACAAAAAAAAAACTTTTGAGAGAATGTGTGGTTTTGACTCAAAACATTTTTTGGGGGTGTCCCTAGTTGCTTTGTTTTTTGTCTGAAATGGAAAAATAAAAAACATGTATTTTTTGTTTTTTGAATGGATATTATCAATCAATATGTCAAAAAACCATTGGTTTTTCAACATTTAGGTTTGGTTTTCTGCATCGAGAAGTCTCAAAAACCAAAAAGTACCTTGAGTTTTTTTGTTTGTTGATATCTTGATTGATAATATCCATACAAAAAACAGAAAACAATTGCTTTTGTTTTTCCATTTCAAACAAAAAACAAAACAACTAGGGAAACCAAAAAAAATCTTTTGAGTCAAAACCAAACATTCTCTCAAAATGTTTGGTGTTTTGGTTTTTGGTTTTGTTCGATGTTGTTTAAAGTTTTCCAGGTTTTGTTTGCTTTTCTCGATGTGGCCCAAGACAAGTATGGTTGTAGGCATTATTGGCTGCATGAAAGGGTGAAGCAGATGATAGGGTGAAGCAGACCAGGGGGTGAAGTGGTCAGACAAAAGTTGTTTATCAGTCATGGCCATTGAACAACAATGCATTAGATATTATAACTACAACCCAAATATATTGAAACATCCGAGTGCAGAATTGTTTTTCCGGTTATGCTTTATATGCAAAGAAACATGGTAATTCCCATATAAAATGTTTCTAGGTAGATCATGGGGGGGTGACCATATATACACAATTATACCACCATTAGTAAACGATACATCCCTATTATAATTGACATATCCCATTAAAATAACCATTAAGATATTTATAATAGTTATCATCTAATTATTTTAAAATATATATATATATATATCAAAAAAAAGAACATATCTCCCTATAATATGATTGATATATATATATATCCCTATGATATCCCCTCAAAACAGCCATCCCGTTGCGACTTCGCAGACGTGTGTCCTTCGATGCCGACACCACGGCTGTGGCCGTGGCGGCGGGGGACCAACATACCTTGGCGCCTCGGTGGAAAATCCATGGAACTAAATGGATATGTTTGGTCGAATGGATCAAAATAGTACGTTATAGTAATACAATGTAGAAAGACACTATTAAAAATAACACACTATTAATAGTACGTTTTTTTGATTAATCGACTTGCTCTTCGCCAGTTCGTAACGGATTCGTGGCGGATGGGTCCAGGACGCACATCTTCGATGGCAACGCCTGATCGTTCCTTCTGGCGAAGAGCAAGTCGTCAGGACAGGATCCGTCAGATCCAAGAAGGTCGCAACAAAAGAATCGGTGATTCGAATCGCACACCAGTGCGTCAATGCTGCTGGTCAACCTTACGACGAAGAGACGATGGAGGTTCTGACCATCTTGGGTCGTTTCGAGAACCATCAAATCGTCGATGGAGGCAGGGAGCAGTATGAAGCACGGCTGAAATTGGTCGACTACATCCTTGAGAGGAAAGCCGTGACTGAGGCTGGATGTAGATTCTGCCCGCATTGCCTCACCGAGACACCCACGAAGTTCTCAGTATGCGTGGGATGTTGGACCGCATTGGAAAGCCACGGTATCAGGCCATACCGTCTTGATGATCCAGTTGATGAAGAAGACATTAAATATTGTATAATGATTGTGATTTGTTATTGTATAATGATTATGACAATGACAATATTATCTAATAGAATGACACTATTAATCTACCAGTAGTACCGCACAAGGCGGTGGCGGAAGTTTCAAAAATAGCAAACCTATAGGAGAGGTTGGTTGTTGTGAATCAGGGATGGCAGAGCGAAGCCACTGATGGACTGAAAGGTGCTTGATCTCTCTCTCACTCTCTCTTTCTCTCTTTTTCTCTCTGTTTCTCTATGTTTCTCTGATTATCTACCTACCTACCTACTGCTGATCTATCTATCTATCCGTCTATCGATCTAGCTGTCTCTCTATCTTTCTGTCTATCTGTCTATCTCTCTATCTGTCTGTCTGTCTGTCTGCCTGTCTATCTATCTATCGATCTATCTATTTACCTATCTATCTATCTATCTATCTATCTATCTATCTATCTATCTACCTACCTGTCTATCTACCTATCTATCTATCTATCTATCTATCTATCTATATCTCTCTCTCTCTGTCTGTCTGTCTGTCTGTCTGTTTGTCTGTCTGTCTGTCTGTCTATCCCCCTGTTTATCTGCCAGCTTGAAAACGAAGCACTTCTGCGAGACTTCCTCATTTTTCGACGTTGACAACAGCAAAAACGAAACAATTCTACGAGACGCCTGCAGTTTTGAACTTGACAACCTCCAAAACGAAGCAATTCTGCGAGACTTCTTCAAATTTTTGAACTTGACAACATCAAAAACAAAGCAATTCTGCGAGACTTCCTTGAAAAATGGAAAGTAAAGTGCAGCCCTGACAGCCTCCTACCGATGCGTTTTGCGATTTTTCCACTCCACCTATCTAAAGTAATGCGCCTGCCACGAAAAATTGATGCCAGGTCATGCGAAGTGCTGCACCTGTCACGCAAAATCATCTTAGCAAACCTACAGATCTGATGCTCCAAAATGCAACACCTCTCAGGAAATGAGCGCCCTGACCTCCTAACATCTCTCATGAACATGTCTTTTGTACTGCACCTGCCACGGAAAGTGCATCTTTGCAGATCCTCTTCAAATGTCCCATGCCTGCCATCCTTTTTGGAGATGCCACAAAACCCTCACGTTTTGCTCACTTTTGACAAGGTGCACAATCCCTTGCGCCTGCCACGCGAAACGAGCTCTGAATGTCCAAAAGTGGTCCGAACGTGGTGTGCTTCGTACATTTTGACTTCGAAATGTGCTTCGCGCCACAACGGCGTGCACTTTTTCGACATCTCCACTTCCAAAAGAGGTCCGAGGCTGCGGTGCTTTGTACATTTTGACTTCGAAATGTGCTTCGCGCCACAACAGCGTGCACTTTTCCGACATCTCAACCTCCAAAAGTGGTCCGACAATGGTCCGTGTTTGTACATTTTGACTTGGAAATGTGCTTCGCGCCACAACGGCGTGCACTTTTTTGACATCGCAACTTCCAAAAGTGGTCCGAGCATGGTGTGCTTTGTACATGTTGACTTGGAAATGTGGTTCTTAAATGTTCTTAATAAAAGCGGTTAATTACATTCAATCATTCATCACCAACCGCAAGGGCGCAGTATTATTCGCAAGTGACAAAGTAATCTCTTGGCGTGCCTTTACAAATTTTGCAAGATTTCTATGAGGCTTGTTTTCTGTGTCAATTGCATTGACCAAATGCTGCGTTAGCATGCGGTCATGCAGCCTCATAAAAGTGCATTTCGGTGACGATGATGAACATGTTGCGCCCTGGTTGTGCTGAACTCGGTGTGCTCATGGTGAAAGATCAAATATGATAGACTTTTGTGCGTAAACCCAGGCTGCATTCCATAGTGGTTTTGGGGTCCAGTTTGCAGGTGCGCAGTGTACGCGCAACATCCTGTTTTGTTGGATTTCTGCTGGCTGCTGTTTTTCCATGATTTCGGTTGAAATCTTTGCGGGCTGCATGGCGCTTCAATCTCCTCCAGGATTTTGTAAGGTGGTGGCTGTGTGGCCTTTCCTTTCAACATGGGCGGTGTGGGTGGGCCCGAAATGCGTGCTAATTCTCAGCGTTCGATGTTTAAATGTAGGAAAAGACGGTGCGCCATTTTGCTTTGCTTATGGCGCAAGTTTTTGTTATCGTGGCGTAGGCGGTGTGCGAGGGGGATGTTTGGGGCAATGGCGTAATTAAGATACGGCGTTGGCTCGTAGATGTTGCTTCCTCGTCTCCGCTTGCTTCCGTTCGCATCTCCAGAGGTCTCGTTTTTGGTCTCGTTTTTTTCTGCGCTGACACTTCCCAAGATACTCTCAAGTTCTAAAGCTGTCCAGTTCTTTTGGATTACCCTTCGATAATCATACCTGGCAATGGAAAATGTCCTATTTATACATGATTTTACCAGCTAGAAACTTCCATTTAAAGTTGGACTTATCCAGCTAGCCGCGGCTAGCCGCGTTTGATGACACTGGATGGTAAATCTATTCATGTCCTATTGTTATACCAATATTTTCCTATGATTTTCCCAGCTAGAAGCTTCCATTTACATAGGATTGCCAGAGGGTACATCCGCAATTTTCTCCCATATAGAATCATATATAATTTCATACAATCACATAATTATATCACCTATAAAATCCCATTTAACCCCAGAAAAATAATCGATTTCTAGCGGATTTTCCCATGGTTTTCCCATGAAAAACCGCCATTTTCCGTGGTCTTCATCCGCACCGAGGTGGCTCTGGCGGACGGCCGCTGCTTCGGCGCCGGCGACAACGGCAACGGCCAACTGGGGGTGCCCGGCTTTCAGGACGCGATGCCACGGATGACTTGGGGAAAGCAATATGGTGCAATGGAAATGCAGATTAGGTTGTATTTTATGGGTTTTTATACGTTTCTATTGGAATTTATATGTGATTATCTATCAAGTATGGAGGTTTCCTGAAATGGTGGTACCCCCAAATCATCCGTTTATAGATGGGATTTTCCATGAAATAAACCATCCATTTGGGGTAGCTCCATTGATGGAAAGCCATTTATGGAACCCCCCAATATGGTTGGGGGAAATCTAGATTAGGTAGCACTAGATTAGGAAATATGATTATCTATGGGCCATGGGATTACATAGGAGAAATTATATGTGCATATGGGAATGGATGGGATTTTAGCTGTGATGATACGGGATTATATTGTATATATGATTATATATGATTTCGAGTATACTTGTGGGGTCCAATTGGGGTTATGAATGGCTATAACTATGGAATTTTAACCTCCATAAGTTGGGATATAACCCCTAGAACTACGGTTATATAATCCACTTACTAGTGGAACTGCACCCCGAAGATCCCCCAAGTATGGGATTAAATGGGATAATGTGTGATTATATCTAGGTCAATCTTACATGGGTACTTTATTCCTGTAGTCTTTTGGTATTAATGGGAATATCTACTAACCAGCAAAAAGCTTAGTTTTTTGCAGGGTATCAAAGATTGGCAATGATATGTTCCCCCATATTTGATAACAAAAATGATGTGTTTCTCCATGGAATAAACTCCAGATCGCCCACTCAGTGTCTCCAGCTATTTTCCACTATGAAGCCTCTTGAAGTAGGAAGATCATCGAAGTGATGGATTTTCCAGCAGGCCATGTTTACCAGAGGGTGCCCATTTTTACATCACCACTGCACAATGATTCGGCTATTTCAAAAAATATGCGTATCTTACTGGATAATTTGGTTTAAATATCGATAAAACCTGGAGACACTGACTTGATAGTTGGTCATACTTCATTTCTATCACGCGAAGTCTTACTTTAGCGACCTGCCCAGGGATCGTGTTCTAACGGGTTTATCCCCTGACATTCAAAGGAAATAGGACCATATCAATCTATAAATCATCAATCACTAATCATCTACAAACAGAGATGTGTCTTTTCATGTTCGACTTGAACGAGGTGGGAGGGCAGCCGCTAAGTCTGTACTTATTTTCATACAAGAACATTCACATTTATACATACATGTGTTACATGATTACCTGGTTGGTGGTTTCAATCATTTTTTATTGTCCATTTCATATATGGGATGTCATCCTTCCCATTGACGAACTCATATTTTTCAAGATGGTTAAAACCACCAACCAGATAGTATCAGTAATTACCATTGGTAAGTTACAAATAATGCATACTTTGTTAATCATTTATACATGTGGTTTCCATTGGTTAATTTGATTGGGATTAGATACAATCGCCTTCAGTACCTGTATTCAGTGTTTCGCTGGTTTTCCTGTTTTCCCCCGTCTCTGCATCAGAAGCGGGCCAGCTTTGTACGGATGAGCATCCACGATCGCGTGCCCTGGATGATGGGCCGGTGGGGGAAAAACATATGGTACCAACTTGGGATTTGTGAATCCCTCTGGTAAACGTTTGCGAAAAACTATAGAAAACCATATTTTTTAATGGGTAAACTATGGAAAAACATCATTTTTAATGGTAAACTATGGCAAATCACCATTATCAATGGGTAAATCAACGAACTAAATGGCAATGTTCAATAGCTAAATTAAATTGCCGGAGGGTATGTCGGAAAATGACCTGGATCTCAGTTTGGACTGTAATGTCAACCTTGGATAGAGCAAAAACAGTTGATTCATGTGGAGGGTTGCATTTCAAATGGGGATGGTCACTGTTTCGCGGCCTTGACTGGATGATGTGATGGCACCTCAAGTCCCGTCTATGTTTGGTTATGTCAATGATCACCCGCTGCAGCCCATGGTTATCGAGTTGTTTTGCCACAAATGATGGTTTCCATCAATGGGGGTACCCCTTCATCGTATATCATGGAGAATCCTATTGAAATGGATGAGAACTGGGGGTGCCCCTATTTCAGGAAATACCCAAATCACCCAACACCCAGCATAGTCTACCGTCCCAATAGCACCCAGCATCATGATCACATTTTTTCGCCAGCAGGATACATCCAAAAAGAGTAATCCTGTTGTCATTTTTCCATATGTTTCCCATCAAAATCGGTGCTCTTTCACTCTTTCACTCAGGCTCAAAAGGGTTCACCCATGCTGCCTAATGCACCTAATTGGGAAAAAATCGGCGCAGCCCAGTCGAAAATGATCATCTGGTTGGTGGTTTGGAACATTTTTTATGTTTCCATTCAGTTGGGAATGTCATGACCCCAACTGACGAAGTCCATCATTTTTCAGAAGGGGTAGGCCAGTCATGGTCAATCCTATGAATTGATCCAACTACATTCCCGCAAAAAATCCCCTCCATAGTTGGTGTAACCACTATTCATATAGCCACTTGTTTAAAGATTAACCATTATATGACCATTATACGTAACGACTAGACTATACAATAATTATAGTTGTTATATCCACTACATATATTACATATAATGTAGTTATAGTTGTACCGTAGTTGATAGATATAGCCATACTATATTCATATAGCTAACTATCACCACATATAGCCACTACATATAACTATATAAAGGTTTCCTAAAATAGGGGTACCTCCAAATCATCAATTTCAATAGGATTGCCAATATAAACTATCCAGCTATCCGGGTAGCCCCATGTATGGAAACCCCTACATCATATATATATATATCACCCTACATATTACTATACAACTATAGTTGGTATATATAGTTGGTATAGCCACATGAAACCACTATATATATATATAGCCATTACGTAACCAACCCTACAAGGCTTCAGGGGAACCAACCAGATACATCCCCACTACCTCCCCATAATTGGTATAACCACAATGTATGTATCTAGATATCTTAATATCTACATGTATATATCATATATCCCAACTAGAATATCTATCAATAGATATTATATATATTATGTATAGATACATCTCACCCAGTGCAACTTTTTTACTGCGCCGGTTTCCAGGTCCTAGACGTCGCTGCGGGCTGGTCCTACTCGCTAATGGTGGCCCATGGAGGAGTCTTCACGGTGCCTTGATTTGCTATAAAAATGTTTAAAAGTGGATTAAGTAGATACCCTCTGGTAAACGTTTACATAATGAACTGGAAAATCACAATTTTTATATAATGGGTAAATCAACGAACTTTCTACGGCCATTTTCAATAGCTATGTTAGTATACCAGAGGGTAGATATAAATGGGATAATCCAAAAATGGGATATATTTGGGATTTTTATTTCTGTAAGTGGAGGTGTTTTGTGTAAATTTAAATGGATTTAACGGGATAAACATCCCCATGTTAATGGGATTAATATGGGTTAATTGGATTTAATGGGATTTGTTAACTGTAAATGGAGACGGAAATAATCACAAATCATATGGAAATATGTGGAAATATATGGATATAATGAAATCCATGTATGTGTAATGCAATGGAAATCTATGGAAATCATGGGTTTTAAAACTTCAATGGTTTTTGTTAAACCATTCTGATGGAACTTGAAATGGATAAGGGATATGGAAATGGGTTTAATGTATTGTAAGCCAATGGGTTCTCTTATGGTGATATAGTGGGAATACAGCCAGATGCTTGTTTTTGCACATGCTCGCTATGTAAAGGTTGTTATGAATCATAAGATGTAGTAGACGATCAATGGAAATAATGGGGATAATAGGGATGATAGGGATAGCATAGTGTTGACATATGGGGATAAATATATATATATACTATGAACCCTATTTGTACTAGGCGATTATGAACCAAGTTATAATGATTATAATGGGAATATAGGTACTTAGTTAAGGGTTGATGACCCATTTTGAAGGTTGTTATTAGAATGGGAATATATATATATACTGAGGATAATTAGTCACCAATTTACCATGTTGTGGGTCTATCATTATAATTTGGATGACTTATAACGACCTCAATGTGACATCACTGGAATGAATGTAACGGAAATCATGCCCAAATGGCCTTCTGACTCAGCCATTTTCAGTGAATGATGTACCACTACCCCAATGTTTGATGACTTGTGGGTTGCTACCCTTCCCATGTGTTGAAGCTTAAATCCTCATTGGTTGTAAATGATTATGCTTAACCTCTGGTAAACTAATATAACTATGGAAAATCACCATGTTTAATGGGTAAATCAACGAACTTTCGATTGGGCCATGGCTTCCAGTTCCCCAGTTCTTAGTTCGTTTACCAGGCCGGGTAATTCTCGATTTCTCGCTGATTTCACCTTGCCCAGGCGGGTCATAACCTGCTCCAGGGCACTGAGCATTTGGAGGGAGCGCATCCCTTGCTTTTTGATGAGCCACCGCTGCTGCTGTGATCGGAGACTTTCGCAAATGACGGCAGTAAATGGGTTCAGAATCCTGATTTTGTTTTCCGGCAGACCAGGGCATGATGGCATGTTTTATGGCATGTTTTTCCAATTTCTGTTGAATGTTGAGATGATTTGTATCGTTATCATCTTTATCAAGATAGCTGGTATTTCAATAAGAGGGAAACCAGGGACCTGTCAATCCCAAGTTTCGATCCACGGCTGGCCCCGGTGACAAAGACTGGGCGTTTTGAAAGTTCGGCAGACAAAGTCTCCGAAGCTAAAAAGTGATGGTTCAGATCGTTAAAATTGCCGAAAATGGGAGAAGTGATTTCAAATGGTTCGAATGGTTCGCTTGCATTAATGTATATCTAGTTGTTTGAATGTTTGACGCTTCCATGTGTTTCATCCCTCATTGGAAAGATGATCCTCCATGCACTCATATAGGAAATGAATCAATACCACCATGGAGAACAGATACTGTGTAATGCGGATGTAATTGATACAGGATGAGAAAAACGGGATGCCTCAAAACCCTCAAAATACTCCTGGTTGTTGTGAAAAGTGAACGTATGACCAGAGTCACTGCCAACAAGTGGTTTGTTTTGGACTCTGGACACCAATAGATTCATTCTACTCAACGGGTATCCGTGCCAACTGGTGCCGAAATTCTGAACCATGAACAATGTTTTCTTGCGGGACATCGTGTTGATGAACCAGACAATCCTTCGAAGCATCAAGTGATTGATTTTCAAAATAGTGTTTGTGATCTCAAGCACAAGCTGAATGAGATAGCTGCCACATCAGCCGATTTCACTCTTCATTCAGGTCCTTTGGCAGCCTCGGCCATCCACAGGACATGTTTATATAGATCGATTCTTAGATGTTCATCCGAAATATAAAACTAATTGTGAACCACGGTTCGGGGTTGGCAACCATTCGTCATATTTGTCACCAGCTTTTTTGTTGACGTTTCAGTTTGCTAGACCCACAGCGTTTGCAGATGAAATCAACTCATTGTTATCAGACCAGTGGTTTACATCCCCAGCCAGTCAGTAGCTGAAATGCTCATCCAAACGTTGTAATCCTTGTCCTTCAACACGTTTTCTTGCTGCAGCGGGACGTGGCGAAACCCAACGTTTCGCCGGCCGCTGTCGCGTTGAGCACAGTCCATGTCGAGCAGATGGGACGATGCTCACGCGATTTCAATAAATCCATTAAGTTCACCCGCAGTCTGATGGTACTGCTGTGGCATTGTGAAATCCGACAGGGTACATACTTGTAGGCGCCACAACGAGAAAAACCAAGGGAACCACAACCATGGTTGTGGGGCAACAGTGGGTACCTTAAAAAAAAATGCTCACCAAGAAAAGAGCAGCATTTTAGTGGTGTCCAAAGCCGTGTAATTATCATTAATTATCATATTTGATTTGATCATGTACAAAGCATTGTAACCCCATTATCGTTGCTATGCCCACCACATGGAGGATCCACCAAGAGGTGAAGAAGCCTGGTGAAAGTTAGTCTCCTAACTCCTGGGTTGTCCCATTTATAGCGTAAAATCCCACTTACTCATCAGCTACATTCAGCTACTATGGGTTTGTGATCCAAAAATCACAGATGTTCCACCATTATTTCCGGTTCCGGAAGCACCACGCCGGACATATCAAACCACCAGGCTGCACTGGTTCAATCGCCAATGCCTTCGCCCAAATTGTCCAAGACAAAAAAGAAGACTCGCCGCTGACAGCGAAATGCACTTTAGACGGCCATGTTTTGAGTAGGCAACTGGGAGATAAAATGAGTATATGATGGAACTTTTCATGTTTGGGTTTGTCCGAACATGAGGTAGCCCCCCCAAATGGCAATTTTGATGCAATAAATGAGGACAAACCATGGAATCAGGGTGCACCCTATTTTCAGACAAACCTATTTGGGTCTCCAATATAGATTAAACAAACAAAATATCACCATATTTCCTATGTCTAGTTGTCTACTTTGGGGACCCAGTACAACATCCCAATCAGTCCATGGACCGTAAACACCGGTGGATGGTCCCGGGTGAGATTCTGTCCACTGCTTGTGACAGGTGCGCCGTTAAACATTTGGATGCTTCAGATAGGGTTTTTTTGGAGCAGAGAAGCAAAAAACCGGACCGATGAAGTATTCTTGGCACCAATATTTTTGTACAATCCATTGAAAGAAAGTCACGTGATGAGTTTTCTGAGAGACCAGTGGCACATGACCTCCAACCAAGATAGAATGTCACGGAGAATAAGTCCCCACAGAGTTTCGCCAAAAAAGAACTCAAGTATAAGTACAGTATAAGCATGTTCCATTGCAGAAGGGGAACCCCATATGTTTCCGTTTCAAAAAATGGCGACCGGATGATTTCGTGATCTTTGATCATCCTCAAGCGGGTAGCGCCGGCAATGACCTCACCGGCGCCGGCAAAATGATGACCTCATATTGGGAAAGAAAATCACACATGGCCTGAAAACCAGGGGTGTGTGTGTGTGTGCTTCATTTAGGATTATCATGCATCATCTACATAGCATCTGATAGATACTTAAAAAGTGGGGCCCCAAAGAGTTTCCATTTTTGAAGTATCCCCAGATTTCTGCCCAAAGATGATCTAAGAATGATGATCCAGGAGATTTCAAGTTTCAATGTTTTAAGTACCCTCTGGTAAACTAACAGTTCGCTATTGAAAATTGCCATAGAAATAGTGAGTTTTCCCATTAATAGCATGGTGATTTTCCATAATTTTTTGTAAACGTTTACCAGAGGGTAACTAAAAAGAGTGGTAGTTCTATGTTAAGTTGTAATTCACTGTGTTAATTGAAGTGAATAAAAATGATGCGGGTAAAACAATGCCATGTTTACCACCCATGACTGGGAATGGTAGCCATAAGACGTGTATTCCATTTTTTAATCTACATTTTTCCAGTTTCCGTTTTTTAAGTATCCCCTTCCATAGATAATCATATTTTTTATCTTTTTAATGGAAAGAACTATTCCTATTTAATGGTGCATATTCCATAATCTAGAGGGTATTCTTATTCCATTAGTCTACATAGGCTATAGTGGGATAGTGGGATATACCACCTATCTATACCACCGTTTTCAACTGGTGATTCGGATTTCGCTGGCATCCACCGGAGCATTTTGCATCTGATCCGCCCGAATCCTCCCCGGCCCATCCCAGGTCTGAACGAGTTGATCCGCCCCGAAGAGTTGATGCTGGGTCCCCAACTAGGCGCCGCACGCCTGTGGTGGGGGAGAAAAAAAGGTGTGGATCAAATGTGTGGAAATATTCATCACTAAACATATATATATATATATACGTAGTTTTACCATATTATATATATATATGTCAGTTGGCAGTTCACTTGAGCAATGCAAGGTGAATTCACCTTCCTCAAACAGTATGGTCATCAAGCTGGAAGGTTTAGCAGAGCGGGTCATGGATGTCAACCACCCCTGCTGGCACGTTCAATGGTTGGGTTCATGGATCAATGAGTTGATTTTTTTCAGATAGGTTTAATCGATTTTAATCGTAGATTTGGTTTACAGAGCAATTTACTTCGGGCATGCCTTCGGCTCAAGAGATAGACGTCTTGCTCTTTTTGGTGTTTTCTCGACGTTTTGGAAACAATGCTTCGACTCAATGTGTCATTCCCAAGTGGTCGCAATGAAACTGCAACAATTCCTCAATCATATACCGTCGGAGAGTTGAAGGAGCTGGCACAGAAGAGTTTCGGGCGAGGATTCCTGAGACTCGTCACAGATGAAGGACGGATGCTCACTGACCTCTCCCAGCCTTTGCAAGCTGCTGGGATTGAAGACTGAGACCATCTGACAGCTGTTGCACAAGAGCCCAGAGTGGCAAGAACTGATTCAGCCCTTGCCGTGTGGTGCTGTGGGGGTGACGGCATTGTGACATGGGGCTGTTCTGAATTTGGCGGTGACAGCTCCACAGTCCAAGATCAGCTCAAGAATGTGCAGCAAGTTCAGGCCACAAGAGGGGCATTTGCTGCCATTTTGGCCGATGGATCTGTTGTTACCTGGGGTTATCAAAACTGGGGTGGTGACACTGCCGCTGTGCAAGACCAGCTCCGAAATGTGCGGCACATCCAAGCGACAGGTTCTGCATTTGCCGCCATTTTGGCCGACGGATCTGTCGTTGCCTGGGGGGATCCAGACCACGGGGCCGACATATCTGCAGTCTCCCACAAGCTCATCCATGTCAAGCAAATCCAGTCCACCGGAGAAGCATTTGCCGCTATTTTGGCTGATGGATCTGTCGTTACCTGGGGTGATCCAGACTATGGCGGCAATAGCTCTGCAGTTCGAGATCAGCTCAAGAATGTGCGACAAATTCAGGCCACACTAGGGGCATTTGCTGCCATCTTGGAAGACGGATCCGTGGTGACGTGGGGTGATGAAGAATGTGGCGGCGACAGTTCTGCCGTTCAGGATCAGCTTCAGAATGCGCAGCAAGTCCAGGCCACACCTGTTGGGCCCTTTTTTGGTGATGCTTTTGCTGCGATCTTGGCCGATGGATCAGTTATCACCTGGGGTTCTCCGCAAGAGGGTGGGGACAGCTCGGCTGTCCAAGATCAGCTCAAAACTGTCCAGAAAGTTCAGGCTGCAGCATCGGCGTTTGCCGCAATTTTGGCTGATGGCTCCGTCATCACCTGGGGCGATCCAAATTGCGGTGGCGACAGTTCTGCGGTGCAACCTCAGCTGAAGAACGCGCAGCACGTCCAGGCCACAGATCATGCTTTTGCTGCGATCTTGGCCGATGGATCGGTGGTTTCCTGGGGGGATCCAGAGAGTGGTGGTGACAGCTCTGCAGTACAAGATCAGCTCAGGGGTGTGCAGCATATCCAGGCCACAAATGGTGCGTTTGCCGCCATCTTAGCGGATCATTCTATCATTACCTGGGGAGATCCAAGCTGTGGCGGTGCCCTTGGTAGTTGCTATCTCAAGAATGTATTGCATATTGAGGCGACAGGTCGCACATTTGCCGCCATCTTGGCGGATGGATCGATGGTTACCTGGGGGGATCCAAGTGAAAGTCCAGACGGCTCAACCATTCTTCAACATCGCGTTTTGAATTTATAGTGTGCGCGGCCAAAGTGCCCTGCAGATCAACTCACGACATGGGAGGGAAAAAGGTCTGGGATCCCACATGATCAAACAAGATCTAAGGATATCTCTCCTATCTGTGGGATATTCTGAGATGAATTGGTGGCAGACATGCAATTCAGATACATTACAAAACTAGCTCGCCATTCTGTTTAGTTTAGGGTGTTCACTTGATCAGGGCCCAAATCATGCTAGCCTTTTTTGCACAGTTGCTTGGTTGTTTGGTCCATTTTGGTGGGTTAACTCAGTGAGCTCCAAATTGTAGCAGGATGTAACATGCCAAAGAATTGATTCCAAGTGTTGTTGCAGCGGTTTTCTTCCCTGGTCAAATCCCATTGTTGCTAACTCATCATTTTGGGTTGGTTTAAACTCTTCAGATTTGTTGGTTTGATCATATTTTTATCACATGTTTGTTAGTTTAACCATTGTTTTTACTGGTGGAGTCACTAAACCACCATTTTTACTGTTAGTTTAACCACCATTTTTACCACCATTTTTTACCATGTTTTATTGGTTCCATCCCCACCTTTTGGCTGCACAACGCACAATTCACCGCCCCTCGGTCAGGCGCTGGGGGCTCCGCCCAAGTCTTTCGGGGCTCGTGGAAGGGGCAGGAGGCGCGGAGACAAAGTTGTGGTTGAAGCAACCAGAAATGGTTGAACCAAAACTGGGGGTACCCCAAAATGGCTGGTTTATAATGGAAAATCCAGTGATTAATAGATAGTGATATAGATATACTTAATTAGTGACTATTACTTCATAGTGTATATTTGTATGTATATATATATATATATATGTGTGTGTGTAGCATCTCATAATAATCACTAATTAAGTATTATATGATGGTTTCCATAGTCATGGGGTACCCCTTTATCGCTGGCTGGTTTCATGGAAAATGGCCCACACCAAACATGTCCGCTGCAGGTCCAGTTTGACTGCTGGAGCACAACCAAAATTGACTGCCCGAGAAATGCTGGATGTCCCAGCAAGGCAGCATATCAAACATGCTACTTGATTACGTGATGCGGATCGCAGGCCTTCTTCCACGCATTGCAGGAGCTTCTTGGTTGTCTTAGTCACGGAGAACTGGAGCCCAGTTGTTTACATGGTTTTTGCTGCTTGGCAAAGGTTGACGGTCAGGCAAAAAACGGAAGCTTACGGCCGACATGATCAAGAGGAAGATCGACTGGGCATGCGCGAGGATACAATGAACTATGGGAATCCAAACCATGTGAGATAGATAGATTTAGCGGAACCATCACAAATTATTTTGAAGCGAATACAAATCAACAAGTAACTAACGAGATTCCATTCGAAGTAGTTTTATCCTCTACTGAAGCTATGATAAACCCCTCATGGAGCCCCATGAGTCCGGACTTCCCACTTGGCCGAAATCCAATCCCTGACTGTTTGTTGGCCATATCCTGTGTTCAAATGCTAAAAGTCGTGTTTCTTTTGTTGTTTCAATCTCCAAAATGAGCTAAACCCCAAGAAAAGTACAAATGAGGTGTATGAAATTGCGTTTACCAAATGATTAGATTTTTTTAAATCACTTAAGTTGTTCAATGGCGATTTGATCCATTTTATGCTGATATCTACAGTTTCCAACAGATTGGCCACTACATTTAGTGGTTTTATTTGCAGGTGGAATCCCTATGAGTCAAAGCCCTGGTAACCTGGTAAGTTCATCGACAGGTGGCTGTGAAGCGAATCACTGCGGTGGCTCATTTGGAGGTGTTGGGATGGCAGGGGGCTGTGAGGTTTTTTAGGATCTTGGGGTATCTATGCTCAGTTCATTATTGTTTCTTGGTCAATATTGATACCAATTTTAAACCTGGTTGGTGGTTTGGAACATGTTTTATTTTTCCATATATTGGGAATGTCATCATCCCAACTGATTTTCATATTTTTCAGAGGGGTAGGTCAACCACCAACCAGATAAGTAGTTGATGATTATCTTGGTTTAACCACACTGATTGTTATTTTTTGTTACTTTGGCAATTTTGATAGCCAACTAATGTGGTAAACCCAACAATGAACCATCCCAGTAACCATCCACTTGGGGGTCCTTTTAAATCATGCCAAATATAGTGGCCATCGCATATTTATCTATAGCCTACATCAATCAATATTGATAATGCAACAACTATTATCTATTGATCTTTGGCATTGATAAGCAACTATTTTTTGTGCCATGGTCAAAAGATTGTATATGTGGTATGGTCATCCATCACATGATAGGATCCTGATGTGCATATAAATCCCTGTGAAAATGCATTGGTGGCTATCACCAATATGAGCTGTTTATGCAAGTTCTGACCATGGCACATGTGTTTGCTGTTTGCTTTAAAGAATGCTACTATTTAATAAGAATGTTCAATGGCAATAGTGTTCATATAGCTGGGTATTGAAGCAATTTATATTTGATTGTGAACAGCCAATTCCGTTTCGTGGCCAGATAGTCAGGGCAGATGAATTCTTGTATTGTTCGCCATACATGGGTAATGAGAAAAAACATATGCTGAAGCTGATTTTGTCAGCAAGGTAGCCATGCAACTGTTTTTCACATGCAGATTTGGCACGGATGAATATTGAATTGGACCTTGGATGGATGAATATATTGAATTTGCGTGTGTCATTGCGTTTGAGCCAACTGTAAGATCTAGGGATTGAGCCCAGAGGGGCTTTCCTATAGACTTAGCGTAAGCGGAACAGCCGATAGTGGGAGATAAGTGTTGCCATCCAGGTAGACCCAACAAAAAGCTCTCCCTAAACATCTACAGTTTGTTGCGCCTATCATTAAGAATGATATGGCGATGCGGCATGGGTCGAAAGCTATGTTTCTCTTTTTCGCACCATGAAAAAAGCACCTAATATGTGCGGAAGAATGACCAAACGATTTTGATGTTCACCAAAAATGTTCGGGACTTTGACCTGTACTCACCATATAGATGAGAATTTTATGGTCATAGGTTCATCTATATGGGACTTTGTCAAATAAGATTTTCATCATATGATGGTAACCATAAGATGAATCAATGCCTGGGATCCCAACATCGCGCCCATGAAAGAGCATGGAGGATCAAGTTTAGCCGCTAGTGGTTCTTTTTGACGCTTGGGTGCCTTGAAGATTTCATGCTGGGTTCTATAATATATATATATATTATAATTTATAATGTATACATATATATTTATATATAGCCCGAAATTGCAATGCTTATAGCAAAAACGATCCTCACTCATGAGATGTTTGGATACCCATGAGATTTGGATTACATGTTGTTCAAATAATTCTAAGTTGTTGTTAGTTTCGATCTAAGGCACGTTCAGTTTAATTTCAAATTCAAAACACCAAAGATGTTTTCAATCAAATTAGAATTCATTTGCATCAAAGATAAAATGAACGGAATTTAGATTTCGAAGCAAAGTTGATTCGTTTTAGATTCTACCTTATTTTTGAAAATTATTTTGGATTAGTTTTAGATCAAGTGTTCAACCAATCTTGAAAAATATGTTCAAACAATATTTACCTTAAACTGAAATTGGCCTCAAGTTTGCCACCAAAAACATCAGTGCAAACCATTGGAGAGTCAAGGCCCCATTCTTCTTGTTGGCTGGAACCACGAATTTGCAGGTGTAGTAAAGATTAAAGTGGGTGGAATAATGTTGGTAAAGCGATAATGAAACACCCATATTATAATGATGGTTGTTTTATCCCAGCCATCAAAATGATAAGTCGTTGGTGGATTTATGGCATTTATGGGATTATGGTTTACTACTTTACTAACAATAATCGAAGGAAGTTTAGAAGTCAAACTTCCGACAATATGGACAGATGAAAAGCAGAGCAGGGCAGAGGCAGAGAGAAGAGAAAGATTAGAAGAAAGAAGATCAGAAGAGAAAGAGTCAGAAGAAAGAAGATGCAGATGCGCGAAAAGGTAGGAAAGTCGCGAAACACTGTGTTTTTCCAATGATTTGTGGCTCCTGAGGGTCGAAAAGTAGGCTCGCTAAAGCGGCGGGTGCGGAGCCAGCTGGCCAGATGAGAGATGAAAAAGTGCACGCCGTTGTGGCGCGAAGCACATTTCCAAAACCCATGAATGGACCCCTGAATCTACCCGGGCCATTGGAATTACGTCAATTTTCTATTCCTTCTGGGCATCTGTCCGCTTCAAACAATTGGCGCCATGGTTGGGAAATTTGGCCCCCCCTTCACTCGCGGGCGGATTGCCCCATAGATCGGCTACCCCTTCAGAAATCGAATTATCTAGCCACTTGTTTGATTCGGACGAAGCCCCTGACAACACTTCTATCGTTATATTTATTGATCGGTGGAAATGTTTCGACCTGTTGCTGCCAAAATTTTGTATTCAACTCGGATCCACTCTAGGATTACCATCTCATATATGCCAACCGCTTACAGACTTCTATAACCATCAGGTCAAATTCTTCAAGCTCAATAACGCTTACGGAAAATCAGGTCCTCCATTCCAACGGGGTCGTGCAGGGTTGCGCCTTTAGTGTTTTGTTTGCTAACCTGATTTTCTCTGTTTTTGCGAAAAGGATTGAGCAGTTTCCAGGGGTAACCTTCTCTGCGTTCATTGACGATACAAAGCTATGGGCTAGTAAGCAAGACCTACCTGAGCTCATCAAAGCAACCACAGCTCTCGAAGCTTTTGACCAGGCTATTGGCCAAGTTCAAAACAATGCAAAGTCTGCGCTCCTAACCAAAAAGGCGAAAGACGCCGACAGATTTCTTCTCCAAGTAGGCAAACAGATTCCCCACAGAAAGCGTGTCAAGTCTTTAGGGTTTCAACAAGCAGTGACGACAAAGGGACTTGCTAGAGCCGTTGACCTGAAAACGAAAGCAGCTGCTGCAACCATTCGGAAAATGGGCAAGCTTCCATTTCCAGCCAAACTCAAATCAGGATATATTAAAACTGCAGGTCATAGCCGATGGTTATATGGGTCTGAAGTTGCCCCCCCGAATAAGAAAGCATTGAATTATTTGAGGACAGCTGTTGTCAATACTGTTTTCCCAAAGAAAAACCGGATGAGATGCCCTTTGTTGACCATGTCTACATGGGATAATGTTTGGGTTGATCCTTGGGCTATTTGGGTTAGACATGTCTTGCTCACATATAGAAAGTTACACCGCCGTCAGCCCGACTTGGTGGCAAAAGTTTTTCGTCAAGCCAGACAGATCAAACCTTATGCCATTCGAACTTCCTCTGGCGCTCCAGCGGTTCTGGCCGCTGTCGTTCGGGAATTGGAATGGGAATGGGCCGACGGTTTGTCCTTCAAACGGCCGGGCGATACAGACTTCAAACTCCTCTATGGCAGCAACAAATTTTTCGACGATGACTTGGAACGATCCGTCAGGCGTTCACTTTTCCGTAGATCCCCAATAAGGCATGACAACTTAGGCGACTCGCGGGACGGTGTGATTAATATGTTCGCGACGCGATTTTTCCTCGACAACGACTTCTCCACTGTAGTACCTGCGCCTGGCTTAGTAGAACAACTGCGGAATTTACCAGTCAAACTTGACCATGCCCAAAATATCATCCAAAATTTCTTAGCCGGATCAATTTTTGACGGGCCCCGTAAATTTAAAGCAGGCCTGGTAAATTCCCGAAAATGCGAACATTGCGATGCAGACGATGATCTCTTGCATATGTCCAAACATTGTCCAACGAATCCGCCGCCGGAAGTTTCAGTGCAAATGCCGGATACGTCATGGACCATGGGTGTTCTATGGGAAAGCGAGCGAGACATACAGTTCCGTTTACAACAAGACCAACCATTCCAATTTGGCGATTTACCTCCAAAACATGTACTTCAACCGGGCGACCGAATTTTTACTGATGGCAGTTTTATTCGCTCAAAGTCGGGTAGACTAGAGTCGGCAGCTTGCTCAGTATATATTCCGCAAATATTGCAGCTGGCAAGACCCCTCCCAGGGCTCGACCAAAGTTCACAAAGAGCCGAGCTGGGAGCGATCTTGCTGGCGTTAAAGGTAACAGACGGAGACGCCCATATTTTTACCGATTGTGCAACCATAGTCAAAGGATTTCGTGAACAAAGTCGTAATGCACAAGGCTTTTCATCTTTGCGTTCTTGGGACAATTTTGACTTGTGGACACTCATAGCCGCTGAAACAAGTTTAAACCATCGAACAGTACATGTATCTAAAGTATCAGCTCATGGACGTGACCCAAGTCAAGACCCTGGTTTAAATGAAGGCAATGAAAAAGCAGACGCATTAGCTAAGAGTTTATGCCAACGACAGTTTCAACAACATTCTGATCATAGCGTGTGTGATGTCAACTGTATTCTAGCTGTGCAAATTCATTTGATCAAGTCCTTTGTGAATAGGAACTTGTTAACCCAGCCACCGGATCATGATCAGATTGTTGACCGCGCTCTATCTACACTTAAAGTCGCCACAGCTCGTAAATGCACTTGCCCACCAAGCCGTAGGATAAGGGGCAAAGCTCCTGCTCCTGTTTTGTGCCGTGGAACTTGTCTAACTACATTGGTAGTAGGGGAGTTGGAGCGATGTTTCCTGAACTTGCTCAACTCTGGCGCTTTCGTTCCCAATCGCATTTGGGATGCGCTCAAACAACAATATCCCAAATTCAATCAATGGGTGACACATCGAACGGCAGTTGTCCAAGGGTTAGATGTCTCAAATTCACCTGTACCTAAAGCTGTTAGCTCTCCGCATTGCGCTGATGCCATTCACCGGTTTATGCGCGAAGCGTATTGGTGCAGTGGAACATCGCCAATCACTGCTTTTACCCCGTGGTCCATTGTTTTGATTGACTTTATCTCAAGGTTGGGTTTTGTATCTCCCCTTTTTAACCAAGATATGGGCTTTGGACGACTAATACATCGATGTCATCGCTACCTTAAAGATTTAATCTCTGAGGCATTGCCGGGCATTGACACTTCAGTTATCAACAATACGTTAGGCTCTTCCTTTGGGTTACGGTGTCAGGTAGCTCTAGGTATCCACCTGGTCCCTGTCAATCCCACCAATGTCTGGTCAATATATGTACAAGCTTGCCTCTATTGTTCCAGCTCTTTTCTTGATGGCAAGAAATTCCGCTCTAGCTGGAAACCAGATTGGGGGTGCTTTGACACCCGGATGTGAGCTGCTGTCGCGAATTGCACGTTTTTGTTTGTTTCTGTCTGAGTGCCTGTAAGGCTTTAAATTGCAATGGGAAAAAAAAACGTTGTGGCGCGAAGCACATTTCCAAGTGAAAATATACAAAACACCTCAGCGTCGGACCACTTTTGGAAGTTGCAATGTCGAAAAAGTGCGCGCCGTTGTGGCGCGAAGCACATTTCCAAGTCAAAATGTACAAAACACACCAGCTCCGGACCACTTTTGGAAGTTGAGATGTCGAAAAAGTGCACGCTGTTGTGGCGCGAAGCACATTTCGAAGTGAAAATGTACAAAACACACCATTCTCGGACCACTTTTGGAAGTTGAGATGTCTAAAAAGTGCACGCCGTTGTGGCGCGAAGCACATTTCGAAGTCAAAATGTACAAAACACACCAGCTTCGGACCACTTTTGGAAGTTGCGATGTCGAAAAAGTGCACGCCGTTGTGCCGCGAAGCACATTTCGAAGTCAAAATGTACAAAACACCACATGTTCGCGCCACTTTTGGAGGTTCCCATGTTGAAAAAGTGCACGCCGTTGTGGCGCGAAGCCCATTTCGAAGTCAAAAGTGTAAAAAACTGAGGGTTTTGAGCCTTTTTTGACGTTAAGATGTCGAAAAAGTAGACACCGATTAACTTAACTAACTTGACTAACTTAACTAACTTCACTAACTTAACTACCCTAACTTCGACGACAACAGCAACAGCAACAACAACAACAACACCAACCACAACAACTACAACTACAACAACTACAACTACAACTACACAACAACTACAACTACACAACAACTACAACTACAACTAGGACTACAACTACAACAACTACAGCTACAACAACAACAACAAGTACTACTACTACTACAACTACTACTACAACTACTACTACAACTACAAAAACAACAACTACAACTACAACAACAACAACAACAACTACAACTAGACTACACAACAACTACAACTACACAACAACTACAGCTACAACTACAACATCAACAACAAGTACAACTACAACTACAACAACTACAACAACAAGTACAACTACAACTACAACAACTACAACTACAACTACACAACAACTACAACTACAAAACAACTACAGCTACAACTATATGACTGCAACTACACTACACTAATTACATTAAACCACAACTACAACTCCACTACGCTACAACTACAACTACAGTTGCAGTACATCACACTACATCCAGCAGTTGTGGGTGAGGTGACCACTGCCACCATTGCAACCACTCCAGCAAACACAACTCCAACCACCTTTCGGTCAATCAGTGGATTCGCTCTGCCATCCGTGATTCACAACAACCAACGTCTCCTATAGGTTTCCTATTCTGAAACTTCCGCCACCGCCTTGTGCGGTACTACTGGTAACAACTTCTTCATGTTGGTAAGGCAAATAATACACGTCAAGAAAGCCAGATATTTTGAAGAAGAAAGCCAGGTATTTTGATGGTTGGAATCCCACCCATATCCCACCCATAATTTGTTTCGTAAGTGGTTGGATGGCAGTCAGGCCATGAAGAAGGAGGTGGACGCCTTGCGCAAGCTGCGACACCCGCGGCTGGTGCGCTTCATCGGGGCCTGTCTGCAACCACCCTTGCTGCTGGTGGTCACGGAGCGAAGGGGGGTGGGGATGGTGATATTCTCAGCAGTACTGGTGATAGCTATGGTGATTTAGCCACTCTAAATGGTGATTTAATGGTGAATAATGGTGAATAATGGTGAACTATGTTAACTAAAAAAAGTGGCTCCACTGGTTGGTGGTGACTGGAACCATGGAATTTTATGACTTTCCATATATTGGGTTTTTGTCATCCCAACTGACTTAAGTCATTCTTTCAGAGGGGTAGGTATACCACCAGCCAGTAGTTGTATGTTAAGTCGTATTTCACTGTGTTAATTAAAGTTAATAAAAATGATGCGGGTAAAACAACGCCATAAACCACCCATGACTGGGAATGATAGCCATAACACTTGTTTTGCCCGCATTAGTACTGTATGTCAACCAAAAACAGTGGTAGATTAAACCAACCCCGATGGTGATCCGGTATGATCAATGGATATTAGGCGGAGGTAAGCAACACGTTGGAAGTTTATCAAATAATCACCTGATCCTAACTCGGAACTCGATGGCTGTTTTTTTTCTGACATGTTTTAACCAACTGTCACTATAGGGTTTTAATGCCAATAACTGGGGTGAAACGTCACTAGGGAAAAGAGAAGTATGATCGATTGGATTGTTGCGAAGGAGAATCTGCAGGATGAAAGTAAGAAAATTTGTGTTTTTAGGACATTCCGAGCCCATAGGTCTTCCTTTCAAAGGCTTCTTCAAACCTGATTTTCCCATCACAAAAGGAAAGACGTTTCCAGGCGGAGTGATAGGGTCGATGCAGACCATTGTGGTGAATTTTGTGGTTTATATATGGAAAAATATCCACTTAAATGGATGTTACTGCTGCGTCTTTAAGCCATTATTGTGGGTTAATGACATTTACCCTCTGGTAATTTAACATAGCTATTGAAAATGGCCAGAGAAATAGTGGATTTACCCATTAAAAATTGTGGATCTGTCCAGTTCGTTATGTAAACATTTACCAGGCCGGGTAATGACCAAACAATGTTCTCCATGTTTGTTGATCAATGTTCTCCATGTTTTGTTGGGCTAAAAAAATGGTTCGTCTTGTGGCACGTATCCAAAACAGAAAAATCATCGTCTCACTTGGGATTGTCATCCCATTTTCGGGCCAACAAATATTCTAAAATCACCAACTATATTGGTTCTACATGAATATATTCCATTCATTAGGATGTTAATCCATGTTTCTGGTATATAATAAACATTGATAAACCCAATTGTGAAGATCACCTCGTAAACATGTGATGTCAGTTCTCAGTTCTCCCCAAAGATATTAATCCAGGATTGGTTAAAACACCATTTTTTGCAACATTTTTAACTAACCCCGTAGTGGTTAAAAATTAACTGTTCAGCTACATGAACTTCCCATGTTTGTCCAATAAATCCAGGTGTTGCTGGGGATCCACATGTTTCAACCACGTTTTCGACGTGGCAAACCAAGCCCTGCGAGCTCGGAGCTGCGCACGGCGTGCAGCTCCACAATGCCTCGATTTGACATCGAAGGCCGCCCTGCCCCCTTTGGCTGGAAGGCGCTGCTGCGAATGGCCGAGAAGGGTGGCCATTGTGGGGTCCATGTCTCAATATAGTCAGAATATGCGCCTTTAATGTATTTTGTTTGTTGTTTTCATTCACCCTGAAATCCCTGATTGTTGTGCAGGTCAAAAGCATGAAAGTCCAGCTGCCGGCGCCGGAGCCAACACCAGGGCGCAAAGATGTGAGCCTGTCTTCAGGATCATATACTTACACAGATGAAGAGTCTGAAGGTGCACCGAAAGGCCAGCCGCAGCGGACCTGGCAGATGGTCGGCTTGGACGAGTGTCATGATGGTCCACCATGACCTCATGGAACTTCTGCCATCGAAGCCCCTGGTCGTGATTCAGTGGGTCATGTTTCACATAGCTGAAACACAATTGCAGATTGCAGTGGCAAAAGCCCTTCCACATGAATGGATCCAAGGCAGGCGCTGCGCCAAGGGGGCGGGCGGCACGGGGAGCGGTGGGGGCGGCACCGGGAGTCCGGGAGCGGGGGGACCACCGCCCAATTCTACAGGTTGTTTTTTGTCTTTGCCTTCGAAAAAATGACCAAAAATCGACCCCATGTTTTTTACTATAAAGATGTCCATACAACAGTCCTCCATATATAAAATTGTTAGTTTCGACCTGGAGAGAATTGGTTATAATTCTATAACAATGGTCCATCATTGAGATAGACATCGAAAAGGTCCCTTTTTAGACATCGAAAAATCAGATCAAGTTCTGGTGTATATCCCAGTTGTATATCCCATGGTATCCCCAATGTGTCCTCGGTTTTCAGTAAATTCCGCATGATATCCTTGCTTTGAACCCCCAAGAATGTAGAAAAAGAAAAATCATAATGAAAGTACTGACCGAGTAGTAGATGACCTATTTGGGCGGAACAAAAAAGTAATTGAATCTTATTGCTGAACACAAATAACTTCCCAGTAATCCAATTAAGTTTCCATGATATCCCCTTCCATGATATCAGTTTCATCCCCCTTTGTTAGTTCATCTCGTTTTTTATGTGTCAGTAATGTGGAACCACCCCAATGCCGTCAACCATCCCTGACATGATTGGATGTTTAATCCATGAACCAACAATTCTTCATCAACTAGCAGTCCACTACGAATCATTGACCATGATCAGCCCATCATAAACCCATGATTCACCCATCATGAACCATTTACTAACAACTCATCATTATGAAGCAACTAGAAGTTCCACTACTACTTACTGGTGTTAAACGTCGGGAATGGATGGGAATGGAGGTTGCTGGGATTATTATTGATAGTGATGACTGGGATCATTCCCGAAAAATCCCTGCGTTTAACACCAGTAAGATTATTAACCATTAACCATTCTTAATCCATGAGCCCATGATTAACCCACTTTCTCCATGGGTTATTTGAGTCCTCCAGGAGTTCATGGCTGGTGGTTCCCTCCACGACCGCCTCTTTGGCAGATCTGCCCAACAGCCACCGCTGGCTCCGCGGCAGCGGTGGCTCATCGCTTGTCATACGGCGGAGGTGGAGCAAGGGTTGGTGCGGAACGGGAAAAATGGGAAATTCATCACGGGAAACGAATGATGTTCGAGATGGAAAGTGAATAGCCCAAGTGAGGTTGACACATAAGCAACAAAAATTGTGAATATCTGAAAATGATTGAGATGTTGGGGATTAATTCTTGGGACTTACTTCGCAAGAATGTTTTTTCCCCACCTGCCAGGTGAGGGTTGTTAGATTTTATGTCAGTTGCCTCCTCCTCCTCCTGCTCCTCCTCCTCCTGCTCCTCCTCCTCCTCCGCCTCCTCCTGCCTCGTCCTCCTCCTCCTCGTCCTCCTTGTCATCCTTGTCGTCCTTGTCGTCCTCGTCGTCCTCGTCGTCCTTGGCTCAACTGCGACCCGCGATCCACAGTGTTCTCTGCCGGACCTCAACCACGACCACCCACGCCCAGTGTTCCCCGGACCTCAACCACGACCATCCACGCCCAGTGTTCCCCGCCGGACCTCAACCACGACCATCCACGCCCAGTGTTCCCTGCCGGACCTCAACCACGACCATCCACGCCCAGTGTTCCCTGCCGGACCTCAACCACGACCATCCGCGCCCAGTGTTCCCTGCCGGACCTCAACCGCTCTTCTGACATATCTTCTGACATTTTATTTGGCATTCTATCTGGCATATCTTCTGGCATTCTATCTGGCAAATCTTCTGGCATTCTATCTGGCATTCTATCTGGCATATCTTCTGGCATTCTATATGGCAGATCTTCTGGCATTATATCTGGCATATCTTCTGGCATCCTATCTGGCAAATCTTCTGGCATTCTATCTGGCATTCTATCTGGCATATCTTCTGGCTTTTTTTCTGACATATCTTCTGGCATTCTATCTGGCATATCTTCTGGCATTCTATCTGACATATCTTCTGACATTCTATCTGACATCTTTTCTGACATTCTATCTGGCATTCTATCTGGCATATCTTCTGGCATTCTTTCTGACATTCTATCTGACATCTTTTCTGACATTCTATCTGGCAAATCTTCTGGCATTGTATATGGCAGATCTTCTGGCATTATATCTGGCATATCTTCTGGCATTCTATCTGGCATACCTTCTGGCATTCTATCTGGCATTCTATCTGGCATTCTATCTGGCATTTCTTCTGGAATATCTTCTGGCATATCTATCTGGCATATCTTCTGGAATATCTTCTGCCATATCTATCTGGCATATCTTCTGGCATATGTTCTGGCATTCTACCTGGCAAATCTTTCCCTGCCGGACCTCATGTAGGAAGATATGGGACAAAGAATGTGCAGAAGAAAGTTAGAAAGAATTTCAGACAAGTATGTGATATATTACTTGCGAACTTGCAGATGTGTGGTAGTGTGATCGGGGCAATGCCACTATTGACTTTGCGGGTGGCAAAGTTTGAAGCAATCAGTTTGAACAGATGACAGAGTCACTGGGGTGGACAGAGACATTTCCATTTCTGTACCTTTGGAGCTGTTTGCAAAGACGCTTGAGACAGGCAACATCTTGCAGCAAGTTACTACAAATTACTTGAAGGGATCTCATGCTGGATTGATGCTTGAGACAGTCAACATCACACAGAGTTTCTATTGTGTATCACAGCTATGGTAGCATGGTGGATATGTGACATCGGAACATTTGCTGGAGCATTTGCGCCCTCATCTACTCGATCGCGGGCCAGAGGCAGGATGGACATCATCATAGAAGCATTCAGCAGGAGGAGGTTATGTGATCAGTAGTGTCTTCTTGTGTGTTTTTGTTTGCTTGGCAGGTGATGGCAGAGGGTGACCAATCTGCGAGTGCTGCGCAGGCGATGAGTTTGAGTGGAAGTAAGCACATTGGCCAGTAAGTGTTGGATAAGTGATGTGGAAAGCAGCTTGTGCTTTGGGACCTTGCGCAACAGCCGAGGCGAGCTCAAGCACAAGCAGAAACGTGAATAAGATAATGGTGCTCAAAGGATAGGGGAAACGCTTGAGAATAGAAATGTAGTAGGTGTATCTCTTCGAAATGTTTCAGTGAGAAAGAGTGGAGAAGTTACATACGATCTAGATATTTAGATGTCGCTTGACACTGCAAGATGGACACTATCTTTTTGCACTTGGGAAGTTTGAACACATTGGGACTGAACTGGTTTTGACCGGGAAGGTCTTGTGTTTCAAGAGCCATGGCAAAGAGATCATGGCCATTTGCTGTCACGAGTTGGGATGACACTGTGAAATTTGCGCAGCTTTTGTTTGGTGTAGACGTTGTCTATGAGAACTATGCAGAGAGATTGCCGCATAGATCGAATAAATCTTTCTTGCTATTCGCCAAAGGCGCTTGTGCTGAGGGAAGGCCCTTCTTCGAGATCGGAGATCTCATTGCGCCACAGTTGGAAGAGATTCAATGTTGGGAACAAAATGTTCGCAACAACAATGCGCGTCCAACGAAATCGCAGCAGATGCTGAATTCTGACGGATGGACTGTGTACTGCTGGAGTGCGCAGGTGACGCGTGCTCCCTGTCTGTGTCGCAGCAGCTTTGGAGCAGACGCTCACCAGAAACATGTGCCAACTTCATCGGCCATGTGGCAAGCTGGAAGCAGATTTGAGAAATTATGGGACGCCACATTGATGAAGAACTATGAAGCTTTTCAGAATCGAGACCTGCGTCCCACTTGGCTTGACAAGTCATGGCAGGTGTTGTGGAATTGGAATGATCACAACCAAAATCATGGAATCAGCCCTCATTCAGATGAGTCTGCCACCTACAGCAATGTTGATCCGATCACGTCCTTTTCATTTGGGCATGGGGGTGTGTTGACCTTGGGCCCCAAAAAAGGTCCAGTGACAAGGATGTTGTTCCAAGAAGGCGGTGACGCTTTGGTGATGGCAGGAGACTTCCAAGCAGAGTTTTGCCATGGTGTGCCGGCGCGCTCCACTTGGAAAGATTTGAAGTCGCTTCCTATGTTTGCCACAATGAAAGGGTGGGAGAAAGTTGGGCTGCAGCAGGAAATTGCTTTGCATGAAGGTGCTGAGCCAGAAGCCAAGCATGTCCGCATGAATTGCACGGTCCGCTGGCACAGCACACATTGGGCTGGATGTCCGGTGCGGGGGCAAGAAGGTCATGGGACTCAACCGGTTTCGACTGGAGCTGTCCAGACGTCTTCAAGCTCTTTGGCGCCTGGCGAAGACCGTGTGAATGTTTCTGCTGGAGCTGCGGCAGGGATCCAAGGGACTCAACCGGTTTTGACCGGGGCTGTCCGGGTGCCTGCTGCAAGCACGGTGGATCCAAAGCATTCGTTTTTTTTCACTGGCATTAAGAAGCGAGGTGTGGAAGAAGAGGCAACGCCCTCTGTCAGCACCGTGAAAACATCTCGTTCAGGTGAAGAGTTGCTGCTGGAGGGCGCGGATGAGACAATTAAGAGTCTACTGGATTGTATTGAAGCATGTGTGCGACAGAATGATCTTTTTACGTTGGCCATTACAGGCACTCCATTGGTCGCAGCCACACAGGTGCATGCGGAGATGTTAGCCAAGATTGACGAAAATGTGAAAAATTTGAGGGCCCGGCTTCTGGCGGCATCAGAAGCCGTTGAAGCATTTTCGCGTTGTCGAGTTGACCGAGTTCAGTTCAAGTCGCTGAACTTGATGGAGCTGGCAGCGCAGCAGCGCAGAATGATCCACAGGGAGCTTGGCAATTTCTACACTTCTGAAAATTCGTCGTGGTTGATAGAAACAAGAAGCAAAACGCAACAAAATTGTTTGAACAAAGATCCGCAGTATCGCAAGTGTTTGCTTTCGCATCGTCAACTGGAGTTACTTCTGGAAACTTTGAGCGAAACAATGATGAAGAAGTATGAGGAGATTGCCTTTGACTTGCGCACCTTACAGCGTGGAGTTCTTCCACGGAAGTTGACCTGTGCAAAGAGGCACCAACATGCGAAGCAACATCAAAATGAAGATTTGGGGTTGGATGTGTATGAGGTTGCTTCTGATTCAGTGCTCTTGGTGAAAGCTTTGGAGGTCGGTTACGTATCGGACATGGACAAGGCCACGCGCCTTCAGACTGTAACAAGTGCATGGCAGAAGTTGCTGTCAGTCATGTCCGGTGTTGAGATCGTGCATAGCCTGAAACAAGGGCTCTTGACACTGCTGCAGCATTTGCGCACGATGGATGTGGACAGACACTGTTGTGATCGGACCTCTGAGGAATTAGTGAGCGAAAATTATGACATTTGGGTTTGGATGACGAAGGTCACGCCTTGAGCTGGTACAGCCTTTGGGCTTCAAATGTGAACCTGTGGCCCAGGATATGTCGTCTGGGTGCATGCTGTCAGTGCGAAGATCCAACCAGACTGCTGATGTGCGTGAAAAACAAACGCTGCAACGCCAAAGGAGCCATGGCAAAGAGATCATGGCCATTTGGTGTCACGAGTTGGGATGACATAGTGAAGTTGCCTAAGTGAATCGGATATGTTTCAAGGAATGGACACTAAGAAGTCATGTGGAATTTGGTTTGGCTGAAACATACTTTGTCTGAAACAAAGAATTTGGTTTGCAAATTCTTTGTCGATTCAATTTCACAAGACATTGGTTTGCTGCATACAGTTTGATTGGCGGGATGTTCACAAATGATTTCGTCTGTCGCTTTGTCAGGTACATGCGTGGCATTGGGATGGAAGATTTTGTGCTCAGGAGCTTTACTGTGGGCATGTGGCAGTGGTTGAGTTTCGACAGTCAAGACATGAGATCGTGTGTGGAGACATGTTGTGAGAAATGGTCACGAAATGAACACTTTTAGCAGCATTAATGCAGCAGTGCGTATTGGCTCAACTCTTGCTGTAAGCGACTGAGGTTTGGTTTTCTTCGTCCAGCCATGTCGGAGCCTGTTTCTATCACAGGCTTGGTTGTGGCGTCTGAGCGTCCACAGACAATTTTCATTGGCACCCGGAGCCGATTTCGCAAAGGAGCTGGGCATGTGTGGCGCTACGAGTTGAGTTCTGTCGGTTC